AATGTTCTCCTTCACCCACTATGTGGCTGCAGTGATGTTCTCTGTCTTGCTGACATCCAGGATCCCAGTCTCCAGCTCACCTGACATCTGGCCCCTCACCTGCTCTGCCCATCAGATAAGTAGCCAGCACCCACAAGCCTCATATGTCCTGCTGTCAGGCCAGCAGGTGCCCAAAGGCTGAGTCACATCTCACAATTAAGTCATCCTTGACTCAGAGATGGCTCAGCAGTCACCTGCCTCTCACAGCACAAAAGGTCATAGCACCCCATGCAGTAGCTTCTTCCTCTCCTTCAGTGGAAAGACCAATTCAGATTTCTCCTTCTCTGGCACAATTAGAGAGAGAGTCAGCCTCTCTCTTCTCATGTCCAAAGCCCTGAGAGGCTTTTTAAGTGGGGTCTCAATTCTGCTTTGAAATTGTTTACTTTCAGTTCATGTTCACCTTCTGCCTGCTCCAAGTCAGAAATTCCAAAAGGAACATTTTGTTTGCTGTTCTGAGTTTGGCATTAACAGTCCCTGTAGCTGGGTGGTCAGGTGCAGAGGCACGAAGACACTGTCCTTGTACAAAACAGTCTCAAATAGACTGGCCAGTGAGCCTCCAGTTCTCCAGGCTCCTCTCTCTCCTCTGCCTCCTCCTTGCATTTGGGGAGAGGCTCACAGAGATCAGGGAACTTGCTGGGGTTCAGAGGAAAGGGAAGTATGCCCCACAGGAGAAGGGAAGTCCCCTGGAGGGAAGAGGACCCCAGTCATCATGAGCAAAGAGCTGGAAGAGACCAAGCTAGGCTGGTTAAGGGAGGTTTCAGAAGGTTCATAACAATAGTAGCAAGCCCAATCACTGCTGCTGGTCGGAAAACCCTGCCCCTAATGCGGGTGTATGGAAATTAAATCAAGCAGGACTTAGTCAAAGAATAGGGTTCTAGCCTGGTGTGGTGGCTCAGGCCTGTAGTCCCAGTACTTGGGAGGCTGAGGCAGAAGTATCACGAGTTCTAAGCCAGCCTGAACTACAGTATACTTTTTTTTTTTTGGTGGGACTGGGCTTCAGGCTTGCAAAGCAGGTTCTCTACCATTTGAGCCATACCTCCAGCCAGAGCCTGGGACACATAGGGAGACCCTGTCTCAAAGCAAAAGAAAATAGGACTGGAGGCACATGGCTCAAGAGTGTTGCCTTGCAAGCATGAAGCCCTGAGTTCGAACCCAACTACTATAAAAAAAAAAGAATTTAGAGAGGAATTCTCTACTAGTTGTTTGAAAGGTATATAATGATCCTCTCTGAGCCTCAGTTTCCTACTTGTTAAAACCAGAGTAATAATACTTACCTTTCCGCATTGTTGTGGAGATAAAAGTGCTTAAAGCAGTGCCTGACATGGGGCAAGTCACTGGAGGAGTGCGTGCTGTCGTGGAGTGTGGTGACCCCCACGAGGGTGGAGTCCTGACTATACTTATTAGATGTGTAATCTTGTGCAAATGATTTAACCTCTCTGGGCCTCAGTTTTCTGCTCTATAGAACAGGAATAACCTCCTAGGACTGGTTGCAGAGACTAAATAAAATTAAACCACTTAGTGTATGGAAACCACTAAGCACAGCTTTTGGAACCAATACAAGCTAATTATTATTATTCTATTATTTTATTGTTCACATCTCCTGTTATCTTTAGATTTGCTCCTCTTTTGCTGCTCCATATGTCTATTGCCCAACTCTTCCCGCCACTAAAATATAAACTCTTTTACGATAGGGGCTTTGCCTTATCGTCCACTGTAATGCCAGAATCTAGATCCACACTGTTATGGTTGGATATGAAGTGTCCCCCACAGTCCTGGTCCCCAGCGGGAGGCGCTATCGAGAGGTGATTGGATCACAAGCGTGCTGACCTCATCAATGAGTTCATAGCTGAATGGCTGTTAGGAGGTAGGGCTTAGTTGGAGGAAACGGGTGTGCCTTTGAGGAAAGGGTAGAGCTTGTCCCCAGATCTTTTTTCTTTCCCTCTCCGCTTCTTGGAAGCCATGAACTGAGAAGCGTCCTCTCTCCATGCTTCCCGTCACCATGATGTTCTGTCTCACCACAGCGATGGAGTCAGCTGACCATGGACTGGAACCTCTGAAACCATGAGCCTAAATAAATCTTTCCTCTTTTAAGTTGATTTTCTCAGGTCTTTTGTCACAGTTACAAAAAGCAACTAACTAACTCACATGCCTGGCACATAGGAAGATCGTAACAGACTTGTCTTGACAGAGTACCTGGTTAAAATCCGTCAGTGGTAGCCAAGTGTGGTGACTCAAGCCTGTAATCCTAGCTTCTTGGGAGGCAGAGATCAAGAGGGTTGTGGCAAAAGGTCAGTCCAAAAAGTTCAAAAGACCCCATCTTAACCAATAACTGGGCACAGTGGTGCATGACTGTCATCCCCAGCTACATAGGGAAGCACAAATAGGATTGTGGTTCAGGCCAACCAGGGCATAAAAGTGAGACCCTGTCTCAAAAATAACTAAGGCAAAAAGGGCTGGAGGTGTGGCTGAAGTGATAAAGCACCTGCCTAACAAGCAGGAGTCCTTGAGTTCAACCCCCAGTACTGCTTAGAAAAAAAAAATCCATCAGTGGTTTTACCTTTAAATTATATGCTTACTTCATTCATTTTCATCATTCCTACTACCACCACTTGAACACTGGGCACCATTCTATCCTGCCAAACATCTCACCTTAGGTAAAGAATCGAATCGGCTACCCAATTTGGGCAAAGAGGGAGTAGAAAAAAACAAGGAGCAATTGAAGAGTATAAATTAATATCTCAGAATATCACTTAGCCATAGTTTCCCTCTAGTAAAAGGTGTGTTTTCAACAAAGAAAATTAATTTTTGACCTTTGTTTAACCCTCTTCATAGCATAGAGGTCTGAGTTTTTTTGGACAGTAAGCATTGTGACTGACTCTGCCCCAAACATCCCCACTCTATCCCATGATTGATCAAGAGCAGGTCATGGTGACTTCCACCCTTGTCAGAGATTGGGAGTGGGATTCAAGGAAAGCCTGACTGAGGGTGCCATCTTTTCTTTTTCTTACTTTTTTTTTTTTTTTGGCAGTACTGGGGTTTGAACTCTGTGCCTCATTCTTATTAGGCACATGCCTACTCTTAGCACTTGAGCCACTCTACCAGCTCTTTTTTTTGTATTGAGTATTTTCAAAATATGGTCTCATGAACTATTTGCCCAGGCTGGCCTTGAACTGCTGTCTTTCTGATCTCTGTATCCCAAGTAGCTAGGATTATTGCTCCCTTTCTCCATCTGGAAAGCCATGGAAAGCCAGGCTCTTTCCTCTGTAAGTTGGAAATGAGGAAACAAAGTTCCCATTGCCACTGGTATTCATGCCACAACAATAAAGGTTTCATCCAGAGCAAAGAAGTAGAAAGAGCCTGTGTCTTTGAGGCCACCATCCAGCCACTGGGTCCTGCTCTCACTCTTTATTGCTTAAGCCTATGCCAGTAGATCTTCCCATTACTTGTTGCTGATTCAGAATTTGGTGCCAGAAAGAAGCACTGCCAATACCAGACTGTCGTCAGTTGCATGGTGGCCCCCAAGGGCTATTTACGTGCTAACCCCTGGAACCTGTAAAAGTTACCTCACTTGGAAGAAGAGTTTTTGCAGATATAATTAAAGTACATTTTATTACTTTCAAATTCAGCCCAATGTTGAAAAGACATGTCATTTTAATTTAAAAAAAACATATTTGACTTTTATTATATGGCCATTCATCAAGATAAAAAGTTTTTCTGGGCTTGATGATGAATGCCTGTAATCCCAGCAATGAGGAGGCAGAGGCAGGAGGACTGCAAGTTCAAAGCCAGCGTGGGCTACGAATTGAGTTTCAGACCCGCCTAAATGACATAGTGAGTCCTTGTCTCAAAAAAAACAAGTGTTAGGGATGTAGCTCAGTGGGGTGCTTGCCTGGTATGCTCAAGGCCCTGGATTTGATTCCCAGCACAAAGAAGAAAAAAAAAGTTTTTCAACAAAACTTCATATGATCCAGAAGTTTAAGACTATTCTAAAATTTTAGTTCTGTGACTTATTTGCAGATGTTATTAATTTCAGAAATTGATTCTCCTGTAATTAAAAAAGAACCCTGGTCTGGGAATCTGAATACCTGAGTTCTGTCTCTGTCTTGGTCTCACTTCCTGCTCTGAGCATTAGCTGCTTCTCCTGTGGAACTATCAGTGGCTCCCAGGTGCCCAGATGCATCAGAGCCATATAGGTCCTTGTTATAAGTAGTTCTGAACTCGATCTCAGGTCCACTGAAAGAGATTTTTCTAACATTGAAGCCCATATGTGCTTTTAATTAACTGGGTGATTATGATACACGGCAAGATGAGCCCCAGGGTCCCTTGTTTTCTGATTTTTGTTCCATCACTGTCCTATCTCTGCTGCTAGATATTGTGCTAAAACAAAACCAAACACAGAATAAGCAATAAAAACCCAAGGCCCCGGTTTCATCATCATCATATCCCCCAACCCCAAAACCTTTACAGTGCCTCATAGATGGTAGGCACTCAATAAATAGTTGAAAAAATTAATCAATGGTGATAAAATAAGTGAATGTTATTTCATGTGGATCCCAGTCACCTACAGATAGAGAAATGTAAAGAGAAGAGAAACGATTTTAAACTTTGCCGGATACACTCTTGAATTTCCACTTGTCCTTCACATAACTTCACAATGGGTTATGTGCTTGAAGCAAGTGCGTTTTAGTTTTAGAGAGCTGTGGGAAGTGGGTCGAGATTGTCCTGTGGCCTTTCTCAGAGACGGTGACAGAAGCGAGTTTTCCCTTCCTTGACTTTTCCAGGTTCAGGAAAAACTTGTATCCTGCCTGGGTAACTGATGTCCTTGGGGTCATGTTGCAAAGGGCACCTCAAGTTTTTGGAAGACCCAGTAGATGGGAGGTGGCTTTGCCAGCAAAGGGTGTCAGCTGAGGACAGAGGCCTTTACAGTCAGCAACCCTAGGACACCTGACACCACCTTGAGACCCACAGTCCTTTTTCCCACTGCCTCTTCTGCATGTCACCAACCGTGCCTGGAGCCTCCCCAGCTCAGACACTGTCTGCTGGCCGTGGCAAGTATCGGCTCAGGATGAAATCTGTCACAGCAGTAGGCAACTTGGCCAGGGGGAGGTACAGTAGTTTGGCATCCAGGCCAGGGTTGTAGCGGATGCGGGGACTCCGGGAAACAATGGCATGCTCCATGCTGTTGGTGACATCACTGAATCTTGGCTCTGCCAGCTGCATCATGTTTTTCAATTTGTCAGTGTCTGGGTGCACAGGGGAAAAAACAAAAGCCTCTATTATTCTTCATGAAAGATGGTTTCTTCTGAATTCCATCTAAGCTCCTTTTCCATCAGATCCCAGGTCTAGCGTTTCAAGCAGGTTTGCCCCACCATCCAGGATGTCCCTTACGTAAATACCCATTTATAGAAGGCTGGGTGCCATGACACATGCCCATAATCCTGGTTATTTGGGAGGCAGAGATCAGGAGGATCAAAGTTTGAGGCGAGCCGAAGCAAAATGTTTGAAAGACCCCAACTCAACCAACAAAAAGTGGGCACTGGTGATGCCCACCTGTCATCCTGGCTATGTGGGAAGCATAAATAAAAGGAAGATGGTCCAGGCCAGCCAGACATAAGTGTGAGACCCTATTTCAAAAATACCTAAAGCAAAAAGGACTCAGGACATGCTTTGAGTATAGAGTACCTGCCTAGCAAGTGCAAGGCCCTGAGTTCAAAACCCAGACTGCCAAAAAATAACCATTTATAGGATCATTATAAATCGTCTTATATCTCTGTCCAAATTCTACAGTGTAAGCTGAATTCCTACTATTGCATTAGACCAGCAACGAGACTGTGCCACTTACCAGTTGTCTGAGTTTGAGTTCAAACTGTCATTATCTATAACACAGATAATAATACCTGCCCTGGAGAATAACAAAGATGTTTAATAGCTGGATAGACGATGGAGGAGGACAGAATAGAAAACATGGATATATGCATAGAAAAATTGGAAAGAAGGAAGTAGAAATATTGTCTGGCTGGTGAGATTTCTAGCTACATTAAGCTTCTTATTTTTCCTTTTCTTCTGTGTACTTTGTAGAGTCCCACATTTTCTATAAAAGCTTGCAGGGCAAAAGTTATTTAAAAATAGTAATCTGGCAGGGCACCATGGCTCATGAGTGTAAGATCAACTACTTGGGAGGCAGAGATTGGAAGGATTTGCAGTCCAAGTCCAGCTTGGGGAAATTTTTAGGGAGATACCATCTCAACTAATAAGCTGGGTTGTGGTGGTTTATATCTGTAATTCCAGCTATGTGGGAGATATAGGTAAGAGGATCCCAGTCTAGGCTAGCCAGGCAAAAGCATGAGACCCTATTGAAAAACAAACTAAAAAGCAAAAGGATTGGGAAATGACTCAAATTCAATCCCTAATCCCCAGTACTACCAAAAAAAAAAGTGATAATACTCCTGCCCCTCCCTTGTTCCAAAGGCCATCGTGGACACAAATGGCCAGCCCAGATGGCCGCCTTAACAGGGCTCTAACACAAGTAAGGTTTTTTCTGCTTGCAGCATGCTCATGGGTGTGGATACAAGGCTGGGCACCCGAGTGATACGAATCGGCTGGGGCTCTCAGTACGAATAGGAAACAGGCCGTCCATTCCTTGCCAGGCCCCTCTCTGAGACAATGGGACTAGGACAGGGACATGTTGGTGAGATTCAGACTTCAACGACAGCCCCAAGGACTCCAGAGAAACTGAATCTGAGAGTCAGCTGCCTGATGAGGGGTTAAAACTGGAAAGAGAGCTGGGTACTGGTAGATGGCTCACACCTGTAATCCTGGGAGGCAGAGATCAGGAGAGCCAAGGTTCGAAGCCAGCCAATAGTTCATAAGACCTATCTTGAAAATATCCAAAACAAAAAAAAGGGCTGGTGGAGTGGCTCAAGTGGTAGAATGCCTGCCTAGCAAGTGTGAGGCCCTGAGTTCAAATCCCAGTACTGAAAAAAAGCAAAACAAAAAATTAGTTGCTAACTTCAGCATGGTCCAGGCAGGTGGGGAATTCACCCCTCAGGATCAGGACCATTGTGAGTGGTTGGTGAGAACAGGCCCCCCACACTTGAGGAACTCCCTTGTACTTTCTGGAGAGAAAATGCTGGAGTGAAAATTCCAAGCTATATTTTAGAATCTCACTTAAAGACAGATTTTCTATAAATGATAATGTCCTAGAAAGCCTCCAATCTTGGACCTGGAATGAGTCCCTCCCCAGCAAGGCCAGGACAAGGAGCTGAATGTGAAGAACCACCAGGAGGCTCAGAACTCTCACATCCCCTCAGGGCCAGGGAGACCTGTGTGGGCTGAGGCAGTGGAGGAAAGCTGATGTGAGGGACCATTAAGACCATGGGTCCTGAAGGGTGAGGGGACCCACACAGACTGTGGGATGGAAAACTACCCAGTCATGGTAGGCTATCTGAGACATGTTCTTCCATGGTCCTCTAAAATATTTAATGGCTCCTACTTTGGGTTGGAGTGGGAAGGGGGACAGAAGAGGTTCCCACGCAGCCCTATCATTCTCATGATTGTGAAGAAGAACATAACTTTAGGTCTGGGCACCTGGAAAAGTGTTTTGTTCTTGAGAGAATTAAGCAAGAGAGGCTAGAATGTATCAGGGTCCCGGTCATGACAGTTATCCCCTTCTTTGCCAGGGACAAGTCCTAGGCTTCATGTGGACCCTCCATCAAGTAGCAGGAGGACTAAATGGGGAGTTTTTGATGGTTTCCCCAGCAGAGTGGAGGTGGGAAGAGAAACCAGCCTGATGGTGTGCTCCCCATTAACAGCACCTGGCCGTGGCCTTAGGTTAGTTAGCGCAAGAACACCGTTCTCTGTGTGTCTTTCCCTGTGATTTTTGTGTGCTAATTCTTTGGGAATGTGCCATTTCCAATACGGTTCTAAGGGCTGGAGGGGTGGTTCAAAGCAGTAAGAGCTCCAGCCTAGCAAGTATTAGGCCCTGAGTTCAAACCCCAGTGCTGTCAAAAAGAAAAGAAAAGAAAAGAAAAAAGGATCTCCAATATGGTTCTATTCTAGGTATAGTTAAAAATGACTCCAGGAAATCAGGGGGCCTGGTCCTGGGGTTTACAAGTCAATCAGGGGTGACCATAGCAACTTTCTAAAGTTTGTGTCACATGGTGCTGTATGAACACTCCTAAATATGTTTTCAATCTGTTCCACTGCACCCTTGCCACTTCTCACACTTGTCACTTCATGTCTTCATCCTTCCTTCATGGGTTTCTGGAGGAGCTCCCAACTGGCTGCTTTGTCTTTCCCAAGGCCCACAAAGGTGACCAGAGCTATTTACAAGTTTCCCTGGCACTTTCAGGATAAGATCCACACGCCTCAGTGTGGCCACCACAACCTTTCATGCCCTGATCCATAATCTCTCCCCACCTCTGTTGCCTTTACCCTTCACTCATGCCAGATAAGTACTAAGAGCAACTGGGAAGTTTCAGTGAGCTCATTCTGCCATTAGGCAGAGTGCTTTACATTTTTATTTAGTTCTTCTAGCAATCTGGGAGAGAGGAATTATTATACTTTTTAAGTGAATAAGCCAAAGTTTAGAGAATCATGCAAGGACTTTTGGAATCCAACCCCAGAATCCACTCTGCCTCCATAAGCATCTGATGATCAGGTCTCCAAATGTCGCTCATGTTCTTTCTTCAGCAAACATCTCTCTGTCTTGGTGAACTGCTATTCATTGTCACTTTGGTGAGGCTTTTGTGGCAGCAGAATCAGGTGTCTGTACTGTTTGCTGTTGCTTTGTTTTGTGTGCATGTCTATCATTGCACACACCTCTGTGTGGCCTTGTATTTGCCATATCTGCCCTGTTGGATTCCAGGAGCCTGTGTCTCACCCCCGTATCCCAGTCATCACTAGGTAACTGAAGAGAAAAGCCAATCGATTCGGAAAGTATTAATCTAAAAGCAGTAATACTGTTGGAAATGTTTCTCAGAAATCACGGTGTGGCACACAGATGAATTGGCCTATTGTGGTATTTTTTAAGCTCAGTCCTTACTGGGCTTCAGCATAACCGTACTAGCGTTTTTGCAAGTGGGTCTCAGAGGAAATTTGCCTTCATATATATTCTTTCATGAACCTCATTGAAGACTACAGTCGCTGCCTGCCTTGAGTACTTACTTGCTAAATGGTTTAATGAAATTTTTAGGCACTGATTAAATACGTGTTGCACCCCAGTCTCAGGGTAACCCCATAAAAAATTTGGACCACTCTTGCTAAGAGAGTTTTAGGGGGATTACACAGAGAATTTATGTTATTCACTCCCACTAACATCTATTCCCTTTGTTCTCAGCAGCTGAAGATTTCCCTTTGGGGACCCACTGTTCCCCCACTCTGAGTCTTTGGTCTGGGAGGAGCACATGACCCTACCTGAATCAATCCCTTCAACCAACCACTGTGTCTTCCTCTGATCCAACTGCCGACTTTCCATGGAACTACTGCAAAGGACTCTTTCCTTTTCCCAGCAGACCTCCCTCTAGGAAGGGGTGAGGAGATGCCACAGTTATGAGGCTCCCACAGGGCACAGAGTTTGTGAGACTAGAGTAGAAACAAAACCAGAAGAGCCAAGAAATAGGATGAAAACAGTCCTAACAGTATTATTTTGGGTCTAGATTGAGCTGTATTCGAAGTCCATTTTGCTTAACTTTTTAGTTATTGAGTAAAAGAATTTCTATTCTGTTTAAATAACTTTGGTAGGATTTTGATACCTGTAACTGAGAAAGTCCAAAGTGATCTATACCCTTAGGATGTGTTTTTTCTCCACACAGAATCTAATATGTCCAGAACTAAAAGATTACTTTCTTTTTCTTTTTTGGCAGTACTGTTTTTTTCGTTTTGTTTTTTGCGGTACTGGGGTATGAACTCAGGGCCTTTATCTTGAGCCATTCTGTGAAAGTTTTTTTTTGAGATAGGGTCTTGGGAACTATTCTCCTGGGGTGGTTTTGAACTGTAATCCTTCTGATCTCTGCCTCCTGAGTAGCTAGGATTACAAGCATGAGCCACCAACACCCAGCAGTACAGGGGTTTGAACTCAGGGCCTCATGCTTGCTAGGCAGGCGCTCTACCATTTGAACCACTCCACCAGCCCTGTTTTGTGTTGGGTATTTCTGAGATAGGGCCTTGCAAACTATTTGCCCAGGCTGGCTTCAGACCTCAATCCTCCTGATCTCTGCCTCCTGTGCAGCTAGGATAATAGGCATGAGCCACCGGCACCTGGCAAAAAATTATTTTTTTAAAGGAACACTTCACTGAATATCTTTTCCCTGAATCTTCCCTATCAATGAGTGAAGTGTGCTTCCATCCACCAGGTTCCTCAGCATAAATCTGGCCCTCATCCTCCTCAATTTCCTCTTCCCCACCCTCAGGGGCAGCTGGTCTAATGTAGGACTGGTACCCAGCAATTTCTTTTCAACTCTTCCACCTCCTCTGTCATGCAAACCACCATCCTGTCATGCCTGGAAGACTGCAGGCGCCACATAGGTCTTTCCATTACAGTTCAGAACACATCCTTAATCCGTCAGTGTCATTTGATGCTCTCCTTTGTCCTGTGCCCTTCAGCTATCCCTTGCTCGCTGCTCTCTCTTTAAGGAAACCCATAGTTTCCTTCATGGTTTCCTTAAAGTCATTCAAAAGGAGTGTCCTGCCTCAGAGGCCCCCCTGCAAAAATCTCCCTGCCCCACCTCTTTTCACTTTCCTGCAATGCCTAGCTCTTCCTCTTTCTCAGAGAAGAGGCCCCTGTGCCATAATCTGATTGGGGGCCCCGACTCCCAGCTCTGTTCTTTCATAGCCTTGCTTCTCCCCATGGCACCTAACTATGTTTATCATTAAACATATGTGTTTTAATTAACATTTGTTTTCCCTACAGAGTCTTCAGCTTCAGGTACCAAGGAGCAAGCACAGCACACTGTCCACTCCAAGTCTGAAGCCCCACACCGTGCCTGGCACACAGCAGTCTTACAAGGAAAGGTGTATTAAGCAAAGAAATGACTTTCTTGGTTCTCAAGTCTCAGCTTTGAACTCTCTGTTGATGTATAATGTTCAGAAATGCATGCCATTAAAATAAGTCCCTCCACCAAGCATTTCAGATATTCCAGGAATTTGCTCCAGTGATTACATTTAGCCCATTGCTGTAGTTTGAATCTGAATGTTCCCCAGAGGCCCATGAGTTAAAATCTTGGACACCAGCTTGGTGTTAAAGGAAGGTGGTAGAATTTTAAAAGGTGGGGCATAGTGGAAGGTCTTTAGGTCATCATGGGACCCAGGCCCCTTCCTCTTCCTCTCTGGCTTCCAGCCAGGCGGTAAGTAGTTTTGCTCCACCACAAGCTCCTGCCATGATCTGCTGCCACAGGTTCAAAACAATCACAAGGCAAACTGATCATGGACTGAAACCTCTAAAACTGTGAGCCAAAATAAGTGTTTTCTCTTGGTGGGTTGATTATCTCAGGTGTTTGTTATAGTAACAGAAAGCTCATTAACATACCTAACCAGAGTTTCTGGGTACATTTAAAAAAATTCATCACTTTTAATTTTGGATAATTTTTTGCTTGTTTGTTTTTGAAACAGGGTCTTGTTATGAATCCTAGACTGGCCTTGGACTTTCTATGTAACCCAGGCTGGCCTTGAATTCATTATGTAGCCCATGCAGGCCTCATACTCAAGATCCTCCTGCCTCTACCCACTGGGTGCTGAAATTATAGGAGTGTGTCACACCTGGGTGGATAATTATTATTTAAGGATCTCTCTTTGTAATAAGAGAACTTAAAACTTATAGGGACCAGTGTAATGGAGAAAAGGAGACCATACTCCATTTAAGGGAAGATAATAACAGCAACCTCATTTTTTTTTTTTTCTGACAGTCCTGGGGGTTGAACTCAGGGCCTTGTGCTCATTAGGCAGGTGCTCTATCACTTGAGCCACATTGCCAGGTCTTTTTGCATTGGTTATTTTTGAGATAGGGTCTCACTTTATGTCCTGGCCAGCCTGGACCTCTGATCTCGTATTTGTGCTTCCCCACATAGCTGGAATGACAGGCACATGCCACTGCATCCAGCCATTGGTTGACATGGGATCCCGAAAATTTTTTGTCCTGGCTGGACTCAAACTGTGATCCTCCAGATCTTCACCGCCCAAGGAACTAGGATTACAGGCGTGAGTCAGAGTGCTTAGCAACCTCAACCTCTTAATTCAAAATTGTTCTCGCCAGGGACCAGGTGCTACTCTACACTTAATTCTCAGAACTAATTGCAAATGAGAAAACTGAGAGGTCACATAACTTGCTTAAGGCCAGCAGCAAGTTGATATCTGCAACCTGGCAGCCTCATTCTGAGCCTAACCATGACCAAAACTTGCCTCTCAGGAATGTTCACGCACCCAAGTAAAAGAGGGGGGAAAAAAGAAAGCTGTGGGTAAAGGAAACACAGGACTAGGCAGCTGAGGTCCAGAAGGAGTGGGAAGAGAACTGGGTGTGCAGCTGCTTTGCTCTGGACCAGCGCAGGACCAGCTCTGCCTTTCCTGTCTGAGAGGCAACTGGAGAAGGGAGATGCCTACCAAGGACGTGTCATCTAATTGTGTCAGAACCAGTTTCTATCGCCAGAGATTGCCCCACACACAGGAGTGCCCCAGGGGCTGCTCTCCCTCCTGACCCTGGGAGCTGTGACACAGAGTAGCCTAGGAAGTCTCATGGATTCTCCCCTCCAGAAACGAACTGGCTAAACTTTAAAGAGTAGATGCTCTGACGGAATGTGGGACTTTCTGGCCCTCAGAGTGAACATCTTCTTCTACCAGGAAACGTCCAACATTTGGCAATTCCTTCATAGCCCCTCCAGGCCGCACTCTCTCATGTCCCCCACTGGCCTGGGCTCCATCCATCCCCACGCTGGAGGAACTGCACAAAGTTTGAGCAGCACAGTAAATAACTGAGATGTCCTTCCTCCACCCTCCAAAGGACCTAAGTTTCCCAGAGACCATTATCTAGGGGAGAGAAAGAAAGTTGCCAAGGGACCCTCTCTTTTAAATACCCATGTGTTCATTTTCCTCTTTAACAAGCACTTATTGTAAAACACGTCACACATATTAATCTCTTAGCAACCCTGTGAGGCAGGTGCCATTATTAGCTACATTTTGGGTTTTTTTGTTTGTTTTTTGCAGTACTGGGCTTTGAACTCAGGGCCTACACCTTGAACCACTCCACCGGTCCCCCGCCACACACACACACACTTTTTTGTGATGGGTTTTTTTCGAGATAGGGTCTCATGAACTATTTGCCTGGGCTGGCTTTGAACCTGATCTTTGTCTCCTGAGTAGCTAGGATTACAGCTGTGAGTGGGCATAAGGAGGCCAGAAAATAAGAGGCGGAGTCAGGACTTGAACCTAGGCAATCTGGCTTCAGCAGGCATGAACTTAGTCACCTCTCTCAGAAAATGCTCTTCTCAGAGCATTTCCACCTGATCCGCCTGCACATGATGTTTGGGGCAGGTGCCAGGAGTAGGCGGCATCTTTCCCCACTCCCACTCTCCTCTCCACAGCACCCCAGCAGCTGTTGTTCTGCAACTTGGTCTCTATTCTCAAACCCCACCCCCCCCACTGTTCTGGCCTTAGGCCCGAGTCCCTGTAAACTGAAAGCCAGTCAGTGACACCAAGATCTCCCCTACCCCTCTCAGAGACACTGCTCCTGCCCAGGGACTCACAGATGCTGAAGTACTCCTCTCCGTAGCTATCCCGGGTCTCCTGAGGCAGCCGCTCCCACAGCTTCTGCAAGCGTGACTCCATGCCCTCATTGCCCAGAATGGATGTTCGGTAGTTTCCCGGTTCAATGATGCTTACCTTCACCCCAAAGAAGTGGAGCTCACGCCTGGGAAATTAGAGTTACATTCAGTCTGGGCCTTCAGATGACAGTCATTGGAGAGAGTCACCTCTGGAGGGACTTGTCTCTCCAGGAAGCTCAGAGGTACTTCTCCCACCCTGGCAGCTGGCCCAGGCATTGCCTTCTTGCAAACAAGCCTTCCTTAGGGCCTTTACTCTTTCCCAAGCTGGTCCAGCAGTCTCTGAGCAATTTGCATTAGGCAGACCCAGCAGAGAGGACATCTACGAGAATCTAGTCAAGGTCAAGTCCTTCCCGCTCAGCCCCACACCCACGTGACAAAAGAAGTAAGGGGATCTATAAAATGCCTGCATCCTCCTCCAACAGTCACTCAGGGACACCCCTGCCCCAGGCCTCAGGGTCTGTTTGGGGAACTCTCTCTGGCTTACTCCCATAAGTCCAACAGGGTTTCCCTCATTCAGGGGCTGCTCAAGGGAAGACCCATCTGACGCTCTCATCTCCACCCACTTCTTCTCTCATCCCTTCTTTTCTTGGTCCTTGGGGGTGGCTCACTAAGGTCTAGTCTTTCTCCTGCTACTGTCTTAGCTTCCTCTCTCCAGCCTGTTCTGCCCACATGCTATCAGCTCCTACCCTTCTCTTTCTGAGGAAAACCTCCCAAGAGCCCCACCCAGAGAAGTTTGGTACCAGGGCCCAGTCACCTGATGCTGTCAGAGAAGGCCTCAACGCCAAACTTGGAGACACAGTAGCCACCGCCGATGATAGCTACACGACCACCAGAGCTGGACATATTGACCACTCTGCCCCGTGCTTTCTTGACCATGGGCAGCATGTGGAGGGTGACTTCGATCAGTCCTACTAGGTTCACATTGATCACCTTCACAAAGTCCTCCTTGGTCAGCCATTCATTGGGACCACTGGGCAGGCCCACACCAGCATTGTTCACTAGGGCCCAGAGACCTGGGAGTGAGATGGAAAGAGAAAGAATCACACGGGAAACCATCTCTGAAAAGGTAACAGAGACCACTACCCACCAGCTCAGGGCCACCAAGGATGGCTGAGCTATTGTATAAGACAAAGACGGTGTGACTTGGCATGGAGGTGGGAGCTACAGCAGCTTGAAGGACAGTGTGCTCTTTTTCTAGCTCATGTGGTCTGCCAGCTAGCTGGAACTCTGTACCACCTACAATCCAGGCTGCATGAGGCTAATAGCATCTAAGCTGTTATCACTGAGATAAGAGATACCACTTTCATACCAGTGAATTAATAAAATTGAATTCCCTCACTAATCTAATCTAAGTATAAGAAACCAATTCCATTCACCCATTCCTAGTCATCCATTCACACAATCATTCATTCATGCACCTACCTGTGCAATTACAGGATCAAGGAGACATGAAATGAACAAGCCAGGGTCTCATTCCTCAAAGAGCTCACAAGCCATAAAGAAAACTACTACTATTTATAAATAAATACATAAAACATTTAAACAAAATACATATGGAAAAATAAGGTCGGGGCTCTCCTTACATTGGGTTGGTAAAAAGGGAAGAAATAGTTCTTACGATTGGTCACTCCACTCTGTAGGGCTTCAGGTTAGAAAGCTGCAAGTTCTGGGCCTGGTTCTAGCTCCAGTCATGGAGCTTGCTTCCCTTTGTGGTTCTGCACCAGAACAGTTGTTTCCAGCTGGTCCCACAGACTGCTACCAAGGTAGAGGCTTCAGGAAAAGCTCTCCTTTAATTTGTTTTACATATTGAGCTTTCAAGTAAAATTTCACCATGGGTGATGGTACTAAACTCATACTAGAAAAGCTTCCAAATGGCCCTCAAGGGCCCTTCTGGCTCTTTTAGCTGAGGAACCCAGGAGCCCCACTCCCTGGATCCCTTCCCCTTCCCTCCTTCCATTGTATCTCCCATCTTGGCCAACACAGCCTCAAGATACTCTGCCTGGCAAGATCCACTCTTTCCCGAGGGCAGTCTGGGTGCCAACATCAATCCTGGTCTACTTCTCTCGTTTGGTCTGGGGTCCCTATCCAAGCCACACCTCCTATCTTCCTGCCCTCTTCTAATTAGATAGACTCCAGGAGAGCATCTGCCCAGCAGGACTGGAGACTTCCAACCTATGGGGACTCTCCTGCCTTACAGGGGAAAAAAGAGGCTCCTGAGACCCCAAAGATCATAAAACTCTAGGGGTCTCTGCTGTGGAGAACACACACCATTGATACCTCTGATTATCCTGGTGAATGGTTCCAGCAGAGGATGCAATGTACTGGGGACCAGGAAAACTTTACTATTTTTTCTTTTTCTGCAAAGAGTAACCAGAGAATAGTCAGAGCAGGGTTAACAGCTTTAGGGCTGTGCCAACCTCATGTCCAGGGACTCTCAGGGGCTTCAAGAAAGCATGCAAGCATTGCCTCTGCCCCCACGCCCAGTTCCCAGTGCTTCTTAGACCAAGGATGTAACCCCTAACACAGGCAGAACAATGGTCCTCCAAAGATGTCACCGTCCCAACCCTGTGACTATGTTAGGTGACATGGGAAAAGGGAGTTAAGACCATAGGTGACATTGAGGTAGCTAATCAACTGACCTGGGGGGGAGGACATTATTCTGAATTCACCTGGTAAGCCCATACAGTCACTAGGTCCCTTCTAAATGGAAGAAGAAGGCAAAAGCCAGAAAACCAGAGAGATGGAAAAATCATGAAGAGAACACAGCTTAATCTTGCTGGAGGAGGGAGTGGGTCAGCACCAAGGATTGCAGGCAGAAGGTGGAAAAAGACCAGGAAATGGATTCTGCCCAAGCACCCCCGGAAGGAGCACAGCTCTGCTGAGGCTTTGGTTTTAGTCTAATGAGGCCCATTTTGGATTTCAAAATTACAAGATAATAAAGATGTGTTGCTTAAGCCACTACATTTGCGTGAATTTGTTACAGCGGCGATAGGAGACGCATACACCCCAGTGAATCATGAACACAAATGGCTCTGGGCTGAATGAAGGGAGCTGGCTGAAGCAGCATGGTGGACAGAGGCTCACCCTTGCTGAATTATTCATTAATTTGCTCATTCAACAAATATTTATTGAGTACCTCCTTAAGGTGCCAGGCACCTTAAGAACATTCAGTAAATAAAAGAAATGAAAATCCCTGTTTCCAGGAAGCTTTATTCAAGCAGAGAAAACAGATAATAAATAAGAAAGTAAGTAAACTGCAGTGTGCGTTGGATAGGGATAAATGCTAAGGAGAAAAAAAAAGCAAGGCCACTATCTGGCTCCTTTCAGGCCCTAGGGTCCTGTTGCCCTCACCTGAGCAGAGGCCCAGTCCATGTCTGGGAGTGAAGACTTCCTCAGGTTGCTGCTTCTGCAGCCAAACTATCCTATTCCTCCTATCCTATGTCCACATCCCGTGTGCTAGAAATCTACGAGGCAGGTCCCCACACACTCTTGGTCCAGCCCTAGCTCACAGCCTTCTTTCCCAATGGGAGCAGCCACTCTGATGGAAGCGCCAACATCCACATTGATGTAAGGAAGGGATCAGTCTCTTTCCTGTCCGACACCATCAAAGACAACAAACCCCACAGAAAATGCCTTCTCTTAGAATCCAACTGGTCCTGCCCCCTCATTCCTGCCTCTAACTTGATCCCTGCAAGAAATGTGCTTGCACTTCCACAGGTGCTAATGGTAGGGCTTCTGAAGTTTCTGAGAGGCACCTCCATCTTTAGAGGTTTGGACATACAAAACACATCTTCCCTCCCTCATCTCCTATTGAAACCTCTGCCCCATCCCTCTGAATTTCTGGGGGAGAAAACTTCCTCCAAAAATCACCTCTTGGTGTGAACATACCAAACCATACAGTGTTTTCCAATCCAACTGCACCCCCACCCCAGCACCCCCACCATGTTCCCTCCATTACCTCTCCCACGTAATTCAGACATCGAATAGAAACTGAGAAAGCCAAAGAATGCAGTTTGCCCCACCTTGCTCGCCCACTTGGTCCCTCACCCACTGGGCTGCAGCTTTGATGCTCTCAGTCTTGGTGACATCCAGGAGGGTAGTCTGCAGTTGGTAGGAGGTGTCCTGCTGAAGTTTCTGGGCCCCCTCCTCAGTGAAGCAAGCAGCCAGTACTCTCATGCCCCGATCAACTAGCTGTTTGGCCAGCAGGTTCCCGAAGCCCGAGTCACAGCCAGTGATGAAGACATATTTCTCAGAGAGGTCACGAACCAGATTGCAGTTCTTGAACCAGCGGTACATAAAAGAGAAGTCCATGATTGCCACCATGGGGCAGTGGGGTGCTGATGGTCAAGAAGAAGGGGGCTCAGGAGACAGCAGGAGAGGCTGGCCCTCAGAGGCCAGCGGCAGTCTGCTGGAACCCACGGGGAAAGAGAGCTTCTAGAACTTGCAACACATGCAGGGCCCCTGGGTGAGCCACACAGTAATTTTATAGGTGGATGCATCACCACACCGACTAGTCCACATACAAGAAATTCAAGTCCAACCTGAAACCTTGTCGCCTCTGACAGTCCTGGTGACTGCCTCCCTTTCTCCCCCTGTCCTGATGGATGAAAAGGCCCAAAATGGGAGAGCTCATAGCAACATGGAGGCAAAGGGGTGGCTCACCAGAATAGCATGAGAGGGCAAATGAGAAGAGGATTCAGCCCAGAGAGTCCCTGAGAAAACACCCCAGTGTCACCTCCTGCCTGGGGACCAGTGTTTGTCATGGTTGGGTACTGGTGGTTAACACATATAATCCTAGCTACTCAGGGGCTAAGATTGTACTTTAAGGCTAGCCTATGAAAAAAAAAGTTTGCAAGACCCCATCTTAGTGGAAAAAAGCTGGATGTGGTAGCTCATGCCTGTGATCCCAGCAACAGCAGGAAGTGTAAAAGAGGAGCATTACAGTCCAGGCTGGCCAGGGTAAAAAGCAAGACTGTATCTCCAAGTAACCAGATCACGGCCAGAGGCATGGCTTAAATGGTAGAGCACCTGTCTAGTAAGCATGAAGCCTTGAGTTCAAATCCCAGCACTGCCAAAAAATCAAAAAATCATTTGTCATGAGTACAGGTATATAAATAAATTTAATTTTTGTTATCAGGGAAAAAAAATAGAAATTTATTAAGGCAAAACAAACAAAAATTAGACTGGGCCCTCCAAACTCCAAGAGAAATGATGCCCAGTTCATCAGCCCTTTGGAAATCATAAGTGCATCTCCACCATGAGAGATGATGAAAAACACAGGGCTTCCCATGCTGGGTGCCTCCATTGTCCTGAGGCAGAGGCAGTGGGCCTCCTGTAGGGGAGGCTAGGGATACGAGGCCTGACTTCCAGAAAGTCAAAAGATCTGAGGCGACCAGATCTTGAATCCGTTGGGAGTGATGCTCAGGACACAAGTCCATCATTCCACCCACTTCCCTGGTGACCAGGCCAACAGAGGGACCCTGGGATTGAGGGCACAGCCACTTCCCCAGGCAGGGTCCCAGGAGGCATTTTCCTTTTACCCCAGGGATCATTCTGGGAAGTCTGATGAGCTCACTCGGGAGCCTGAAGGGAGGTAGTTAGTGACAGTGGGAGGAAGGGACCAGCTGGCCCAGGAGCTAATTGGATGTACGGAGTGAAGAGAGGCCAGAAATCAAAGTGATCCAAAGGCGTGAGGCCAACAACAGGTAAAACCACAGGTGGCAAGAGAAGTCAGTCAGGAGGTAAGAAACTTCAGCATTGGGAGGAAAGGCAGGGAGTGGATGGCTCTAATGTGAATATCACTGAGACAGGTCCAGCTAGATTATGAGGCTGGATGGTGACTTCACTGCAGAGAAGGAAGGGCCTGGCCAGAGAGGTCTTATCTCTGAGAAGGATGAGGCATAGGAGAAGCAGAAGCTGCTCCATATGAGGGGAAAATGTCAGGGTCAGGCCTTGGAAGGGAAGGACAGATTCCAGAAGATAAGACAGAGGACTCACAGAAAGGTAGGAGGAAGGCTGCTAACTAAAGCAAAGGAAATAAGGACGTTAGCTAGGTGTGAGTCATGAGGGCCCACACCCAGGATTGCTTAAGATGCAGGGACAGAATGATGCTGGGGTGTAGGGTGGTTCCTTGGCTCAACTTCCAGGGTCACCATTCCTCAGGATGAACCCGGTCACCAGTTTACACCTTTTCTGTTTGGAGGACCTGACATAGAAATGGAGCCACAAAATTTCCTCAGGGAAGGGACAAAAGTTGCATCTCCTTGATCCACAAATTTTCAACTCTGACCAGCTCCAGAATCAGTTAAAGCAGGTGTAACCTCAGAAAAACCCAGCAAGGATTGGCCATTCTGTACCAAGGGTGGTGGTGGTGATGTCTTCAGATCATGAACCCATCTCAGAATGGTGAAAGACAAACCTACTATTTCATTCCTTCCCCAAGGCATAGCACGTTCTGTAATGAGTTGGAAAGTGTCTCCAGTCTCTGTTGGCTTCCTGGGTGAATGAACGAGGAAGCCATGGCTGGGAGAAGTCAAACAATGTCCCTCAAAGACCGAATTGGCCCAGGGATAGTGGATATCTCAGTTCCTGGGAACATAAGTGAAATCTAGAGGTTGGCTTGGAACCTGAAGAAAGATGACTCAGAACTGACCCAACACAGGCCTAGGTCAGACCCACCCACCTTCTGGGCCTCTCTGCTGACTCTCAGCATCCGTTGAGCTCAAGTGTAAAATGCAGACCATGGAAGTGGAGCTATGAAGGCCACATGCAGGGTTGGGAGCACCTCCCACCTGAAATGACAGTCTCCTCACTGAGTTGGCACTTGAGGCCTGAGAGATCAGGCAGGTGGGTGCCCTCCTTCCCCACCCCATGTTCACAGGTTCACAGGTTTCTTTAAAGGAGAAAAGCCCTCACCTCCTCCAGGCTGTTTCCATTCTGTGTGAGGGAATGGTCTGGCCACAGTGCGACATACCCAGAGGAGGTAGACAGGAGGAAGCAGGGATGGACTGAGCCCATGTCCCTGGTCTCTGCTTTTGCCCCACCAAAGTGCATATGGCTCAGATTCCTTAGAGTAACAGGTCGGCCAGGAGGTACAGAGCCTTGAATGGCAGCCCAATAGGATGCCAATAATTGCCACTGGATTTCCATTCTTCTGAAAAATGTGCTTCATTCTTCCTGATATTCCCAGAATCCTGACAAATATCTCAGGAAACACCAGTGGCAGAGGGGAGGAGGGATGGGGGTGGACCTATATGATGGTAGAGACTTGAGAGATCCCTCCTACCACTCTATTTTGAGCCCCCAACACATCACCCCTCACCCCACCCCACCAGACCCTAGCAGGCACCCCAATCTTGGCTTCACAGGGCCTTGAAGAACTCCCGTAGACCATGGCATCCACCAGAAATGTGGGTATGTAGCTTATGAGGAGGTAGGAGAGTTTGGTGTCCCAGCCAGGGGCAGGGATTCAGGTGGTCAACACATGCTCCATGCCATCTGTCACCCAGGACAGATTCATCAGATTGTGTTTCATCAAAATCTTTTCACACATTTTGAGGTCTGTTCAGGATGAAAAAAGATCCCAATGTAATCCCTCCACTTCCACTAATAACTCTACATTAGGAGGAAAGTTTCTAAGAGCTTCTGGCTCCACAGTGATATGCACCCGAAATCTAATCTACCCACACTCCCCAAGGAAGCCTCCACATTTACCTGGGGAACAATTTTCCATACCAAGCTTATCTGGTTGCCTTCCTGGGAGTATTGGGGCTGCATAAATTGAAGGTCTCTGCTAGCAGAGTCTATTCATATGAAAATCAGCTTTCTTCAAACTCAGCTCTATTGTCATGAGTCTACGGGTGTCTTCCCTTTCTGGATTCACTTTCTTCTTTACAATATTGAGGCTAATTTGCTAGCCATGGTAGCAAGTTGCTGTAGTACCAGCTTTTTGGAAGGCTGAAATGGGAGGGCTGCTTAAGCCCAAGAGTTCAAGTCCAGCCTGGGCAACAGTGAGACCCCACACGAAAAAAAAATTTGAGGAGGTGATGAACTTGTTCAAGTTACACTGTATGCAAGTATGGAATTATCACAATGAAATCCCCTTGTATTGTTAATGTATGCTGATTCAAAAACAAAATTTTAAAAACTGAGGGGTCACGCAGCACCATGGGAGTAGAGCTAAACATCTTCATTTTTCCAGGGAGCCAGAGCCTGAAGGATGGACTCTGTTGGTGATGAAGGTGCAAATGAGGGATCCAGGACCCTGCCTCTCCTCCTACTATGTACAGCTCAGTCACAGGATGACAGAAACTTCTTACATAGATCTCCTTGACCTCCTGGCCCTGCCCTTTGCCTCCTGGAAGAACCCACAAGTCTTTTGAAGAACCTGGGCTTGGTAACAGCCAACTTCACCCCAAAAAAGAGAGCTTTCTCCTGCAGGGTATACAGATAGAAGACAAGAGTTTCAGAGGATTAGGGAGGCAAACCAATACAGCAAATAAATCCAATAAAAATGTATAACAGGACTGGAGTAGGATCATCTGTAAAGCAGCTGGGAAGCATAGCAGCTGGGGCTAAAAGGTTCAAAGATGGCATTGCCTCTCTGTGTTGAATATTACTCCAAGAATTTTGCATACACCAGCTCACTTCTCTAAATCCTATGCATTCTGCCAGACTCTCTCCAGTCATTTGCCTCACAGCCAATGGTTCACCAGGCCAATGTCACCTCCATGCTCCTCCATCCCCTCTTCCTCTGTCCTGCCCCAGGAAGGTCACCTAGGCTCTCTGCTGGGCTTCTGCAACTGCGCCCACCCACCCACCCTCCCTTCTGCCAGGAACAAGCTGTCTTGATGGGTGAGTGAAAGGAAGCTGCTATTAGTACAGAGTTTTTGCCCACCCAAAACTTTTGAGGAATCTTGCCAGGGAGCGTACAGTAGGTATCCCCTTCACATGCAGAGAAGAAACAAACAGACTTGAAGAATCCGAGTGTTATCTCTGAACCCCACATGCTCCTTCACCCACTGGGTAGCTATGGTGATGTTCTTTGTCTTGGTGACATCAAGGGTCACTATCTCTAGCCTATCTGATGTCTTGTTCCTCAACTTCTCAGCCACCTTGTCCATCAAACACGCAGCCTAGCACCCTCAAGTCTCTCATGTCTAGCTGTCTGGCCAGCAGTTTTCCAAAACCCAAATCACAGCCTGTGATGAAGACATACTTGTAATACAGGACCACAAGACCTGCCAGGTAGAGCCATATGACTTTGCAGAGTACAGGCACAGACACACTGGGGCAAAATGAGCTTGGCCTGTGTTCTGATGGGAGGATGGGAAATAACACAGAGAACTGTATAGGTAGCGTAGCCTGCAGGCCTCTGGTATGGAGTCCTCAGTTTGCTCCATGACTACTGTCTTTCTGAAAGTTTTTTTTTATACTCCCCTACCTCTCTGCTCAGGGTTTCTTGCTGGAGAAAATTGCAGATTTTTTTCTCAGTGACCACAAGTTCTTTCAACTGTGAATTCCCAAAGTCCATCCATGCACAGTGACATTTCCCAATCTTCACATCTATTGCTCCTCTCTGAGTCATCCTGACAGAAGTATGGACTCTTGCTGGACGTAGGGGCTTTCTAGAACACTCCACAGTCTGGAGCAGTCCCTGGACACTCCAAAGAACAGAGAGAAGAGGAGTCTTGGCGAGACTCCCTCACCTGGAGCCAATGGGCAGAAGAGAGGTACTTACTACATGGAGACTCCCCCACCCCTCCCCACCCTCACAGTCCCTCTACTGAGATTTCTCCCTGTCAGTGTCCTGGATAGAGTGGCCTTGTCCTGGTGCCAGGACTGCAATTCTGAGCACCTGCACGCTCTGGACACTCATGTCCCCTGGTCGTACCGGCAGCACCTGGGCAGAACCACCTGTTGGGATCAGGACTCCAGGAGATTCCAGCTTAGCCACATGGTAACCACTCTCTCAGCATCAAGGTGGCCCCACCAACTCCCCTTTCTCCATGCAAGATGGGATTTCTGCAGAAGGGGAGGCACAGATGAAAAGCAGAGTTGGCCAGGATAGGAAGTTGGCGGGGAGGCTCATGGTATAAACCTGTTTCCAACTCTGCAGGCCAGCAGCCCCTACCCAGTTTGGGCTGGGGACCCAGAAATGAAAGGATACTCATGTCCTGAGGGGCCAAAGATGAAGAGTTGGAGACATAAGACTGGGACTCAATGACCTACAGACAGCCAGGGCAGCAAAGGGAAGGAAGAAGGGAGCCTTTTATGGTATACTGTGCACTGTGATGACTTGGGCTCCAGTCCCTATGGAGGTCCACTGGTGGTCCAACCTCAACCAGGAAAGAAAACTACAAGGAGCAGGAAAGGAGGACTCTGACAAGGGTCTGGGATAAGGACTTGGACTGCTTTCTACCGCACTTCCTTTTAAGGCCATTGCTGTTCAAACATGACCAAGTTGTTGCCCTTAAGTCACAGACCATGTTTGGAGACATGGGTCTGACCTGAGTGCCACCCCACCAGTGGAGCCCCTCAGGGTGTTCAGGGACTTGTACCCTCACAGTCTTCTGGCCCTCTGGAGAAGACTCTGCAGGGTGAGTCCAAACCTCTGGGATACCTACTCCATCCAGCTATGAGTGAGTTGACAAGAGTGGGTTTTAGTTCAGTGTGTTTTGTGTGTGAGGTGAGGGCTTCCTGTGTGGGAGAAGGGCTGTGTGTGTGTGTGCAAGCAGAGAGGGTTATAAAATCCAGGAGGCTTCAGAGTGAATATTAACTCTTGCTCTGCTTTTGAGGGGACAACATGGATTGACCTTGAACAAGCTGGCACAAGAGCAACCCTTGATCATTCTTGTTTTTTCAACATTCAGCTGCCACACTCACTACAAGTTTTAAAATGAGTGACTCTTGAAACATTGTGTGACATGTACAACTTTATTGTTTTATGTATTGGTTAAAACTTAAATGAATAGGCTGGATATCAGTGGCTCATGACTGTAATTGTAATCCTAGTAACTTGGAGGCTGAGATTGGGAGGATTACTGTTCCAGGCCAGCCAAACTTTGTGAAACCCCATCTTAAACAATAGTTGGGCATGGTGGTGAGTGCCTATCATCCAGCTACAGGAGGAAACATAAAACAGAAGGATCATGGTTCAAGCCAGCCTGGGCAAAAAGTAAGACCCTATCTCAAAAATAACCAGAGAAAAAAGGGCTGATGGTGTGGCTCAAGTGGTAGAGCACCTGCCTAGCAAACATGAAGCCCTGAATTCAAACCCAGTACCACAAAATAAATAAATAGAAAAAAATTAAATAAATGGACCTGCAACAATGACTATCACTTTCTGTTTTCACAGTGAACACTGGTTATTGTTCAACTATATCAGGGTCCGTAAAGTCTCCATATTCTCAACTTTTTGGCAATACTAGAGATTAAACTCAGGGCTTCGCATTTGCTAAGCAAGCACTCTACCACTTGAGCCACAGCCTCAGTCCTTTTGCTTTTAGTTTGTTTTTCAGAGAGGGTCTCACTCTTGATCTTCCTACCTCCACCTCCTGAGTAACTGGGATTATAGGTAGGCACCACCAATATACTTGATTTTTATATTGATGGAAGAAAACTAAAGTACTAACCCCCAACTTAAATTTGTACGCAGTCCAGGAATCTCTGCCACTCTTTGCAAACACATTCTGTGTTCAGCCTACACTTGGGAAGATCGTCACAATACTGACAACATATAGCGCCAGGTCTCAGGAAGTCAGGGATCATTCAAAGGCATTCTTGCACCTGAGCAGAAAGTGAAAGCCAGGGTCCAGATGTGAGTCTCACTCCATGCCAGTGGAGAGGTATAGAAGGGGAACAGAGATGGGGGATCTAAGGAATGGCACCGGACAGAACTGAAATGACTTCAAAGGGTGGGTCACTGAGGGTTGCAGGGAAGGTGCTGGCGAGAGGAGGAGGGTTCCAGTTCCCCAGGAAAGTGATCTGGGGCCTGCCAGTACCTTCTGGATCTCTCCTTTTGCTCCTCACCTCACCTCTGTAACAGGAAAGTCTGAGACAGGGCAGGGTAATCCAATTTCCCTCTTCAAACCCTCCTCAGGGCTTCCCTTTCCTCTTCTCCCCTCATATCCATGAAGGTGCCTTACTCTTCCTCCCCGTGGCCCACACTGGGAGTGCTCCTCCAGGTCACATTCAAATCACTGGGCACAGGTGAACTTTTCAACCTTTATTCTAAACAAATGTAATCAAAAGAAAGCCATGATTTCAAGACAAATACAAGATTGACTTCTGTGTCCTCTGCCAGGATTCCTACTGGGGTACCACCTCCCAACCAATCCCTGCTATTGGCACCCAAAGCCTGAGGGGAATGATTTGCTGGTGGTGGCCCTCCCACCCCACACATGGGCACAGGTGATTTCAGAGGAGGAGTGCTAATTTTCCTCTAGGCCATTCCATGCTGAGGGAGAGTGCAGACTAGCCAGGGCTAATGCATACTCTAAGGAGGAGGGCAGGAGACAGGAAAGTGTCGGCTAAGCATCCTCCCACCTGTTTACCCCCTCCCAGGTTTGTTAGCCATGATGCTCAGTGTCTTGGGTAGCTGCCTAAGTCAACTGGGCGTCAGTGAGTTTGACTGAGTCCCTATTCCTCAGCAGGGTTCCTTGGCTCTTTCTTCCTAACTTCTCCAGTCTTGAGTAACACATCAACAGAATTCTTTGGATGCAGAAGGTGGAATAGGTGCCCTTGTGACATGAGAACTGTAGCCCTTCACCCTATTTTCCCTTCCCTGGAGGTATCCCCTGTTTCATGCAGTACCCAATTTCCCTCAACCATGCACTTAAATGTTGGATTCACAGGGTTTTGGCCGGCTTTGGGAATCTCCAGTAGAATATGGTATCTGTCAGGAAGGTGGGCAGGTAGCTCATGGGGATGTACAAGAGCTTGGCATCCCAGCCAGATGAGTACCTTGTGCGGGGTGACAGGAAATCAACGCATGCTCCATGCAGTCTGTTACTAAGAACAGGTCCTCACTGCAATGTTGGTCCAATGCTGCAACAATTTTCAGGTCTGTATAGAATGAGAAGTGATTCAGGTCTACTTCCACTTCTCACCACTTCTGCTCTGAGATCAACATAGCGAGGGAAATTTCTCTAAGAATTCATGCCTCCCACCCCTATGCCCCAAACCTAATCTACTCAAATTTCCCAGGAAGTGCCACAACCCTCCTCAAGGAACACTGTCCCATATAAGCCACCTCTGCCTCTGTTCCCAGGAATGCCTGGGCTGCATAAATTGAAGGGCTCTCTCAAAAACAAACCCAAGCATGTGGAAAGCAGCTCTCATGCCAGGTGGCATAAACACTCAAGTGTCTCCCCTCTCTGGCTTCACTTTTGTCATCATGATAATGAGGGGTTCAGATGAAATAACTTCCCAGGACCTTTTCTTAGGTGAACAGTTGCCCACACAGCACCAAAGGAAATGGGCTAAAGGTCCCCACTTTATAAGGATACAGAGCTGGGGCAGACCTCATGCTGTTGGAGGCACTAATATTAGATCAAAGATTCTTCATGCGAGTTTGCTTCTCTTCCCATCGTCCACAGCTCACTCACAGGATGCCAGGAAGTTCTCGCCATAGATCTCCTTAACCTCCGTGCTGGTCTTGCCCCATTGCTCCTTGAAGTATAGAACCCAACTATCACCTTTGGTCATGGCAGTTTTGAAGTAGCCAGGCTCAATAATAGCCACCTTCACCCCAAAATAGGAGAGCTCCCTCCTGCAAGGCAGACAGACAGATAGCAAAGACTTTAGAGGTCTTTGAGGAAAAAAAAAAACAATAAATAATACAATAACATTCCAACATTAAGACTGGGTAGAGAAAAGCTCAAAAGCTGGGACTAAAAGTTATAAATATTGCCTCTGTGTATTTGAATATTGTTCCAAGTATTTTACATATACCAGCTCACTGCTCTAACTCCTACCTATTCTGTTCCCAGGTACCAATTAAGAGTCTGTCATTGGATTGCCAGGCTTTGCCCATGTCACCTTCTCCACATTCCTTGGACCCTCTTTTTCTCCCCTCCTGTCCTGGGAAGCTTTCAGGCCAGCTCACGGCTGTGTTCCTGCAACTGTGTTCTAGAGAGCATCTCTCTGCCTGCAGTCGTAGCTCCCCACACTCAGAGCACCATCCATCCACTCTGTGGTCAGCATGGTACCTGGATGCTGATTGGCCAGAGTGACTTCTCTGATTCAATCCCTTTCAGCGTTGCCCTGCCAACAGCATGAATTATATGCCTGTTCAGGTCTGTCAGGCCCTCCACAAACCCACCTGCCCAGTCTCCCTCCTGCCGGTCCTGGCCTTATCCCCTTCTCAGGGGGAACCTAGCAACACAGGCAGTCAGTAAAGCACACACTGGGTCTGGGCTGAGGACATTTTGTCACCCAGGAAGCTCTTTCTACCCTTCCTTACCAGGCTGTTAGTTCAGATCTTCAACCTTCAGCTCAGGCCCCTTCTGCATGACCTGTCACAAATCTGGTGACTACCATGGTCACCATGGCTGACTTAGTCACAACCACTCTATGGGAGAGCAACAACGACACCATATGTCTCATCCTTCTTCCTTTTTGGCTGCCAGTTTTTTGATCAGGGATAAAACTTTATGATGCAAGGGTTCATTTATTGTACACTCAGACAAGAATTCAATACATACCTGTTGAATTGAGCAAGATGCTCCACCCACCTCTAGGACTGCCTGAAGCTGAATATCACAGAGCTCATAGGTCTGGGATCTGGGATCAAATTATCTGGGGCTCAAATTCTGCCCCAGAGACTTTCCAACTGTGAACCCTCCTCCAAAGCAAAGTAAGTTTAACTGAACTCAGGTCTGGGGCCCTTCCCTAGACCTAAGACATGGGAGGGTTGTTCCCAATGAATGATCCAGAAAAGGGGAGGTGAGTGAGAGTCACAAAAACCAGAAGGAGAGAGCTCTCCAGTATGGGGCCTGTAAGGCTGTGATTAAACAAAACCCCTACCATCCTTGTCCAATACCTGAGAGAGTCCGAGAAGATCTGCACACCACACTTGGAGATGCAATAGCCACCACCAAAAAATGCTACCCGACCCATGACGCTGGAGACATTGACCACACGGCCCCTCGCCTTCCTCACCGCGGGTATCATGTTCAGAGTCACTTCGATCATCCCCAATAGGTTCACATTGAGGATTTTTGCGAAGTCCTCTTTGTTCAGCCATAAATTGGGACCAGTAGGACTGCAGATGCCAGCATTGTTCACCAGGCCCCAGAGTCCTGGAGAAGATGAGAGTCATACTGTGTTACATTTGTGCAGTGTGGACATAGTTGTGTCTTAAATTTATATGTCAACAGATGGAGAACATTCTGACCGGTGTTAGATGGGGAGTAGGATAGGGAAAATAACAACATGGTATCTGTAGGGTTAGGGGTACAGATCCTGGAAGCTGCTGGCTGACAGAATTGAGGCTCTCCTCTTTGTTTGGTTCTTCATCGCCCAACTCACTGCCTTCAAGGTAACAGGCAATCACCTCATATTTGGTAAGTGTAAGAACAGATGTTGAAGAAATAATGTTCATCTATTACTCTGCAAACATGGAAACTATGATGGGGTTTTCAATAACTTAATGTCATCCTTGCAGGCATTTTATTCTTTCACCTTCATTTTTAGATTTTTCTGAGCAGCTTACGCTGAGTGCTCCCTCTTATCTACCAAGAGAAAAGAAAGACAGGAGAGAGGGAGAAATAGGAAGAGGGAACAGAGAAAAAGACAAAAAGAAAAGGAGAGGCAAGGCTAATATCTGGGTAAGATTTGGTTAAAATGGAGACCTGAAGTCCTTGTTGGGGGAGAATTTGGAAAACAGTGATGTGTTTGTCCTCAAAAACCAGGCCTTGAAACCTCCAGGATCAATATTGAGCAACTATCCTGAAGCAGCACTTGCAAAACCCAAAGGGCAGCCTTAGGAAAGAGATAAGGCTGCCTCACCCTGCCTACAACACACAAGCTCCTCCTTCTGCCCCAGAAAACAACATCCTCTCTTCCCACCCAGCCAGAGGGCCGCCCTCACTCATCCTCTTAGCCCCCAGTTCACTGACCTTTGGGTAATTGCTCTGAAAGACCAAACACCAGATCTAGGACTAAGCGGCGTTTCTACAACAATTGATTTAGGGAAAGGATGATGCTATTGATCTGAAAGAATTGGCCCAGGATACCATGTTCTTCCTCTTCTCAGAAACATGCCTTGCCCTTATAGGGACACATATTTTTTTCACCAAGGTATTTTATTTCTAGAAACCCAAGTACATATGTGTTTAGAGAAATGTAAGTAAATAGAAGTTTACCAAGATGGCCTTTATGACAAGAAATGTAGGAAATGAGCTAGACACAGTTGTGCACGCTGTGGTTCCAGCATTAGGGAAGGTGAGGCAGAAAGATCACAAGTTGGAGCCCAGCCTGTGCTACAAAGCAAGACCCCGACTCAAAAAAACCAAACCAACCAAACAAAAATGTATGAAACAATTTTAATATCTGACTAGTAGGTATGTTTATATTAAGTAGAGCTATGTCAAAGGGTAAAATACTCTAAATCATTAAATACTATTATTTGAAGAAATTTTCGAAACAGAACTTTCTCAAAAGAAGAAATTCAAATGGCCAAAAAACACATGAAAAAATGCTCACCATCTCTAGCAATAAAGGAAATGCAAATTAAAACCACACTAAGATTCCACCTCACCCCTGTTAGAATAGCCATCATTAGCAACACCACCAACAACAGGTGTTGGCGAGGATGCGGGGAAAAAGGAACCCTCTTACACTGTTGGTGGGAATGTAAACTCTGGAAAAAAATTTAGAGGCTACTTAAAAAGATAGACATTGATCTACCATTTGATCCAGCAATACCACTCTTGGGGATATACCCAAAAGACTGTGACACAGGTCACTCCAGAGGCACCTGCACACCCATGTTTATTGCGGCACTATTCACAATAGCCAAGTTATGGAAACAGCCAAGATGCCCCACCACTGACGAATGGATTAAGAAAATGAGGTATCTACACACAATGGAATTTTATGCAGCCATGAAGAAGAACGAAGTGTTATCATTCACTGCTAAATGGGATGGAATTGGAGAACATCATTCTGAGTGAGGTTAGCCTGGCCCAAAAGACCAAAAATCATATGTTCTCCCTCATATGTGGACATTAGATCAAGGGCAAACACAACAATGGGATTGGACTTTGAGCACATGATAAAAGCTTTAGCACACAAGGGAGGGGTGAGGATAGGTAAGACACCTAAAAAACTAGCTAGCATTTGTTGCCCTTAACGCAGAGAAACTAAAGCAGATACCTTAAAAGCAACTGAGGCCAGTAGGAGAAGGTGACCAGGAACTAGAGAAAAGGTTAGATCAAAAAGAATTAACCTAGAAGGTAACACACAGGCACAGGAAATTAATGTGAGTCAACTCCCTGTATAGCTATCCTTATCTCAACCAGCAAAAACCCTTGTTCCTTCCTGTTATAGCTTATACTCTCTCTACAACAAAATTAGAAATAAGGGCAAAATAGTTTCTGCTGGGTATTGAGGGGATGGGGGGGAGAGGGAGGGGGTGGAGTGGGTGGTAAGGGAGGGGGTGGGGGCAGGGGGGAGAAATGACCCAAGCATTGTATGCACATATGAATAATAAAACAATAAAAAAAAGTAAAAAAAAAAAAAAGAAAATTTCATTAGGTGGTAAAACTGTTTCTCTTTTCTAAGTGAAAAGAATGCACAAAACTATGAACAAAATATAATTGCACGCAGGTCAAAATGTTAATAGCATTTCTCTCTCTGGCTAAGATCATATTGGTTTTGTTGTGATTTTACACATTTCAGCATTTTTTGTCTTTTGTAGTACTGGGGCTTTGAGTTCAGGACCCATTTGCAAGGCAGGTGTTCTTACTGCGTGAGCCACTCTGCTAGCCTTTCTTTGTGGTGTTTTATTTCAAGATAGAGTCTTGCAAGCTATTTGCCCGGGGCTGGCTTTGAACTACACTCTTCCGGATCTCTGTCTCCTGAGTAGCTAGGATTACAGGTGTAAGCCACTGGTGCCCAGCACATTCCAGCATTTTTAAGAATCATATTTTTTGTTTATTCTTAGATAAAAGAAATCAACGTTCCTTTTTTAATCCCATAATAACAGACAAAACAATGTAGTGAAAGAAAGAAAAAGTGACTCCCTCCTAGTTTGTGACTTTCCTAAATCAATCCTTAGCCTGCCTGTCCTGCTCTGAACATGGGAATGATGATAGGTGGTTGATCGGAAGTCGTTACAGTGCCGAGTCATGAGTGGCTCCAGCATCGCTCCAGCGACTTAGACACTGCAGCTCTGGAAAGACTCTCTATCCCTAACCAGCTCAGCATCCAGCAATCCAGAGCTTCTGTTTAGAAACAGGGGCAGAGGACAGAAAGGATCTCTGTAGGGCAAATTCTCACCAGGATTCCCTGTCACCAAGACTAGATTGCTCCAAAGATGGAGGAACACTGGAGAGAGATGGGGCTCAAGTTGACAAGCTGGGGAGAAGGAAGCTGGTAATAATTCAAGTCTCCCCAAACCCTTAAGGAGTTTTGCCATGGAGCACACAGGAGGTGTTCCCTTCACACTCAGAGAAGAAACCAACAGACACAGGCAGGAATCTGGGTGGTACCTTTGTTCCCCACACGCTCCTTCACCCACTGGGTGGCTGCAACAATGCTCTCTGTCTTGGTGACATCCAGTATCACCGTCTCCAGTCTGCCTGATGTCTGATTTCTCAGCTGCTCGGCCCCTTTTTCTGTCAGACATGCAGCCAGCACCCTCATGCCTCTCATGTCCAGCTGTCTGGCCAGCAGGTTTCCGAAGCCTGAGTCACAGCCTGTGATGAAGACGTACTTGTCTTGCAGGTGGCTCACCACCTGCCTCTCCCGGTACCAGCGCAGAAGGTGGTACAGGACCACAAGGCCTGCCAGGTAGAGCCACATGGCTTTGAAGAGGACAGGACAGGCACAGACACACTAGGGCAAAATGAGCACGGTCTGTGTTCAGACAGGAGGATGGAGGAGAGCTGTGTAAGCACAGCAGCCTGCAGGCCTCTGGCATGGAGTCCTCACTCTCCTCCCTGATCACTGGAATTTTTTTTTTTACTCTTGCCCCACCTCTTTGCTCTTTGGACTGCTTTTTTTTGACTGCTTTCAATCAGACTGATAAAAAAATGTCCTTGGATATCTCACGTCCTGTCCTCAAGGAAAACATAGCTGACTAGTCCGTTTATTCCTCTCTGACTTTCTGTGGCCACACACTCCACTCTGGTCAGGTTCCAGGCTCAGACTGCCTCTGTGTGCCTTGCATGCCAACATTTGCCACGGACTTTCTGAACACACGTAGTTCTTGGGACTCTCCACCCTTGGAATCCCTCTCTGAATGTGAGTTTCCTCATTAAGCTCAGCACCCAGAGTCATGCCTCCGAAAACTAAATCACTGCCATTCTCTCCAGGCACAGAAAAAGGCCAAAGGAGTGGACTTAGGTGCTCTCCTGGCATAGTAGTTTTCTGGAAAGAGGGACAGGGGGACCCCAAAACAGGGAGTCTAACCTCAGAATCAAAGAAAATAAAAAAGAAAGTTAATGGGAAGGGAATCAAACTTCCAGAGCTGTTGACAAGGGGGAATAGAAACTTTCACCTCCTGAAGATGCTCTTTCCCCAGTTGTATGGCTACAGTTTGACATCACTGTAGCCATCTTGAGTTGTAACTGCCATGACTGTCCCAGAATCACCCTAGCCCATTTTTCCTGCAGAGTTTCCCAGCAAACTATAAACAGACAAAAGCTTTAGAGCAGTATATGGAGCTTTGCAATTGGTCCCTCCAGGGATGTGACTGACTCCTTGATACCAGCTTAAGATAAATTAGGTGATTTTTAGCTAGAACGAAGCCACTTTTGTCCTAACCCATATATAGGCCTCACTTTCTGACCCAAATTGCAAGGATCCAACTGGTCTTGTTGCCATTCAGAACCATGTGTCTGTCAATAAGTCCCCAATAAATTGTACCCTAGATCTGCCCACCTCTCTTTCTTACATCTCATGGCACCTTGGTGTCAGTCCTCATAGACTAGGACTGAGTTGTTTCAGAACACCAGCCCTAGGCACCTGTCTCATTGCCTTCTGCCCTCCTGCTCTTGGGACTCTCCTGTCTGATCACACATCTAGAATCTGGTCTCTGCACACACTGAGAGTCTAAAAGTAGAAAAGACTTACTTGAACAAGGGCCACAGGGACAGCAGGGTGTCTTGAACCTTGGCCCTGAGCCCTAACTGCTGGGAAGGTGTTAGTTCAGTGGGTATCGAGTGTGGCCACATAGGGGGGAGCTTTTCCTCAGGAGAGCAGAGACAGGGCCAGAAATTGACCTACAGCTACTGACTATGGAGAGGGACGGTGCTCTAGTGTGAGGTAGAAGATGCTACTTCCCATGGGGGCAGGATGAAGAGGGGCAGGGACAGAAGAAGCCAGGGTTTATTCTGTTCATGTTTATGCAAAGTTCTGTTCTTTAATTAAGGGAAGGTAAGGAGAAAGGACAGAAGTTTCCTGTAGAAGCCATGGCCGGAGAAGAGTTGTGCTCCCTGCTGGTTAGTCTAGGGCACTACAGTCTTGGCTCGGGTGTTGGCTTGGGATCTGCCACTGTAGAATCCAGCCCATTCTTGTAATGTCCATTCTCTTCACCATAAGGGTGTCCCTCTCCCAGCAGCACCCTACAGAGTCCTCCAGGAGGGAAGGAAACAAGAAGACTCTTGGCTGGTCAAGGACTAGATCAAGTTTATTATGCAGACCTGTTCTTAGCCCTCTAGGGCACATAGATCCTTTCTAAGACAGGGTGAGGAACCCGAGCCTAAAAAGATACACCCTTCCCAAAGATCTGAGGAGAAGGAAGGGGAAGTCACCGGTCCTCTGCTCCTCAGAAGGGCCAGGACAGCAAAGAGAAGGACTGATAGCTTTCCTCATGGCACCCATGCACTATGACAGTACTGGGCCTAGATTCTGCTCAGGTCCATTGGAGGGGACCTGGCCTCCTCCCCAGGAAAAGAGGCTTAGGAGAGGGTGGAGCAAGCTGAGGATCTGAAGAGACTTTGAGGCTCAAATTACAAAATGGTTCAATAATCAGCATCTTTTTCAGGAAAGAAAAATGAAACTAGAAACTGCATCTAGAAACTCCAGTTTAAACCTAACCAATGGTTTCATTCGAATAAAGCAATATGAATGGTGTATCTATTTATTTGTTTGTTTATTTTTTTTCAGTACTGGGGTTTGAACTCAGGGCCTTGCACTTTTTAAGCAGGTGCTCTAACACTTGAGCCACCACCCCAGCCCTTTTTGCTTTAATTATTTTTCAGAACTGATTTTGCACTTTTGCCAGGGTAGATTTTGGTCTGTGATCCTCCTACCAATGCCTCCCACATAGCTGGAATTACAGGCATGCACAATCACGCCTGGTCCTAATGGGTGGTGTCTTGAGCGTGCAAAACACTAGAGCGTTGGTAGAGTCACAGCTCCCTGAGGACGGGGACTAACACTTACCATTTCCTGTGTTTCTGGAACTTGGCAATGCCTCAAATCTAGCAGAGGTGAATGAATGTTGGGGTAGATGGTGTTGTAATTCCTGGTTTCACTCTCTGCCTTCATCTGTATTCCTTATACTGGCTGACAATATGAGATCCTTAAGGCCTCCGTTGTCCTCATCTTTATAATGAAGAAAAGGAATCACGATGACTTTGGCAAGTCCTTCCAACTCTAACTTTTGGGAGTCTAAGAATCCATATTTTATCAAAATGGTGGAAACAGGAAGTTGAGATCTCAGATAGCACTGGAGAATTCAAGGGGAAATTCTGTCCAGCATACATTAGGTGCTCAACAAAAGTTAGCAGGAACTGAAAAATTCTAGAAAAGAGAGGATCATGACATCCACATAGAGGCTGAGGGAAGTGCCAGGGTTCAAGAGGGGAAGCTAAAGGACTTACAGAAGTTAGGAGAGAGATGAGAAACCAAAGGAGAAGACAGGCAGCATGTTGGGAAGTATCTAGGTGGTGTCAGTGTGGGGGAGGGGAAGGTGGTCTATGGGCTCTTCCAGTCTCTTATCAGGCTTTCCAAGCTTCCTCTTCCTTAGATTAATGTTACACCCTCCCCTCCTCACTCAGGAAATCAGAGAGTAAGTAAACAGTTGTCTTGTGGAAGAATGGGGGTGATAAGCAAAGATGATTCATCTCCCCTATCTCAGTGACATCTCAGACCACACCACTAATGCTCAGGTGTCATGAAGGAGATGCTTGCTTCCTCACTCAAGAAATTTCCCAGAATTCCCAGGGTTAAGTCTCTTCCAGAAGTGGAAACCCAACTCTGCTTTTTCATCCTAGCTCAGGTTCATGAGAAACTTTTCAAGGGCAGTCATTTTTGACCTTTTTGGACATCATGAGCCTCTTTGAGAACCTAAGTCCCCATAAAAATGCACACACACCCTTTACAAAATTTACTATATAGTACTTCACAGGGGCTTCCCACTGAGAGCTCACTGAACTACTAGCAGTGACTTGTGCAAGTTATTTAACTCTCTGTGCCTCAGTTTCCTCATCTATGGTAGTATCTACCTCATAATTGTTTATGAGGATTAAATGAAGTAATGTCCCTTACAAACTGTGTCTAACACATGGTGAATATTCACCTAATGTTATTATTACTATATTTCTTCTGTCTTCTGTGGTGACTCAGAGTGGCATTTATGAATGTCCCCACCCTTCTGTGTAAGAAGCACAACTCCAGACAACTAAACAAAGGGGAAGTTTACATTGATCCAATTCAGAGAAAAAGTGGTTACTGGTGGTGGCGGGACTAAAGAGAGGGGCTCTCTTCTTCCTTATACCCTTTCTTATTCGAGAGGGCAGGCTTATGGCAAGCACTTTATGTGTACTATCTCATCTGGGAGAGAAGAATCACTATCCTCACTTTATATGCAAAGAAATTCAGACCCAGAAAGGTTAAGTCACTTGCCCAAAGTTACACTACTCAGCAGTGGAATAGTGTCAGAATCTGGTCTGATCCCCAAACTGGTATATCTCCACTCTGTCTCCTGAAGGGTAAGTGAGCAGGGAAGAATTGAGCACCAACACCCAAGGGCAGGGGAGCACTGTTCTTTGGGGAGCCCCCTTTCCAGGGCTGCTGGACAGACAGGCTGTATCATGAGTCCAGAGGGCAGAGTGACCTTCACAGTCAGACTTGGCTTCTCCACTCAGTGACTTTCTAGAAGCTCATGCTGGTTGTGAGAGTACAGTCATTGCCAGACTCCTCAGCCTTGACCTTTTCACCATCCACCTGCCCAGTCACACAGGTCAGACAAGACAGGGGGTTCCTGGGACAGCCTGTCTCACCCTCTCTCCAGACTTAAACACAAGCCCTTTGCCCCCTCCCAACTGGAGAAGCTGCCTGACTTTATCTCTGTGTCTAGATATCTCCTCCCGGGTACCTTCCTTCCTTTCTAGTTGTTGATCATAATGTCTTGTCTACATTTTTTGAAAAAAACGAACAGTGGGGCAAGAAAGAGTAAATTTCCAGGAATTGTTTCAAAGGGGCTGCTCTTGCTGCTCAGAGCAAAACCGTGTGACCCCCTCCCTCCAAGGTTGGCAAGGAACCTAGCCTCCTGCCCCTCCTTCTTTCCCTTCCTCCTAATCTCTTTCTTTTCAGCTGCCTACCCACCCCCTCGGGGGGAAAAAAAAAAAAAAAACTTCACATGGAAACTGCAGGTTTCTCACTTTATTCCTTCCTGAGGGAATAGCTTTCCCTCTGAGCCTCTGGCAGAAGGAACCTCCATGACTTCCTCCTGCTGCAAAGGCACAGTGGGTGGTAGGCGTAGGCAGCAGTTGGAGCAGGCAGAGGTGAGGTGGCAAGAGTGATGTCTCCACAGGGGAGGGAAGATTCAGAGACCCAGGAGACAGAGGAATGGAATGGCCATGAGTGTGGTCCACGGGGAGAGGACAGAGACCACATGAGGGTCTTCTTTGCTCTAGCAAAAAACTCTTGCCTGCATGGCTCAAAGGGAAGTGAAAATTCTCAGAAGGCTCCCTACTGAAAAAAGATACCAATAGGATAGAAATCAAGGAGAGAGGGAGAGGAAGAGAGAGAGAGAAACTGTCTGAAAAATCAAAGCAAACCACACTTCACATAGCTATAACTCATGATAAATTTCTTGATGTAGAATTGGTCTAACAGATGAAAGTTTAAGAAAAGTGCAAAATTAAAAATATCTCCTCCCATGGAGGTAGATGGAGTATTAGTGACACAACTGTGAAGGCACTTCATGCCGTCACTGAACCGTATTCCTAAAAATGGTTAAAATAGTAAATGTTACATATATTTTACCACAATAAAAAAATTAATTGGCAAACTTTAAAAATCCCTTCCTTGAGTGGGAAAACAAATTGTGGTATGTACACATAATGGAACATTGCTTGGTCATAAAAGACAATGAGGCACAGACACAAGTTACAATATAGATGAGCCATGGAAACATGCCAAGTGAGAAAAAACCAGACACAACAGGTCACCTGTTGTATGATTCCATTTATAGTAAATGTACAGGCGAGGTAAATACATAGAGACAGGGAGCAAAATGAATCAGCCACGCTCAAGATCAGACCCTCCACCACCAGCCTTGGGATCTACTGGCACAAGAAGGGCAGCAGTCCATGCTGCGTTGCAGAGGAAATGCCACAAGGGCACCACACACTGTGCATCCTGGATTTCCCCAGCCTCACATCTACATCAATAGCACTATGAAGGACACCTTGTTTAAGAAGCAGACTGAATTGCTCATTGCTGCCAAAAGCATCCACGCCGGCCAGTTCTGTACTGCAGCAAGAAGGCCCTGCTCATACTGGCGAAGGTTTTCCTGTGGGCACCAAGCCCGAGAGTACCATCAACTGCCGGGGGCCCCAGGCTAACAGGGCCCAAGTCTCCAAGAACAATGCCAGTGTTAACTCCCACAACCCCAAGAGCAAGATGAAGCTGCCCCAGCCTTGTGAAGGGTAGCTAAATTGACGAGTCCATCCTGAAGGTCAGCAGTACTTACCATGAAGAGAAATAAGGCAAAGAGGAGCGGGGCGTAGAGGTACATGCCTGTAATCTAAACACTCAGCAGACCGAGGCAGGAGAATTACAAACTTGAGTGCAGTCTGGGCTACATAGTAAGGCTCTGTCTTGCTAATAAATAAATAAACAAAAAAGCAAATAAATAAAGCAAAGAGGAGCAGCTGGCCACACATGTGGCACGTGGCTGTGGACCCTGTGGAATTTCCCTTCCCCAGTAGTAACCACTAGGATGAGGGCAAACCCTCTACCATCAGTAGAGATGCATCTGCTGGCCACAAAGTAGGTCTCGTTACTGTCTGCTGGACCTGGCATCTCTGTGGAACCAAGACTAGGTAGGAGAAAGAGAAGTAAAGTTGAGGGGCTTAATAAAGTTTGTCTTACTGCCACTTAAAAAGGGGAGAGAGACCTGGAGGCATGGCTCAAGGGGTAGAGTACCTTAGCAAGCATGAGGCCCTGAGTTCAAACCCCAGTACTGCAAACAAAAAAAAGAAAGAATAGTGGTTGCCAGGGGGCTGGAGGAAGGGAAGAGTAAGGAGTGATTTAACAGGTAGAGAGTTTTCCTTTGGAATGATGAAAGTGTTTAGGACCTAGACAGAGATGAGAGTTGTATAACAATGGGGATGTACTCTTTAAAATGGCTAATTTTGTTATGAGAATTTCAATGCCATTAAGTAGATTATTCTCAATCACCTCCAACCAACACACCCTTGGCCCTATATCCTACAAAACAGGAACCTAGGTCCAAATGGCTCTGCCATGTACACAGTGTGGCTTGTGCATGACAAGCAACTCTTTGGGCCCCAAAGAATATAAAGAAGCCCATTCTCTCTCCCCAGAGGTGCCTCGAGGATCAGTGGAGGTAACTGAAGTGACTGAGAGGCAGGCAGCTTTGCTGACCTGAGATGTCATCAACAGTCATGAGCTTTCAGTCCTTCCCGCACACCCCATTCCCTATCTCATTCCTGCCACACACCACACCTTCTCATGGAAGAGAATGGGGTCTTGGGGAAGATGATACTCTTCTCTTTCCTTCTCCATCCAGAAGTCACCCTGAAGCTGGTTGCTGCTCCCTGCTCCCTCCCACATTCAGCCTATTCTTCTCCCCAGATCTCACCTCTTATCACAAAATGAAGACAGGGAGCTGGAAACCCTGGTGGTGTTGTTAAGGGGTGAACATGACCCAGTAGGGATGCCAGAGTTATTAAAAGCCTAACTGGTTTTCAGATTTGTTTCCCTCCCCTCCCCCACCCCCATTCTACCCTAAGGAACCAAAACAGACAGGGAGAGTGAGACTCCCAGCCTGCTTGGAGAGAGGAAAGTATGCATTGAAGTATTTTTGGAACATTTTTGCCATGGCTGGCTCTGAATGGAGCACTTTACCTTGATGGCTCATTTAAGTCTCACAACATCCCTTTTTAGCAGATATATGCTTGTCTCCACTTTGCAGAGGAGAGAACTGAGGCTTAAAGTGGCCAATTCATACAGCTAGTGAGTGTAGGGTCTGAGTTTTAATGCTTGCAGCCTGACTCCATCTTTTGCTGAGACGTCCCCTCTAGCTGGATTGGGGGAGCGCAGGAAAAACTCCAGCCCTCTCCCACAGAGCCTCGGCCAGTGAGAGCTATTTCCTGGATGAAGGGCGGCCCTGAAGGCAGCAGCAAAGCCAGCCCAACAACCACGGTCCCTTTAGCTTCCTAGCAGCTAACAGCCCTAATCTGCAGGACCTCCAAGAGGTGAGGTGCTTCCAAGGGAAATTCAGGTGAGTGTCAACTTCTCTCAGGGAAGATAGGGGTCAGAAGCTTGGAGACAAATGGTTTCTTTGTAGGATCCTGAGATTCTCCTGGAGCAAGAATTTGAGGTGTGTGTGTGTGTGTGTGTGTGTGTGTGTGTGCCAGCCATGTATACAGTCTAAATAGCAAGACAGAGAAGAGACCCCAGTGAAGTCCTATTCCAAAGCACCAACGAGTAAAATGTCCTGAAAGAAGTGGTTGGAGACCACCTGGGACTAAGGTGAGGTGTGACTGAGAAAGGTTAGGAAGAAATGTTGTCGGGTGCAAACAGTCCTGGTCTCTTCTAGCACTGAAATTCCTTCACAAAGTTTCTCTGCTCTTGGTGCAAAGCCTGCAAGTCACAATTTGAATGTTAAACATTCTTTTTTTTTTTAATGTCTTCAGCCCCAGAATCTATCCCCAAAGCCCCCTAGTCCCTGTGGCTTCTACCTGGGGAACATAGACTGCTTTCAAGGTCTCCTTTCTCTTCCAACTTGCCCTTCTTCTCAACAGACATTAGCTGGTCCTCATGTCAGTCAAACCCAGCTCTGGGTCCAGCCCTTTGGAAGGCCCCACAGCGGTGCCTGATGATGACTTTGGGGAGATCCACAATTGGACGGAACTGCTCTACTTCTTCAACCACACTTTGTCTGAGTGCCATGTGGAGCTCAGCGAGGACACCAAGCGAGTGGTTCTCTTTGTTCTCTACCTGGCCATCTTTGTGGTTGGGCTAGTGGAGAACCTCCTGGTGATATGTGTCAACTGGCGCCACCCAAGCCGGGCAGGGCTGCTGAACCTCTACATCCTCAATATGGCCATAGCAGACCTGGGCATCGTCTTGTCCCTGCCTGTGTGGATGCTGGAGGTCACGCTGGACTACACCTGGCTCTGGGGCAGCTTCTTCTGCCGCTTCACTCATTACTTTTACTTTGCCAACATGTACAGCAGCATCTTCTTCTTGACATGCCTCAGCGTGGACCGCTATGTCACTTTCACCAATGCCTCTCCCTTCTGGCAGCGCCACCAGCACCGAGTGCGGCGAGCTATGTGTGCAGGCGTCTGGCTCCTTTCGGCCATCATCCCACTGCCTGAAGTGGTCCACATCCAGCTGGTAGAGGGTTCTGAGCCCATGTGCCTGTTCATGGCACCTTTTGAAACGTACAGCACATGGTCCCTGGTGGTGGCCCTGTCCACCACTGTCTTGGGCTTCCTGCTGCCTTTCCCTCTCATTGCCGTCTTCAACGTGCTAATGGCCTGCCGGCTCCGGAGGCAAGGACAGCCTGAAGGCCGACGCCACTGCCTGCTGGTGTGTGCCTACATAGCCGTCTTTGTCATCTGCTGGCTGCCCTACCATGTGACTCTGCTGCTGCTCACTCTGCATGGGACCCACGTCTCCCTCCATTGCTACCTGGCTCATCTGCTCTACTTCTTCTACGATGTCATTGACTGCTTTTCCATGCTGCACTGTGTCGCCAACCCCATCCTCTACAACTTTCTCAGCTCAAGCTTCCGAGGCCGGCTGCTAAGCGTTGTGGTCCGTTACCTTCCAAAGGACCAGGCCAGGGTGGGCGCACGGGCTTCCTCTTCTTCTTTTACCCAGCACTCCATCATCATCACCAAGGAGAGCAACCTGCCTACTGCAGCAGAGCCCCACCCCCACCCCATCCTGAACTTCCAGACCCCCTCTCTGCCTCCAAATCTGCACTCTACAATTGCATAGCCTGCTGAGGTAAATGCCAGGCTCTTGCAATTGGATGAGTAGGGTTAAAGGCCTGAGGGGAAGGGGGAAAATTTGTGGGGAAGGGTTAGAGCACTTGTGTGGAATTTGGGTATATCTTAAAATACTGAGGTGGGAAGAGGAAGAAGGGGTGGGAGGGATAGAGAACAAGTCTTTCGTTGGTGCTGCGCTATTTGTTTTGGTTCTTGTGTCAAAGGGAGCCCTATGAGGAAAAAAAAATGGTGAAATAAATAATAGAGACACCCATGGCTCTGGATTTCTGAGAACTCTGCACTTCCAGCTGGGCTTAGGAAGGCAGCTGAGGCTAAAGGGATGCTCTGCAGAGGGAACTAGATGCCCTCATTTCATAAATCACCCTGGCCGGAAGGAATGAGCCCCACAGGAACCTTGCAGAACTTTCCTTTTGTGTTTGTGTGCTTGTTGATCTTCCAGCTCACTATGCAGGTTGTGGGGACAAGAGGCCAGAGGCCAAGGAACCAGGAGGACGTTTCCTAGCTGTGCATCCTCAGTGCTGTGATAAGTGGAGGGGGATGGGAACCTTAGGGGTGGGGTAAAGCTGGGTCTGAGACAAGCACCCTGCAGTTGGGTCAGCAGGATAGTCTCTCCACCCTCAGCCATTCAGGAAACAGCTCCACTTCCTTGCAGAGACTGTCCCTTCCCCCTTGTCCATCCTGCTCCTCCTCCCCCAAAACAGAAGCACTGTCCCACCTCAGTGTTCCTCCCAGCCAACCTCCCATCTTTGGATCTAGGACACTATCTTCTAGGGAGACATGGAGCTGTCAGAAATACCACCACCCTGATCTCTCCCTTTCTGTCCAGATCATAGGAAAATATCAGAGACTTCTATGCTGAGAGCCAACCAAGGGGTAGCCAGCAGCTGGTGCTCACAGTCACTCATCCCTGGCCTTTGTCCCCTGCCCAGGGATAGGGAAGGCCAAAGTGGACATTTCTCTCAATTCTGTCATAGGACAAAACTCTGGCACTAAACCAGTTCTTCCTGGCCAAGTCTCTTCATAATTTTCTCACCAGCAACTTACGTTTAACATGAGATAGGGAACAGCAGGTCTTCTGGGAAAGGTTCACTTATCACTCTGGGAAACTAGGACTATGAACATGAAGAACTGTGACGTAAAAGCCTAAGAACAGGTGCTAGTTTCTGCCTTCCAGTTCTATATCCTTGGCCTCTTAATCTGCTCATGGAGAGTGAAGGACTTGCAGATGTGATCACTCTTTGGTCCTGCTCAAGAACCCAGTGTGCCTGCAATGTCTCACTTGGAACAACTACTCCCTTACCCACAGACAACTTTTCTGCTTTTAGAAATCTCTACCTGTAGTCAGCAGATGAATTATACACCTGCTTCAAGGGTGCTTGTACACCGGGTTTGTCAGGAGTGCAGAGGTAAGCCATTATCTTCCATCCTTTGCTCTCAGGGCCCAAACCTGAAAAGGTTTGAAGTTACAGGCAGCTGCTCAGTGGCACAGAGCTGAAAGCTTTTTGAACCAGGAATCTGGGTTGTGGCTTGGGGCTGCAGTAGAGGCGTAACCTAACAAGGCAGAAATTTCATTGAAAACTTTCCTCCCTTGTCCCCACCTAAAAAGTAAGTCAAGACCTAATGCCCATATCACTGCTTCCTCTTACTTGTTCTTGGAAGCTTTCTGGAGGAAATCTAAGTTTACATCTGTCACATCCCATGTCACCAGAGACCAGTTATCACCCTGGCAGTATGAAAACTTCCTTACAGCCTTTCCTCCAGTGGAAGGGAAGAGTGGAAACTGGCTATGCTGACTGCAACAAGTCTGCTTTGCTCAGCACACATTTACTGAGCTGGTCCTGGGCATATGCTCTGGGACTAAATGGACCACACCATTCCCTACCTGCTAGAGGTCTGCCTCCTGTGCAAACACATTGGTATCAATCTCACAAAAGTATATCAAACCTTTGCCTCCTTCTTTCCTCTCTTTTCAGGCACTGCTCACCATAATGTAAATGGTAATGGCAAGAAAAGGTGTGGCCAAATCCCTTTGGATTTGGGGGGCCAACTAGACATTAGAGGCCCATAGATCAGAGAACACTAAAAACCAGTCAACAAGTTAATCCTGGGGAATTCCAGCTACAGGAAAGGAAAATGTGCTATCTGAAAGAATTCTGGCATCTGCTGAGCTGACATGTGTTATTGAAAAGGAGATGAGTCCAGATGTTTCAAACTCAAGGTTATGAGCATGTTCACAGGATGCAGGAAAAGAACTCCCAATTCAAATTTCTGTTTTTTATTCTAAATAAAAACCACACTTTGTGCTGAACAATGGAATATAAAAGAATCAGATGTACAACGATTTTAGACATCTACTATTTGGGAAAAAAAGTTTACAAAATATACAAAACTTTACAGCAATAGATAGTAAACACTTAAATATTAGGAGGTCAGTACTTCTTAATTTAATGGAAGGAGTTAGGCGTCAACAACTCTTCTCCGTTTCATAAGAGATTTTAGCTATTAGAGGTGGAGGGCAAATTGGACAGGGGAGGGTGTTAAAGAAACATCAAAATCAGAAGTTTCATTTTCACTCTGATGTTGAGTTTATGACACATAATCACATTGAAACTAACGCTGTGTACCCTGCTTCCTGACTCACCGCAGGATTTAGGGAAAAGGACACATGGGGACTCCCAGATGGGTACAGACTGTTCCACATAGCCCACTCCCATGCCAATGAATTCAGTGTCCATCTATAAAGGGATTTAAACTCACTTTCAAAGTTAAGTAGTCTGGAGTCTAGGGAATAGGGCACAGCAGGAAGCCAGAAGAGGAAGAAAATTTATCAGTAGCAAAAACCTGGACAGGGAAAAAGGTATTTATGCCCAAAGTTTTCTTCTGGAGACAAAGGGTTGCTGACAGATCAGAACAGAAGAATCAAAAAGAACTTTTACCCATCCCCTTATTGTTAGGGGTTACCTGGGACTACCCCCCACCTTACCTCCTTTCTTCCCAAGTAGCAATGAACTGTAGGGTTTTCCAGGCAGTCTTAAATTCAGAACCAAATAGTAAGGTTCAGCAAAGCTTCCTAGCAGTTCTGTGGCATTAGGAGTCACCATTGTGCCAGGGCACTGAGCCCCACCTCTGGAACAGCCTCCGCTGTTTAACCCAGTGTGGCACACAAGTATTGCCATTTCCCTTTAGGAAACAAGCTGGGAATGGCCCCAAGTTTGGTTTAACGCTCTACAATTGCCACCTTGAAATTCCTAATTTGTGAACAAAAGCGCTCTGCAAAGTATGTAGCTGCTCCTGAGTATGGAACAAGAAAAAGGGGACAGGCTAAGAGAGAGCACTCAAGGGTCAAACAGAACTCCAGAGCAACACAGCAGGGCACAGTGCTAAACTGGGCTCTAGGAGAGAAGGAAGCAAAAAAATTAAAAACTTTAAATGCAAAACAAAATGAATACCTTCCACCAGGTGTCACATACTGCCCTTTGCCATAATAAAGTGTTTCAAGTAAAACAACTCAGGAAAGGGTGAGCTAGAAGCAGAGGCAAACATGACTTCACACGGATGAGTTTCAGTATGTTGGGTACCCAAGGGGCGGGATTTGGTCAATGAGCCTCATGAGCCACTGATCCTGCTTGCTACAAGTCTGACTAGGACCAATTGGGCCTCCCTGATCAACCATTTAGCCTCAGGGGTATTAGAGGATACTGTTTTTGTTTATTTAGTGTTTCAAGGATTTGCTTTTTGGTTTGCTGGCAAAAAGGGAAAACTTCACAGTTTCAGGTTAAATATACGGAACACCAAGAATGTATGATGTCCTCTGGTAAGGAAGAGGTTTTCTCCAGCATATTTATTTACTCTCAGCTACCTGTCTGGGTTCCAATAAGTACCACCATTCTCAACCCAACCATTAAATACCCAGTCCTCACCAACTGTGTGCATGTGTGTGTGTATGTTTGTGTGTGTGTGTGTGTGTGTGTGTGTGTGTGTGTGTGTTGCGTTGCAGGGAGTGGGGGGATTTCCTCATGCTCAAAAAGCATGTAGTCTGTTACACATTTCCTTCTTAAATTCCTAATGGTCAGTGTAAGGTAGTGGGAAGCTGATCAGGAATGAAAAGTCAGCACTGATTTCCTGACAAGAATACCCCAAGTGGTCTGTAACAGTCACTGTACAAATCTCATCACCTGAGGGGACTAGAGAGCCACCAGAGAGTGCTATGCTTTAACTCTTGAGGCTTTCTCGATTCAGGGATGGGGAGAGAGGCAGCAGGCCCAACAGGAATGGAGCTTTGGTTTGCCTATATGTCTTAATTCAGACAAGGACAGGAGGCTCCCTAAGTTTAGGAAGGATGAGTAGCTGTGAAAAGGTGCTTCAGGTGACGTGATCCCCTCAACTCAGTCCTCAAACACTCCATCACAGGATGAAAGGCAGGCGAAAGGTCTGGGAATTTACCTGGCCCCAACTTTTTAAAACTTACACCCATTGCCTTAAAGGGTCTCTGGATTTATTCTGCTAGATACTATCTAGAGAGAAGAAAATTTAGTTTAAAAGGCTTATCACATTCTCCAGGAGTTACACACCTTTTCCCAAATCTACGGCCAGGACCATCCCCTGGAATATGGCTACTTGCTGGGGAGAACCTCATTTTCCTTAAGACTCTTATCCAAAAGAGATTCTTGGTAATATGTATACAAAAACAAAAAATAAATAAATATTAACGTTCAAAAGGCTTTGTGATTTAACGACAACCACTTCCTTGTGAAATAGCCTGGGGTGTTGCAAAGTCCCACTAGGGGCAGTGTCTCGGCTAAGGCCAGGGACTCACAGAGCTCACCTGAGCAGGGTGAGGTAGTATGAGCTACTGAGGTGCCACCTTGTAAGTATGCAAGATCAAGAGCCCTTTCCCTCCAGCCTTCTTTGGGCAAGACACCTTCAGTGATCAAATAAGAATGGAGCCAGTCACATGTACTGGGCTACCTAGAGAAGGCCTGAACCACCTGCCACCCAACAGCACCCCCTGGAGGTGATGCAGTGACAAATTAGGATCAATTCCAGCAGGTCAAAGGTGAGGTACCAAAGTTCCTGCACTGTTAGCACAAAGTAAACAAGTTACTGGACTGGGACAGTCAGAATGCACACCCTGCTACACGCCACCAGTTACTCAGGCCCCTTTAATCCTGAAGGGATCACAGTCCGCCACTTCACCACCTCACAGGGTCTTCTCACCTACACTATAGGCCCAACCCTTCTGGGTGGGAGACTGGATATAAATTAAGGCAAGGCTGCTACTGTCAGAGACATCCTCTCCTCCACCAGAAAACTCAAGGTCCCCGGAGATGGCCAGAATGACACATGACTATATCAAAGTGGCTCTCCATCCTCTTTGCCCTCCAGGAAAGGCCTGACATTCTGGGCCTTTGCTCCACAAAATCATGTTTCTTTGGAAATGAGGAGAAAAGAGGAGTCTCTTCTGTCCATCCAGGCTGTCCCATCTGGCGGCACTAAAGGACATCCCTTCTGCTGGCACAGAATCATTCAAAGCTTTCCAACCTAAACAGAAAGCTTGGTTCCCAGTTTGGATCTAGCTGCCCTAAGATTTTCACTGTCAATAGATTAGGGCCCTGGAGCAAGAAGGCCCCTCCATCCCTGACACCTTTTCCCTGCTGAGGACTGGCACTGGAACCTGGTACTGAGGTGAGCTGCCCTGCTGACCAGTCCTTTCTGAATGACCACATTCCCCAAATCCTTTTCATAGCCGGTTGTCCCAGTGGAGGTCTGGCAGTAATACCCACAGTGAAAACCTCTCTCCACCTCCTCTATCAAGTGAGGCTGTTGGTTGGATTCTTAGCAGCATAAAACCTATCAGTAAACTAAAACTACAGAGGCTGGGGAAAGGGATCTAGTTGACACGACTGCTGGACTAGATCCCAAAATCAACCTCGAAAGAATCAAAAATGCAGCCCTTTGTGGGCAAGAACAGGTATGGAGGTAAATATGATAGGGCCGTTGCTTCTCAAAAACAGTAACAGTTTGTGTGCTATTTCTTCTTTCTTCTTCTTTAAACACAACACAGAATAGAATTCCTAGCAAGGCAAAACTGTCACTTCAGCTGGGGAGGGACCAACAGCCTTTAGAAAATCACCATCCTGGCTGACGTCTGGGAGCTCCCACTGGCTCTACTGGGACCCAGTCAGCTGTCTGGGCTCTTCTCGGCCTCTTTGGAATGGATAATATACATGAAGGTCTGCTCGATGGTGAAGTCGGGTGGGAGGCTGCCTTTGTGCACACCGACGTGTTTGCTCATGAGGTTAAGGGTGGAACTGTAGTGGCCACAGACTGTGCAGCGGTACATAAGTGCCCCTGAGTGTGTCTTGAGGTGGCACTTGATAGTTGAGCGGCCTCGGAAGAACTTGTGGCATACTTTACACTGGTACGGTTTCTCACCTGTGTGGATCCGCCGGTGGTAGTTGAACTCACTTGTGTGGGCAAACCTTTTGCCACAGACTTTGCAGCTATACTTGCTATTCCCAGGTTGGCCCTGCAGAGCCAACTCCTCACTCATAAAGTCCTCCGCTGGCAGCTTCCGCTTCTGGAAGGCTGGGTGCTGTAGCCCCAAACCAGGCCGCACATCAAGGCCACTGTTGCACTTGTGCTGGCTGACGTGGTAGCGGTAGGCAGCTTCTGACCTGAAGCTCTGGCTGCATAAGTGGCAGCGGAAGAGGGCGTCTTCCAGGCTTTGGTGCACAGCCACATGCTTCTCTAGGAGATGCCAGTCCACAAAGCTGCTGGCACAGACAGAGCAGGAAAAGACTGAAATGCCCAGATGGGAGAGCGTGTGCCACATGAGGCTGCAAAGGTTTAGGTGGCGCTGGTCGCAGATGCTGCAGGCTTGACCCTTCAAGTTCAGATGGTCGAGGATGTGGTCCCGGACCACATGGAAATCTTTGGCCAATGCCTTTCCACAGGCAGCACATTTCAACTCTGGAGAGGCTGCCCCTGAAAAAAGACCCAGTTTCCCAGGCAGGGGTTCATTGGGGTGGACAACGATGTTGTTCTCAAATATCCCATCCCGTCGGTGAAGGGTTAGCTGCCACTGGGTAAAGAACTTTGTTTCACACATGTCACAGGAGAAGAGGAAAATACCAATGTGGGATAGGACATGGGTCACCCGGGAGTTTCGGTCCTGGAAGTGAGTCTCGCAAACCTTGCAGTTGCCTGTGAGCAGGTCCACATGGTCCCGAGCATGCTGCCGGATTAGCTGAATGTTGGGCTCTAGAACTTTCTTGCATACCTGGCAGGGCATGGCCTTATTCTCCCGGTTGTCATTTTCTCCAAAAGTCAGCTCATCCTCACTGTCATCACTCAGCTCAATCACCTCCTCAGCTGTCCCAATCTCTTCAGTGGGGTCCTCAAACTGCAAGTCATCGTCCCCCAGGTCCTCTAGCTGGAGCTCATCCATCTGCCCAAAGCCTGGATCTCTGGAGTGGTCGCTATTGCTCAGACAGGAGTTGGTCCCAGTGGTAATGTCTATTGCATTGTCAGGGGTGAAGAAGCTGCTTTTACTGAAGTCTCCATTGCTTTGAACTTTGTATGGCTGGCAGGAGCTTGTGCTGGTCTGAATGCCTGTGCTAACAGTGCCTAGGACTGGCTGGGTCGCCATATTAGGAACAGATGTGAATGGAGCAGGGGCATCATGGTCTTCTGTCTTTGGAGGCAGTGGTAGCTGTGGTAGAGGCAAGCTGTGATTAGTGTCACTGGAAACATTCCTCTCTTCCTCTTTATAGCTTCCTCCAGCATCACTGGCCAACACATAGTTTCTATCAGGACCAAAGTGCTCCCCACTACCCCTGAGTTCTCCAAGGGGATGGGTGGGATCTGCTGAGGGACAACTCAGAGTACCAGATGCGCTGTCACTGGTGCTAGTCAGGGGCTTGGTCACAGCAGTGCTTTCCAGGTCAGGAAAAGTGGAGTGACAGGCCTGGAGAAGGTCCTCCATACCCAGACGCTCAGCTACCTCATAGATAACCCCAACATTGATAAGGTCTGTGAAGAGCTCTGATGTGTAGACAAAGCTCAGAATCTTCTCAAAATTGGCGGGAGTGATGAAGTCCACCACATATGTCCTGGCAGCATCTAGCCCAGTATTCAGGAAGAGGTTCTGGAAGTAGCCAGCCGCACAAGCCAGCACGGCCTTGTGGGCTGGGAAGGAGCGGCTCCCCACCACAATGGTGACATCGCACATGGTCTCTGAGAGCCGGCACTTGTTGAGTTCCTTCAGCAGGTTGTTGGGGTGGTTGGTGCTTTGCAATTTGATCCTCATGCCCATCTTAGCAGCTCCTATGAAGTTGCCTCCTTATCAGCACGGTTAATCTGTGAACGGCAAGAGAAAAAGATGGGCTCTGCAGGAGAAAACACTGACATTCTGAATGTGTCCAAGTCCCAGGGAGCAGGAATGAATGGACATGGACTGCTGCTCCATTCTGGGGCCAAACACAACAACGATGACCTCGTCCCCTGCATATACTCAATTGCAGGGGACATGATTTTGTCATCATGACAAAATCCAAAAGGAATGAGAAAAAAAATCTGATCAGTTTGGTCTTAAAAGTTAGTAAGAGGCTGGGTGATGTGTGCTTATAATCCCAGCACTCAGGAAGATGAAGCTGGAGGATCTGGAGTTCAAGGCCAGCCTGGGCTATACTGGAGACTGTCTCAAAAAAAAAAAGTAAGGGACTTTATAAGCCTCAAGCTAATGCCTTATAGCTGAGCAGAAGGCATCCCGTCCAAATCCAATCTTCTACTTCATTATCAGAGCAACTGGCTCAAATTTCTTATATTAATTTCCTCCTAAATGCAAGCTTTCCTATCTGGCTGAGTCTATTCTCTTGCTCCATTAGCTACTGAGGAAGGTATTTTCTGGCATGGCTGTCCTTTCAGCCCCTAAACAAATCTCAAAATAAATCTCACACTGTTGAATTCCCACCTCTCCCTACCAACACTACTTACTTACTCTGGCCCTTCACCAAAACCATTCCTGATGATGTTATCACATTCCCTGCCGTCTGTGGATGAAGTTAAACACTCAGAACCAAAGAAGAAAACAAACTAAAACACAACTGTGGTGTTTAATATTACTTGGCTGTATTTTATCCCCTTTTTACCACCCTTTCCAGGATTTACACTTATGTCAATCTTACACTAACAATCTGGACCCTTAAGAAAGACATCTATCAAGTAGGTAAGCCTCCTACAGTCTTGTTCCATACCACCTTTTCTTTCTTCAACCCCTGCATATCTAAGCATGCTGGTTGCATGCCTGTTGAGTCTCACGACTCACCCCGTGCAACAGTCCCTTTCTCCATCTCATCAGATTCTCCCAACAACTCCCAACTTTTTCTGGGGCCCAGCATGCTTCTGAGTATTGTTGGGTACCAGCCACACATTTCCCTGGTGGCCACTCATTCACGGTGGGCGGATCGGGACTCTGGCACCCTCAGCGGGGGTGGCAGGGGGGAAATTAGCAACTTCTAAGGAGGAAACCTCAACAATCTGGGGCACTATGGTCTCCCCTCCGGGAGGTCCAATCCGCCAGGGCGGGGCGTTGGATCGGGCTAGGACACTCCATCTGGGGGGCCCAAGCGTCTTCGCCCCCCCCCACACTCAAGCAAGGTTCCCCCGGGCGACCCCGGCGGGGGCCGGGGGCGCAAAACCGAAAGGGGTCTCTGGCGCGACGGCGGGGCCCGGCGGGCGGCGCGCGGCGGGAGGATGGGGCTGGCCGAGGGGAGCGGGCAGGAGGGGCCCAGCCAGGGCGACAGAAAGGCCGGGCCGGGGTCGGGCCCGGCCAGGGTTAGCCCTCGCCCGGCCGTACTTACCCGGCTCCGCGGGGCCCGAGTACCATCGCCGCCGCCAGCTCACACACAAAGGCCCCGGCCCGCCGTGCCCGGCCCGACGAGGAGGCGGCGCCGCTGGCCGCGGCCAGACTCTCCATCCGCCGTGCCGCTCGCCGCGCCGGCCCGGGCCGCCCCGCCGCGCGGCCCGCAGCGCCCCCCGCCGTCCCGGAGGAGGCAGCGCCCCCCGCCGCCCGGCCCGCAGCGCCCCCCGCCGCCCGGGAGATGGCAGCGCCCCCCCACGGCGGGGTGGAGCGCGAGGTCCGCGCCCGCCGACCCCGCGCCTGCCTTCTACCGCGTCCTGATGTTTTTGGGGAGTGAAAAGCCCGGTCTGAACTCACCTCCCCGTTCTCAGTCTGTCTCGTCTGTCTTCCAAAGCTGTTTCTCAGAACGTCCGCTGATGCAGTTTTACGAGAAGTTATCAGCTTATTTGATTTATTTATGCCGCCTCCACTAGGCTGCGAGCTTCCAGAAAACAAGGATCCGTGGTTTTATACCCGACTCACTCATAACCACGCTTCCAGGCACAGATGATGGGTGCTCAATAAATCCTGTGTGAACAGACAAATGAAGGAGCACTTGATGGCTAGACAATGGGTGGACCCTGCTGATAATCTACTACTGTCCCTCCTTCCACTTAGATGGCCAACTGAAGGAAGTTTGCAACTTGGCCCCCAGGCCAGTTCCCAAGCCTGTCCTCCTTGACTATTTCTAGAACTCGCTCACGCTGCTGCCTCACCCTTCTCTCAAATCCTCTCATCAAATGCTCCTACCCAAGAGTAGTCATTAAATCAAAAATACCTACCCTGCCTGCCTCCACTCCACAACCAAAGACATGAGAGGTGTTGGTGACCACACTCTGCCTTCTCAGCGGGGAAGAAACCTGCAGTTTCTGGACCCATTCATCCTCTCTGCCATCCCATCCATTGCCTGAGAATACCAGGCAACCAGGCACAACTCCCAGGACCTGCATGGTAGGATTCAGTAATTCTGTGATAGACAAGTGAGAAGAAGACACACTGGATGTTGCCATCTGATCTAAGCCAGTTTGGTCATTCCGTGATGGTCAGTTCTCTTGTTAATTTGGGACATTGTGTGTCTTCATTGCCACAATCTCAGGAACTGACGGTAGATAATACTGAAGGCAAGCACTGTGCCAAATATGTAGCATTTATTTTATTTACTTATTTATTTCGTGGTACTAGAGTTTGAACTCAGGGCCTCACACTTGCTGGGCAGGTGCTTTACCACATGAGCCACTCCACCATCCCTTTTAGTGTTGCATCTTTTCTTTCTTTCTTATTTTTATTTTTTGGCAGTACTGGGGATTGAACTCAGGGTCTCACGCTTGCTAGGCAGTCTCTGTACCATTTGAGCCACTCCAACAGCCCTGTTTTTGTGTCGGATGTTTTTGAGATAGGGTCTCAAGAAGTTTTTGTCTGGGCTGGTTTCCAACAGCAATCCTACTGATTTCTGCCTCCTGGGCAGCTAGGATTAAGATGCGAGCGACCAACACCTAGCTTATGTAGCTTTTGTTAGTGAGGAGTCACAAAAACAGCCAAGTGACACACAGCGTACTCGAGGGGTGGGAAATTCCACTTTGCCCTGTAGTGAAAGGGCAATGTTCCTGCCATTGGGCAGGCCCGTGCCCCATAGTTATGTGAGGCCAGCATCACACAACCAGCAGACCAGCAGTATGACTCTAGAGACATGTGGTCCAGGACTTGCAAAGACCATGTCTGTTCTACCTTTCTAACCAAATGCCTTAGGTATTTCTGGGAGTGTTGACCCCAGTAAACTTCATGAACTAACAAACCATCTGAATGGTATAGATGAAAGTTTATATTGCTTAATTTTTTTTTAAAGTCAGTTGCCACACAGTCACAATGACACATATGCACAAAGCTAAGTGGGGAAGAAAGTACTAGGAATTTAGTTGACTGTCTACTTGATCAGATAGCCTTAGCATCAACCTCTTTACAACAGGACAAGGAGGGTCCAGAACCCTTCATACGGTCTCCAAGCACAGAAAGAGAATCTGAGAAGCTGTACTTGGTGATGTACCCCAGTAAATTCAGAACTCTGGAAGATGAGATAGGAATATTGGTAGTTCCAGATAGTTCCAGACTAGCCTGGGCTACACGGGATGGCCAGGCTGGGCTACATAATAAGATCCTGTCAAAAGAAAGAAAAAGAGAAAGAGAGAGGGAAAGGGAGAAGGAGAGAGAGAGAGAGAGAGAGAGAGAGAGAGAGAGAGAGAGAGAGAGAGAGAGAGAGAGAGAGAGAGAAAGGGAGAGAAGAAGGGAAGAATCTAATTTAAAATTTGTTTTTGTTTTTCCTGGAATCCCCCGTACTGCAGTTTTCATCAGCCCCACCAGGGAGCAACCTTTCTGCATTTATGCTCATACTTGGCAAGCAATTATCTCATGTCCGCATATATGCCTGACTCCAAGTTTGAGCAGAACTAACTTAAAGTTTTTATGACCCAAAGAAATTCTTCAGTGAAAGTGTCCCCACTTTTCTTCCCTATGGATACCTGATTTTGAAAAGTCAAAGAGATACTTCAGTAGAGAAAGGATCTAGGATCTGGATGGAGGTGTTCTTTGATCTCAGGCTATGAAAGTAAGCTCTTTCTCCTTTCCCCACCCTCACTGTACAACTTTCAGTCCTATGTGGCCCCACTCAAGCTCTTGGAAGATAAAGCTTTCACTGAGGTAAAAGAACTTCAGGTAATAGCCTTTGGCTCCCAGGTCCTGAAACTGCCTTCAGATCACTGAGTGTTGACTTTTTATTGATGGAGTTTAGAGGCGCAACCAAGGCCCTGACACCAGGCTAAGATTAGGGAGCCTGAGGATTTTCCAGACTGTTCCATTAGAGTACAGAGTTCCCATTGGAATCAGTAATTTGTGATCACTGACACATCAGATTAATAACAGATACCCACACCTAAGTCCATGACACTTTAGGGCCTCCCACATTCTGGGGGCTAATGTGCTGTAACAGTCACATTAGAGAAGAATCTGAAATAAATATTTTTTGTCTTTATATAACTAAGACAGTTCCCACTGAAGAGATCTACTCCTTTCTTTCTTGGCCTTTGCAGTAATTTCCCTGTCTACCCTCCATTCTAGCTGAATTGAGTTGTGTTTGCTTTTCAACAGCCCTACAAGAGTATAAAATCTGTGTATGAGTCACCAGCTCATCCCCACAGAACCCATGCTGGTCAGTGGAGGCAGAAGAATGGTGCATCCTCCTCTGTGGCAGGGTACCTCCCTCTCTAATTAAGCAGGATCAAATTCAGAGTCTGAGGTCTAGAAATACAGAAAAGCTTTCAGAATCTGTTTTTTCTTTACGTGAAACTGGTCTGCGAAACTCTCTTCTAAACTCATGTATTTATTCTTTTAATCACTAAATAAACCAGTTACTAATGTGAAAGGCCCTGTGTAAGACACTATGGAGGCAACCAATTTGTGTACAAAATGAAGGTACTTCCATTTAAACACTGTGTGTATCATGTTTATGTATGTGTGTATTTATAGTGTAACTAGAAGAGTCAAGGAAAAAGAAAAACCCATTCACCAATCACCAAACAATTTATCACCACGCATATGTAAAAATCCTTTATTACTGAGGAGCAGAGAGACAGTATATTTTTAATGTAGAGCACTACAGAAACTATAGTCCATCCATAGACTCTGCAGTCAATGCCTCTGGGGACTGGGGACATTCACTGTGCAGTTTCCTATGCTAAGCCAGGAAGAAGGAGTCAAAACACAAAACTGTTACAATAATGGGGAAGAGAAAAGGAAATAGGAGAACATGCACCTCTGATTGGGACGGGGGACAGTGTCTTCGTGGTGCAGCTCAGGGATCCAGAAAGTAGAGTGCTGAGGACAAAACAAAGAAAAAGCCTGAATCATATCTTCATCCTCTGAAACTCCCACTTACCACCTGGTAGGGAAGCAGGGGAGGTTCACCATGAGGGAGGAGTGACTTTCCTAGCTGCAGGTGCTCACCCCTTCTTGCTGCTGTTTATCATGTGAACACCTGTGCCTGGTCTGTGGCACCCACACAGAAAGATATAGTGACCCTAGGAACCTGGGACACACACGGCCCATCCAAGGTGCCCTGGAGCTAATGCTCCCCCTACCTTATCCAGTCTCGTCTCTTCCCAGAAACCTCCCAGAGGAAGGGCAGGCTCTGATCACTCCCATTTTCAATAGTTTCACATGAATGAAATAAGATGAGACAATGATCTGTGTTGATCCATCTCTTCTAATATCCTTTAAATACTAGCCTCCAGGGACCTTATGTCCCATTTTGCCTGGCACCTAACAGGTTGAGAAGGCTGTGATTATGGACCTGGTCCCTCTGAAAGAACTCAGATTCACCAGCAAACATTCAAAGTAGATTTCTACAATGCACTTGTTTTTGCTATTTGTATAAAATACTATGGCAAAATTGCACTGTAATTATCGTTATGGCCGGTGCACGATGCTGAAGGAGAGTATGTCATCCAGATATAGCTGCTCGTATAATTATCTGGCCTTTAGCAGGACTGAAATAACCATCTAATGAGAGCAAAATGATACTGTAAGTACCATGTAATCAGCGAGTTACGGTTATTACAGCTCTTTGTGCCCTCTCACCCAACAGTAAATAGGGGGCCAGACCCAGTCCCTGGCCCCAGAGAGTCATCCACAGGAAATACCAAGAGCTAGCATCTCGGGTCTTGGGCTTGCCACCTTGAGACCAGTGAGTGTGGTTTCTGGGAGCACAGGAGAGAGGAAGGAAGCTGTGTGTGATTACTGAGGCTTCCCAATCCTTCTCCCACTTCTTGTCACACCCCTCTTTCCTTGGAAGCTAGTGAAAAGCCATCAGTTGAGTAGCTAATGCTGCTCAAGGCAAAAGGTTCTGTATTTTAACTAAGCACTTCCCTAGGAGGCTGTCCTCACACTGTGAACAAGCGAGGAATCCATCAGCCCACTCAGGCCTGAGGTCCATCCAGACAGCTCTCACCAGGCAGACCAGAGCCAACCAAGGGACACTAGGATTTCCCCCCACTTCCCAGGCCAGAGATCCATAATACAGCACTGTGTACCAGGCATCATTCTGAATACTTTCCCTTGTTCCATTCTCAAAAACTACAACCCTGGGAGATACTATCATTGCACTCATTTTCCAGATGAGGAAACTGAGGTGCAGAAGTTATGTAACTTGGCCAAGGAGACACAGCTAGAGAATGGCAAATCCAGGATTCAAACTCAGGTTATGCTTTAGTTATGCACAGAGGCTAAGATGCAGTTTCCAGCTAGTTGCATTAGACTCCAAGTGTTCCTTGCTTCTCTTCCTAAATCACCCTGTGTCTGACTGCACTCCATGCTTGTATCTCAGGACTTTGAGCCAAAAGGTTCAGCCTGCTTGGGAGGCAAAAGCTCTATCTGTGAATTGGACATGGTATCTGTAGTGATCAGATGACAACCTCTGCATCTTTTGTACAGACAACAGGGTCCAAACAACAGAAGCTGACCACTGGAAAAGTCCCAAGGAAACCCCTTCTCTCCCCATCTCCCACCACTCACTCCTTCCTTGACAAAGGCAAAAAAGATGAAAAAAGAGGAAGTCAGTGTATATATGTGCACACATGCCTCCAAGTGTCACTGAGGGTCATTGTTTGACCCACAGTGTGCTGGCCACTGGCAATGTATTTGTGTATTTTATGGGCATTAGTGTCTGCAGCAGCTGAAGAAATGCACAACTAGCAAACACACAAAGTCTCCTCCCCTCTCTCCTGCCAACAGTGCTTACCTCATTCTGCACTGGGGGGATACTTAAGGGTGCCGAAGCTGGGGATGTTTTCTTCATTCCCATCGGTAGGAGTGTCTGGGGTGAAGTAAACAGTGTAGTTAGGAGGGTTCTTCCAAACATAACCTACAGCCTGACCAAGCAGTGAAGGGCTGGCTATGAAGGATAGCACTGGAAGGATAGCTGGAAGAATGGGGATGAGCAGAACCTCCTGTCCCTCTCCTGGCTACAGCAGGACTATCTTATAAAGGCCTCCTACTCTGCACCAGGGAGCACCCAAGTGGTTCCAAGCTGACTGGGAAGAAGGAGCCAAGGAGCATTCAGTATAACTGAGATGTCTTCATCTTTCCCTCTAGTGACAAATTGAAGGCACTTCTCTTATGACATATCCTCCCCACACCCTAAAATCTTTCACTATACCCCACACACTCCTACCTGGTTGGCTGCTCCTCTTGCCCATAAGTCCCACAAAGAAATCATGCATGTCACCTGTAGAAAAAGGCCAACACTGTCAACAGAACTAGCAATGCTTTCCACATACATGTGTCAAGACTTCTGAGACTGATTTTTGTTCTCTCTCTGTCTCTCCTCTCCCCCATCTCTCTCTCCCTCCCTCCCTCTCTCTCTCTCTCTCTCTCTCTCTCTCTCTCTCTCTCTCTCTCTCTTAGACACAATCTCACTATGTAGCCTAGGCTGGCCTCGAACTTGCAGTCCTCCTGCCACTGTACCACTAGGATTACAGGTATGCACAACCATGCTCAGTGGTCTCTGTTTCTTTATCTTGCCACATCCTGAACCCCCCAACCCCGCCAGCTAGCAGGCATATCCTCTCTGCTCACCCTCTCTGTTTATCATCTCCTTCTCTTCCAGTAAAGGAATTCTCTACCTCAATGGGTGGCCAACTTAGAATCTTCACTGCCACCAGGATACCCTCTTGGTTCCTAATGACCAGCAGTGGAGGACAGTCTCCCACACCCCTCACACCTGCTTCCGCCTAATTCCCCCGTGTCCTCTCCCACTCAGAAAGGCTGGCTGAGCAGTTGCAGCTGGCATATGTTCTGCACCAGCTGAGATGGGGCCAGCCAAAATGGCTCCTGGGCCCCATGCCCATAGAGCTCTGGGCAAATGGTCAGCAGAGATAGGGAGGGAGGAGAGCTACTCACGTTTTTGGGGAAGTGACAGTTCCTTAGGATCTGAAAAACCAAGAAGAGTGTGTAAATGGGGAGTGGATACTGGAAAGTGATGACTAGAGGGGAATTCTGGTCACAATCCTCACCCATTCACTAAGCCACTGCCCATCTGACCCATTCACTAAGCCACCCCATCTCCCTCCCTCCTGAAAAGGGGTCTCCCAAGTCTATCTAAATCTTCAGAATTTTGTTCTTTGCCCCCTCTCTCTCCCCAGAGCCACCTCCTACCCATGCTAGCCTTGCTCAGCACTTTCAGCAATTCTTCCAGAGAGACTGAGCGGCTGTCATAGAGTCTTCGCAGTAAGGACAGAGGCAGCTGGTAGAGATCAGAGTCCTTGTAGAGGAGAGGAACAGAGGGGTGAGGTGGGGACTCATACACCACCCACTTGTTATCTTCCCACACAAAACAGCCTGATCCTGAAGCCATCACAGCTGAATCCAACACCCTGTTTCTTTCAGGATATCCTCTGGTTTATTCTCAAAGAGAAGTGGGTACTCAAATGGTGGTCTGTTGGGGACCAGGCATGACCCTGGACTGGGAATAATGGAGTTTGCACAGCCTCTCCATATAGGAGTTTGCACAGCCTCTCCATGGTAGAAGTTTGCAGTCTCTTCTATCATATTTTTCCCAGCACCTGGTGCCTTAACCTTTGTTCTCACATCTCCTTGAAGGATACAACCTGCTGTATCGGCATACCAGAAACCTGATGCAAAACTAGATAAAGTACCAGAACTTTTGGAGACTCTCTGATGCCAGATTAATGAATACCTTAGATAAGGTGTCCTGTGTGCCTTGATGATTCCAGAACTGATGTGTTGTAATTAATCTTCTATAGCCTTAGGAAAATTAGCCCACCAGACCTCATTCCTTTTACCTTGTATCAAAGAATTGCTGAAGCTTGATTTTTACCTGAGTCTTTTCCTTCTACTGACCTATTAAATAAACACTCTTGCTCAGGTAGGTGCTCATGTTTTCCCATCAGGAACATGTAGCCCTCCTGTCCCCAGCTTTTCTGTTTTATGTCTGTATGTCTGTGTGTGTCTTATTTCTCATTCCCCGCCACTCTTAGTCAGGTTCACGCAGCATACCCATGCAGGTCACGGGCAGTGGTTTATGGGACAGCACAAGCATCACAAGAGCTTAGAAATGCAGAATCCTACCCCCAGACCTTCTGGGACAGAACCTGTATTTAAACTTGACTCCCAGGTGATTCATATGCACAGGGAGGTTTGAGAAGCCCTGGCAGAGGCAGCCCTTCAGGCTGGCCAACTATCTGGGTTGCCCAGTACTAAAGACTTCCAGGATACAGAACTTTCTCAAACTGGGACAGTTGATCATGCTATCTTCCAACCTCAAAGTCAATTGTCCCCTGGGTCTCTATCCCAGCTCCTGCCACCTCTTGGTGACAAGAGCCATAGGTTCTTTTCTCCCTGACATATCAGGATCATTTTGCCCAAGGATGTGGTTGTCTCACTAAGTGAGTCATGAATTCCCCCACTCTCAAGAAAAGGTCTGTCTGACTAATCAAGTGTCCTCTGATATGTGCCCCATGATTGAGTTACAGACAGAACTTGGACCTAGGCAGCCAGGGCACATCTGCAAACCTGAGACTCCCCTATTCTGCAAAATTTCCATGGATGTTTTATTCCTGTTTCATCATTGCCTCTCATCTCCTCTTCCTCTCCATGGCTTTCTGACTCTGGTTTTTGCTCCTTCTCCCCTTTCTGCCCTGGATCTAGAATTTTGGGAAGGCTATATGCTCAGAATGGTGTCCTTTCTTCTCCCCACCAGCAGAACCTCAGACTCTAGAACTCCTGCCCAGCAGGGGCTCTTGACTGTCCTCATGATTTTTTTTTAGCAACTTGGGCACCTCAAGGTGGTGGGTACATGCCATCCACCTAGTTAATTAGAGCCACAGAGAGACAATGATGATGATTGTGTTTGGAGTTTCTCACCTTGAATGCCAGCAGTGCCTCTCTCCAGAGCCCAGGCGTCCTTGGGCTGCTGTGTATACACAGAAGTGCATTTATCCAGGATGCATCCCCATACATATCAACCTAGTTGCCTGTATTCTACCCTCTTCCTACCCTGATTTCCCTCTTCCACACAGACCCTCTGGGAGAGAAACAGGAAGCCAATGCTTCTGTTTGGGAGACCAGAGGGGCAGAGAGGCCATATCACTGCCCAAAGGCACTGCAGCAGGTTTGTGTCCAAAAAACCAAGATGCTCTGACTACCTGGGCTAGAACTTTGTGGGTCTATATACAGGATTACTGCCTATATTTGGAACTCCCTGGTCATTTTTTGATGGGTTCATGGGTTCTGGTCATTTGGATCTGAAGCAGCTGCTGCCACCTGCAAGGCTACCCTGGTGATCTCTCTCTCGCTCTCTCTTTCTGCCTAGCACACGGCTTCCTGGCAGCCACTTTTCCCAGATTGCTCAAATACTCTGCCCACCTCCTGTAATGAGATGCTAAACAGACTGGAGCTGGAGAAGCAGTTAGACTTCACACACTGAATTTGTAATAAGTCCCACCTGTAATCATCTTAAAGCATTTGTACCAATGTAAATGCTGTCATCTAAAACCCCTGAAAAGACATCCTCCCTGTGCTCCCTGCACTGACCCTGACAATTCCTGTTCTTTTTCTTAAAAGGACTTTAGAAATTGTGGCTCAACCTGGCTTTTTGTTTTTCATTTTTTGTTTTGCCATTCTGATTAAGCAGAGGCTAGAGGCAGCAACGGAGAGGAGATAAGGGAAGGAGCTGGGATCTTAGAAGCATTTGAGGTTACAGGGATAAATAAATAGAGAATAGGGAATTTTATTGAAAATAAAAGAATACACTAACTGATAGGTGAACTAGTATGCAAATGACCACTTGGGAAAGAAATTCCCACTGGGTTTCATACCATCTAAGGAGTAGAACAGATCTGTCCCCCTACCAAGGAGCAGAACTGGACCATAGAGATGCTCAGACCACCCTAGTTCACTCCTCACAGCGCCATCCAATCACCAAGTCACTAATCAATCAACCCTAACCAAACAATATATTTGAAGGGCACCTTTTATTCACTTACAGACATATTCTGGAGATGGTGAGAACGTGAGAGAACTAGAGGCAGAAAGGTCCAGAGGGAGACAAAATGCCCTGGTTGGATCACCCACCTAACCCCCAATCCCACCTACCGATCTTCCTACCTATAGCTGTCCAGACAGTAGGAATCCCAGATTCCTGCGATGTTCCAAGACTCTTCCAAGGGGTGCCTTACCTTGCTGTGACTCCCACTGGGCACCACCTGCTCCTGTGACTCCTCACAGACAGCCCCAAAGCTCCAAGCCAGGCTGAAGGCCAGGATGGCTGTGAACAACAGGATGCTCCTCATGGTGCCTGGGAGGGCAAAGGGACAGAGCCCAGAAGAGAGGAGAAGGATATAGTTTGGTGAGAACAGAGGAGACATTCCTGACCAGCAGCTGAGCTTGACCCTGCTTTCCCAGGTCCCAACTTTCCCATTCAAGCTCTGGTCTGGAGAGAGAGAATGGAATATATCTCTGAGAAGGGGGCACATTTTCCCTACTCCCCCATTAGATAGCTCCAAAGATGTGACCCTGGCAATGAACAATGGTGCAGGGACTCTAGCTTACAAGGAAGATGATAGATTTATAGAATATGTACTGTCCTGTTTCTTTAGTTGGCTTGAGGAGGGGTCCTGGATGCTATTTTCCAGTAGTAGATTACCCCAAAACTCAGGAAAAACTTTCTGATGTGGAAGAAATCAATCTGCACCCACAGGTTCTAAACATTAACCAGGCACTTTCTGCTCATCTCCTCAGTACGAGGCTTGCCTAGCAAAGGCTGCCATCTCCTGTATTCCCTCCTGAATCTAGCCCCTGACCCCTCAGTCTACCCAACATCTATGCCTACCTGTGGAGCCGCTCTAAGCTTGGCTTGGCAGGATCCAGGAGCTGTCTGAGAACACTCACCACTCCCCACACGCTGGAATTGCTGTGAAGAGAAAAGAGAAAAACAGAGTGGAGGGGATTTGGAAGGTGGCAGGAACTCAGTTCCTGATAAAGGCTCAGGGAGGGTCTGGGGGAGCTGAGGGGAGGGGCCAAGAGTCACCAATCCCAGGGTGGCTGGAGAGGAGGGGGGAGACTTACTGAGGAGAGGATGCAGGCTGCAGACACACAGGCATGCGCACGCGCACGCACACACACACACACACACTCACACACACACCAGACCCAGCAGTGAGCTGGTGCTAGCAGCCCACATTCCGAAGGCACCCAAGGTAGGAACTTTAGGGTATGTTGCTGCATATGGTGTGTCACAAAACTACCATGCCAGGTCTAGCTCAATAGGTATGTTCCCTGGGCCTCTTTCCCTCCATGTTCAGCCCCCAGCTCCTCACCCTTAAAACCTTCAAGCTTGCGTGCCAGGTTGGAACAGCTCAGGCAGTTACCTCTCTGCCCCTGCCACCACCAGGACCACCAGACTGAGGCCCCCACCTGAGGACTGGAAGTGAGTCTGGCATCCCCTCCAGTCCTAAGTTTCCCAGTTTTCCTCCCAGCCTGAGGTGCCCCGTCACATTTGTCCTCACCCCCAGTGAGCATCAGTGCTTCTGTCCTGCTGCTGAGCACAGAGTTTTTGGTCTGCCTCTCTCCACCCCATCAGTGCTAACACCAGCCAGTCCTATGGGCTTCCCTTCCTCTCTTCTTCCTGAATTAGCCTGACTTCCTTGCTTCTTTCTAGAGTTCTGCATTCTTTCTTTCCTGCTGTAGTTTCAGAGAGGAGGACCAAACATCATAGCTGACCTGTTCCCCATCCCCACCCACCCCCACACACCCCACTCTGTTTCAGCGTGGATCTCTTAATTTCTTCCCTCTTTCTCCAGGTTGCATTTTCCCCACTCTAATCTGTCTCCATGCAGCTCAGGCATCTTTTTTGACCCTCCAAGCCCTTTGTTCACACACAGAGAGGGCTTATTTGTCCATTCCTCACCCATAGGAGAGAACCCCAGGGATGAGGCAGAGCCAGGGTCAGGATCAGAGACCCAGAGAGAGGAGAAAGACCAATGTGCTGAAGAGGTAAGGGAGATCCACAGTGAAAGCCGGCTTCCGAGCGAGGTGGCCCCCACAGTGTTGGGGTCAGGTGCAGGGCTTGAGCATTTGCAAGATGCTTCAGCATGGAGTGATTTGATTGATTTTCATCACTTCTCCCATGTAAGTCGGAAAAAAAGAAATGCCTGTTTTTCCAAGGAGGAAACTGAGGCCCAGGAGTTTCAGTCACTAGCTCCAGTACACACAGCTACTAATCAGTAGAGAACAGCCACAAATTCAGGTTGTCTCACTCCAAATCTCCCATTCTTGTTGCTACATTGGCATTAATATTGATCTGTGAGGGAACAGGGAACTCTCCCAGAAGGAGCAAATAGTCCATCTGAGACTTAGAGATTTACGACCTTCTACTCTCCTACATCTTATTATTTACTGCTCAACAAAGACTCCTGCTCAACAAGTCCTCCCCCAATCACCCTGCTTAAACCCCAATTCTCTGCATATCCCCACCTAAATATACTACCACCTCAATACTCTATATATCCTCCTCTTGGTGTTTTTTCTTCATGCAGTAATTATATCTAATATGCTAGTGTTTTACTTATTGTGTCTCTGCCACACAAATACACCAACCCCACTAGAATGTAAGCATCACAAGAGCAAAAAAATTGTTTTGTTTGCTATTATATTCCTCTCCCCATTGAATTTGGCATATAATAAATGCTTGATAAAAATTTTCATTTATAAAATGAAAAGGGAAGCCAGAGTCAGCTTTCATTTATCTCAGTCCCAAACATGGATTCTCCATGGAGCCTCTCAAAGACTTCTGGGGTCCTAAAATCTTCTCTGTTCACTTCACTCACCCTGAGACTTGGACCATACTAACAGAAGTCACCCTGGTTGCACAGGGTCTTGTGTTCACCCCAGAGTGAGGGCAGCAGCTGGGTATCAAGGCCTCTTTATTATGTGAGAGGCTAATGGGGCCTCATTCAAAGCTTCTCATTACCCAGTTAATTGCAGGGCTGTGTGGGCAAAGAACATGGGCCAGAACCCAGGGCTGGAGCATTTGGTGGGATGAGAAACAGAAATAGGAGGCTGTTTCCATGCAAATGGCATGACTGGTTCATTCCTTTGAGAAGCCCAGGTGCTGTTCCTAATTGGACCTAACTACCTCCCTCCTCCTTCTCTCCTACCCCCACCAGTTTGGACATGGAAGCCCAGGCTAGGCAGTCAGAGGGAGCAGGGTACGCAGGAGGCGGCGTGAGACCAAAAACTGAGGACCAAAAGCCTCCTGCACCCCATCTCTGCATCAACTCCTCCTCCTCCCACCCTATCTATCCCCACTCCCAAGCTCTGGCACCAGGGAAGCATGGCTTCAGCAAAGGTTCACCATGAATAATGTCCTTTGATGATTTGGCATCTCACAGAGGATGGCAGGAGCCAAGCCTGGGGGGAGCAAGGGGATGGTAGGGAGAACTGATCGCCCCTTGATCTCTGGGATTAGCAAAGACTTGAAAGAGCTGGTACTAACCTAAGTTAGAAAGGTGATGAAGGAGGGAGGCATTGTTGAGCTGGAGCAGGCGGCTTCATTTTGCCCACAAATCGTATGCAAATCGTATGTGAAGTGCCTGTTGCAGTTAAGATGTTTTTTCTTTGAACATCTACTTTTTATCTCAGATGCTGTCACCAGTCTAGAGAAGAAGACATTTAAGTCCAGTATTCCTGATAGCAGATCACTCACTCTGTGGCTCCCCCTCTTTGTTGGGGGTGAGGCCAAAAAAGGGGGTGTTCCACTGTACTGAGGTGAAGACAGGTTAGGCAGCCGTCTCCAGGAGTGACTGGTGAAGGCCAACCCAGTACACACTTGTGCACACAAGATGATCCACCACGTTTGACTTGTGGACTCCCTCAATGTTCTGGAAAGGTGCTGGGGTGAGAGCAGGGCCCCAGTTACCTGTGACACTGGGCAGAGATGCCAGCGATAAATGGAAGGGCACCAGTTTCTGAGTCTAGCCATGTCCTGCAACCAGGAGACAGCTGGAATAATCCACAGAGCAAGGAATGGGGAGAGTCCCTCAGAGCCCAGGGGAAGAAATGGACTGAACCAGGAGGACTATGCCAAAGTTGAATAAGCTGTGAGGGGCTAGAATGGCTCCTTCATGGGGATTCAGGGCATCCAGGATGGCTTGTACCTCTGAGGCTGAAACAATCTAGACTTTGAGAGTGCTAGGTGGACTGAGGTGGGAAGAGGGCTGGAAGAAGAGGACGGATACCAGAACTCCCTCGTCTCCCATGGTGAGAAAGCCAATTCCAGCCCCGTTACACAGGTGGGGAAACTGTGACCTATAGTCTTCAGACTCCTAGGCTCCAGAAGAAAAGAAAAGGGAAAACAGGAAAGAGGAAGAAGGGAGAGATAAAAGGGTAAAAGAGAAGGAGAGGAGCCCCACCTTGTCCTTGAAATAGCATCCATCCACATGGCTGGGCAGGGAGACCAGAGACCTAGCTCTCTCCCGCTACCACCCCCACTCTAGGAGCCTGCAGTACCCTCAGCCCTAGGAAAAGAAAAGCAGGATAGGGAGTAGCAGCTGCATTTTCTCCTGAAATTGCTTCTGAAAATGACCAGACACTTCACTGGGAAAGTGACGACAATTTGGGCCCTGGGAGCAGGAGATGAGGCAGAGAGCGGGGGCGATCAGCCTCAGGTCACCACCCCTTTTCGGCCAGACAGGATATTCGTGGCCTGATTTTGAGAAGTCAAGGATGAGAGAGTTGTCGGGGTGGAGGGAGGCTAGCTAGAACCTGAGCTACCCCTCCTCTGGACACATCCCCCACAGGACAGCCTCCAGCCCCTCACCCGCCTGCAAGAGCTGACGCCTGGGTCCCATCTCAGCTCTGAGCAGGGTGTGCCAAAGCATGGTATTTGTGCTCAGAGAGCAAGATTAATCTGCAGGCAGGAAGGGAAGTTAATCAGGTCTCCCTGCCAGCATGATTACCTGGGGCCGTGAGCTGCCTGCCGATGGAAGCAAAGTGAGGGACCCCAGCCTCAAGGCACAGCGAGCTCAGAGCTCAGCAGAGGAGGCAGGGAGAGGCAGGGAAGGTGGAGATTGTGAAAGGAGGAAGAGATTTCCAGAGATTAACAATGGTAGCCCTTTGTAGCTCTCACAGACAGCAGATCTAAATTTCATTACAAATATATGAGTATCCCAAAGGTAGAGACCAGGAAGGACAGTGAGTCAAGACAGAGTCTATGGGGAAAAAGATATAAACAGGGAGTTGGAAAAATATATAAAGCATTCTACAAAATATTACATATTAATATTAATCAGAGCCCACACAAATGGGGAATGAGATGGTGTGAGATAGTTGGAGACTGAGAAAAAAATAATGACAATGACACAGAGAAAGACAAGAGGAAAGGGGTGGAGTCATGGGGTTGGAAGTCTGGGTGTGGGAGAGTTTGCCCACAGCCACCAGCTGCAGGCCCCAGCTGTGGGACAGTGATTAGCAAGATAACTGTTGGCAGAAGCTTAACATCTCCCATATATGGAAAGGAAGGGGGTGCCAGGAGGCAGGTGTGATGCAGCTCAATGCTGAGTTTGGGGATGGAGGGGTGATGTAGTTCCTGGTGCAGAGGATCTTGGGTTCCCCGCTCACCTCAGTTTGTACGAGCCCTCCAGTCTTGGGCTTCTTTTCAGGCTAAATCTCCAAAGGGTCCCAGTCTCCACCAAGACAGGGATCCTCACTTCTTCCCTCCAGGGACACACTTAATGAATCAGCCCATTGGCCACCTGCGACCTGAGCCCTATCCCTGACTCCCACACTCCCACCCCAGTCTCTCCAAACCCCGCCAGAGCTCAGCCGGTCAAGGAGCACATAGACAATTTCTTTTCTTTTCCCTTCTTATTATTTGTACTAGCTGGCTCCTAGGAGTCTGAGGGACAAGAAAGGGCATCAAGAAGAAGGGTTTAAATGAACTGGGTGAGGAGATGGGGGAACAGGGACCCACCCACACTGACCAGACCTTTCTGAACCACATGATTTATTGTAGCAAAGAGACTGAGGCTGGGAGGACCCTGCTTTTGGAAGAGAGTTCTAGGAGGGTTGGGGAGAAGAAAGGCCTTCTTCAAGTGTTATTTTGTCTCCAAGCCCCACTCCACAATTGGAGGGGCTAGACATGAGGTCCCTCCCCAAAGGCAGGCAGAGGGGGTTAGTGCTGGTCCAGGAGGAAGAAGCCACATTTCCGCGAAAGGCCCCCACCTCCTCACTGCACTGTCACTTCCAGGGAATTACTTCCCTTCTTCTTGAAAATTAGCTTGCCCATCCCACTCCCCCCAGAGCCCTGGATGACCGTGACAGCCACATCACTGCCTTTGAACTTCAATGAGAACCTGCAGGGAGAACAGACAGAAAAACTAAAGCTAGTACCTCCCATTCCCTTACCCGATTTCCACATTCTAGTGATGGCTGTCCCTCCCCTTCCTAAAGCAAGCATATGGTGCATTTCCCCCCACCATTCAGATAACTCAAGGCCTCTGGGAACTTGGGCTAGGACCAAGAAACACCTCCAAGCCCTGCCCTGACAGTATCCTTCACTTTCTGATTGCATGAATTTCCCCGGTCACAATGACCATCAGCCCGGTCATCTGTCCCAAGCTGTCCCTCACCACCAGCTCATGCCCTTACTTCTCAGTCACAGTGACAGAAAGCTGCCTCTGTGTGGCATCCAGCACAGCCTGGTACATTTTTGCCAGTAATTCAACCACATGGTCACTGATCAACAAGATGTCTCCCTTGGAGCCCACTGATGACATCTTAGAAAGAGGGAAAAATAGAAGGAAAGGGATTCATTTTTTTCTCCTCAGAAGCATTCTGAAGACATCAAAGGCCCAGAGTGAAAGGTCTGGTTCCAGCATCTCTGGGATGCCTCAGCCCCAAAATGTCCACCCCCTCCTCTTCTCCAGTGGAGGTCCTGCCACACTCAGCTCTGATACCTCACTCAGATGCAAGCTAAAGAGCCCATCCTGGAGGCTGGTGACTGACACCTCAGCCAAATTGTCCAGTGCAATGACAGTTTGGGCCTGGGACTTCTTGGAATCTGAGACAATCACATGCCTCTTTGTCAGGAGAAGAATCCGAGCAGAAGTCTAGGGAAGGAAGAGGAAAAGAATGAGGACAGGCAGAGTTAACGCCTATCCCATCCACTTGGCAAAACACACACTTATTCCACCCTCGCCCTTCACTCAGGCTGCCCACCCAGGCCCAGAGCTCCCTGTGGGGAGGAGATGCAACCCTTCACCTTGCCATTACCACGGTTGACCTTCTTCACAGTCTCTGCCATCAGAACAGGCCCTTCCTCCTTGCCCCTCAGCTTCTGCAGCTTGGGGTTCCCCTGCAGTCCAACGTAGTCACCGCGGAATGGAATGGGGACACTGAGGACAGACAGGAGGTATGCAGTGGGGACGAGGCTCAGTACCTCCCCTTCCCTTAGTGTCTATCCCTAGTGTTCTACCCCCTCCATGCATCATATCCTCATTTCCTGTCTCAGTGGGTCACAGATATAGCCCAGGACCAACACCATCCGCACTACCAGAGGTGGACTCACCCAGACCTGATGAGTCAGAGACCCTGAAGAGGGGTACAATAGCTGGGTGTTCATAGTCCTGCCAGGTGATTCTGATTTAGGCTCAAGCCTTGAGAAGCACCATTTGATGGAAGTGACTGCATAGACTCTGGGGCCCCTCACCTTTGAGGATAGGAAGCCTTCTTTCCCTTGAACAGTTCACTGGCAAAGAGCTTTTCCCTCAGTATCTGCACCTGCTTTGGAGACAGCTGATCCCAGAACTTCCTACACTGTGAGGAGGGAAGGACAGGAGCTAAGATCATGGTGTGGAAGGCAGGGCTGGGGAGGGAGGTGAGAGACAGGGACTCAAGGACACCAGGGGAAAAGAAAGACAAAGGAAAGGACAGGCACTAGACACTGCAGAGAGGGCAGAGACTAGCTGGAGTGCAAGAGCCGAGCAGGATGGAGGGGACCGATGGGTGCAGGAGAGAAAGGAAACTAGCTAATGCAAGCGCCATGAGAACGAATGCCCAGCACACAGAACAAGGCTTAGCCTATAGAGGGGCTCCACAAGTATTTCTGGAATGAAAGAACAGATGGCTCAAATGAGCCACCTACAAAAGGACAAATAGTGTGTGATTCCCACTTACAGAAGGTACCTACAATAGTCAAATTCATAAAAACAGAAAGAAGAGTATAAGTTTTGGGGAGCATATACCATGGTTTAATGGGGATAGAATTTCAATTTTGGAAGAGGAAAATAAAATATGGAGATGGATGGTAATGACAACTTGAATGTACTTAATGCCAATAACTACACTTCAAAATGGTTAAGATGGTAAATGTTATATATATTTATAGCCATGGGAAAAAATAGAAGAGGGAGAGAAATGGGAGGGCGAGGAGAAAAGTACAAGGGAGGGAGAGATGCCTGGCCTCACCTTCCACTGATAAAAGAGCTTCTGCAGTTCCCGATTAGCCGTGTCGAAGCACCTGTAAGGGGCAGCTGGCCACCTGTTGTCCAGGACATTGGTGGATGGCAAGTTGTTCCTTAGGCCCAACAGAAATTTCTGTGCCTGAGTTGGGAGCATGGGTTTGGGAGTGAAATGATGAGTACAACCACTTCTTGGCAGGCAGATTACCATCCAGATCCTGCCCTGACAAGGGGGAAGGCCACCCCTAGTGAGAAGCAAGAGCAGAGCTGGAGAGATGGAAGGGAGTCACCTCTGGCTCTCTGTCAGCATGCAGTATAAGTCTGAGGCTGGGAGGTAAGAGCGGAATGGGAGAGTGGAGGGAGAGAAGGATTAGCTCCACCCAGAGGCCTGCCACCCAGGGCAGTGAGGTGGGACAAGCCAATATGAAAGTTGGTTTCAATATATTGCTCCCATGGCTTCCTATTCTCTCAACTCACAATCACTGACAGTTGGTGGCCACTGTCTGTGTTGGCTTTTTTACGAAATCTGTCAGCCCCTCTGATCAGTGGAGTCTGATACCACAGTCTGCCATTGAAAATCCTCCAGTTAGAGCCCAAGATCATGTCAGAGGATTCCCTGGCACTAGGTAGGCTCCTTGCTACATCCTCTATACAGCCCATGTACTCTCCCTTCATGTCTGGCTTGTGCTGCTCTGTTGGCTCAGCTCTGCCCACCCAGATTCTGCCCATCCTTGAGGTACAGCTTAAAGCCCTCTCTATCCCCAGGCCATTCAACAAACATTCCTAAGCATCTCCCACAATATCCTTTGTACCAGCTAGCATGGAGCCTCTGAGGGCTTTCTTCTATTCTTGTTTGTTCATTTGTTTGTTTTCTATATCTACAGAGTTCTACCTTCCTTACGCAGTCCTCCTGCCTCCAGGTCCTCCTAGGGCCATGGGTTGCCCAGGCTTCTGTTAGAGGAGTATGTTCTTAGGCAATGGCTAAAAGCTCTGGAATAAAATAGTTTATATCCCAGCTCTACCATTTACCAGCTGTTGGACCCCTGACAAGTTACTTAACTTCTCTGAACCTTCATTTTTTCTTAATCTATAAAATGGGAAAAGCAAAGGGCCTATGTCACAGGGTTGTTAAAAGCTTTAGAGTTGATCATATAAAGAGCTTCGGACAGAGTAAGTGTTCAAAAGACAATAGCACTAGTCTTTAGTTATAATTAAGGCCAAAACAATCTTTCGACTAGTCAGAAGCACCAGGGAAATGAATCTGTGCCCAGCCCCCTGCATGCTTCTGAAGGGGTGTGATTTAAAGAACCCAGTGGATCCTGAGTTGACATTCAGCAGCTACCTGATAAAGTTCAGGTAAAAGGAAAAAGAGAAGAAGGGCCAGTCAGGAGATAAGTGCAAAATCAGATTACAGGTCTCGGGTATGTAGCAATAGAGCATGCACTCTGGGGAGGCAGACATAGAGGAGCCAGTGGGACAGGAGGCTAGGGTAGGACAAGGCCCAAGGAGAGGAGGAGAAAGCCAAAGCTCGAGAGGTCCCAGTTTCACTCATTCCTCAGACAAGGGGTCCACCTCTCTGACAACAAAGAGGGGCTCAAATGAAGGTGATTGAGCACAGTTGGTAAGGGCCCTAAAACTGTCCAAAATCCCTTTAGGGGAGATAGATCAGTTATGACTTACTACAGTCCTCTGGCCTAGAGCCCTGCTCCTCTCCCTTCCGCTGTGGCCTTTCCCAAGACTTCACTGGAGCCCTGCTCTCCCTGGTTTTCCTCAGAAGAACTATCTGACAGGTGTCTCCAGAAATCACTCTTCTCTGATTCTATTTTCTTCCACTAGAAGTTGCCCAGTTTGGATATGTGGGTTGGGGCCTGGCTTCTTCCTATCCATTCTTCCCCAAGTCCTCCAGAGGAGAGGTCTTTTTGAGATTTACCTTCTTATGTGTCTGCTGTGGGTTCAGAAGGAATAGACGAAGATAATTCCTCCACTCTCACCCCAAAGTGGATACCTTCTGTGTGTCCTCACTCTGATATTCCATGAAGCCATTAGACATTCAGCCTCAGCCTCTCCTCTAGCCTATTTGCCCATCGCCCTGATAGTGGATGTTCTGGAACTCTTTCCAAGCCAAAATGTTGTCTGATTCTGCCCTGGGTCTGAGGGACAGGACGCTAGGGCTTAGTCCCTGCAGGTCACTGCTCCATCCCCTCCTGTTCATACAGATTGAGAAAACTCTTGGGGGAAGCTTTGAGTCATGTCTTCTTCTTCCACACCTGTCCCAACCTCCTCTACCCTCCACCCCTTCCACCCTAGTCCTCAGGACTTACTAGGCTCTTGTAGATGAAATTTGACAAGGTGAGGGCAGCTCCTGATCGGAAATATTTTCTATAATTCTTTCGGGCCTGGCAGGGACATAAAGAAAGGACTCAAAGTAAAGACAGATTCCAGAAGAGGTTCTGATGTTTTTTCAACTACACAAAGAACAGAGCAAGATAAAGGGCTGAGACCATGGCAGGAGAGAAGGCGTGAAGTCAGACAAGGTGGAAGAGGAGGACAGCTACAATAGAAGGCACAGACACATGTACAGGTCTCCCCAACCCACAGATAAGCCATCCCATAAGCAGGCCTGAATGCCAGCAGGTCTCACTCTCTGGGTTCTTTCTTCTCTGCAGCAGGCACAACCCAGGAGGAGCCATGTGTGGGCAGGAAACCCCTTTGCCATTCCCCATTACCTTCCACCCTCTCACGAAAGCCTGGATCAGCAATGCCGATGCCTTCATTTTCCCATAGTGTTTCTTTTGCTGTAGAAAACATTGTCGCTGTGAGAAAAACCCACATCCTGAACCACTTCTCCCACTGTAATAAGAATAAAGGGGGTGGGATGACTGTACCTTGTTGCCCCGAAACCAAGCAGAGATGAGGATCTGACTCTTCCTCATCTGCTGGTAGTGGGTACGGCAGCGCCAGCCTCGATAAATCTTCTGTATAAGAGTGGCCAGCTGCTGCAGCCTCAGGCGCCTCTTCTCCTCCAGGTAGAAAAGCTATGGAGAAGGCAGGATGGGGCAGAGCGGCTGGCTCTCTCCTCCTGTGCCCCATAGGACCCCAGCCTCTTAAGGGATCACTCAGCCCTCAAGGAGGCAGGGTGGAACCTCACATTCAATTCCCATCCACTCTCTACTCCAGGTTATGGATGCTGCCTTCCCCTCCGGCCTCTTTCTTGGGGGGGCTCTTGACTCCTCTACCTTCTGCCCCCACCAAATGCACATGCACTCCCCAACTCACAGTCTTGGGGCTTCTAATGAAGATCTTTGTTTTCCCAAAGGCCAGCTCCTCTGAGGACATGCTCAGCTCCCCCATAATCTTCTCAACCCCTTCCCTACAGAGCCAGATGGGGAAGAGCTGCCAAGGGGTGTCTTAGGATGAATCATCTTCCACATTTCTTTTAGTCCTTTTTAGCTCCAGAGAAGCAATCCTTCATTTCCCCAAGTATCTATCCAATGGCTTCAGCAGATGTGCTCAGCACCTCTCATTCCCAGAGGAGTTCCCACACCGCCCTTGACCGCTCTCCAGACTCCCCTCTGGGTCTTACCGTTCTCCACCATGCCAGTGAGGCCAGGTGCTCTGGCTCAGCAATCGGTACCTTTCCAGGAAGGGCTTGTAGCCCTGGCGATAGGCATAGCCAGCCCGACGTACCCGCACATTCTCTAGCAGCCCCAGGTACCTCGACTGAACTGCCACCAGCTCTGGGGAGAACTGACCTTGCCGCTGATTCTCATTGGGCTTTATGCACCTAGGAGAAAGGTGGGGAAGACCCGATCTTCAGGAATGGAATCCATGCTGGTCTCCATACTCCTATCTGCTTAGAGTCAATAGAAGTGGAAGTGTACCCACTGGCCTTCCCAGTTTCACTCACTACTCTAATGCCCCTCCCCCAACTACAGGATGCTCAGTTCCTCATCTGGCTCTATGAAGAAAGAGCCTTTCATACCCTATTCCAGAGACAGCTGCTACAGACATAGTCTACAGCACTTGGACACTATACATGCCATCACAATGAAGCACACTCCCCTGTCCCCTGTGTGCCCAGCTTGTCACCTGATGTAGTTGGGGTTCTTAGAATACAAGTTCTTCATGAGTATGGCCACAGAACTCTTGAACTGGGCCCCAGCAGTTGAGGGGCGTTTGAGAGATGCCTCCTTGGGATTACCCTCAGGGAACAAGGACCGAAGGAGGGGATGCCGAGCCTTCCACATGGCCTGGGACAGGTCCCGGAAGAGTAGGTCATTATTCTTGTCAATGAAGCTGTTCACATTGTATGTCACCTGTAGAAGAGTAGTTATGGATTCAGAGACCCCTCAGCCCTTTTCTAGCACTTGGTCTTCCCAGTCTTCTTGTAAAGTATTCTCAGTCCCACCCCCCCGCCCAGGTCTTTCCACTGCCTTCAGTTTGTGGTGGGCCCTAGTCTTTACCCTGCAGCCCTGCTACATCACCTTGCCTGCATAGTGGCAGATGCGGAAGCAGTTGAGGCCCATGGTGTGGTCATACTGGTGCTGGGCATTCTGGGTGACTTTGCTCTCATAGTGACTGTGCTTGGAGAAAAGCTGATTCAGCTTTGCTAGGAAAGTGGAGTCACTGACCACCCCAGGCCGCAGGCACTCCTCATCCAGCATGGCCAGAATGCCTCGCTGATTCTGGGCCAAAGGGAAAAAAGATTAGTGTATCTGAGACCTGGTCCTTCAAGATATTTACATTCTCATTGCTGTTCCCTAAACTCCCTTTCATCTTTTGCTCTCCTTTACTATTCTTACCAAGCAGGGCAGTGGAGAGACAGACAGAAGGATGTTGAGGCACTCTGAAAAGGGAGGTCTCAGAGGTAAGAGAATGGTAACTCACATGTTCAATGAGGTTACAGATGATGCCATTATCAAAGTAGTCCACCTTTGTCCATGGTATACCCTGGCAAAGGGAGACATCAATTGCAGAAGCAGCTCCAAGTCAAGTTTCCAAAGACTTTACCAGACCCAGCCTTCCTTTTACCTGTCCTACAAAGGACCATCAGAAAAGCCCATATTTGAGAGGGATCCTTTGTTTGATTCTATTTACATCCATACCCATCCAAGGTTGGTTGTAAATTTGTGGGGTAGGTGAACAGACATGAAGGAGGGTTAAAGAGTGAGAGTTCTCTGCTCTGTGACTTGCTGAAAATCAAGTCATCAAGCAGGATAGCTTCTAATCCCTGCCAAGGCCCAGATATCCCAGGCTGGGGCCATCCACAAATGTGGCTGAGATGTACCAACCTGTCCTTCCCTCCTCCCTCACAAGTCTTTAAGAGAAAGAGAAAGTAGAATGAAATTAAATAAAGTTGCCCTCTCACTTCATCCCCAACATACCTTCCCCAACCAGTTAAATGAACTATGATATAATTGCAATCCTATGTGTAACTATTAAAAGGGTCTTTATATACTGATATGGAAATAGCTCGTTAAGTGATACTAACAAGGTGCCCAACAGAATCTCTTTCTGTCCTTTGTATAAATTTTATAGAAAAATACATTTACATATTTGCTTGTACAAGATATGGGCCTCTGGAAGGAGGCCCATCTTGAGGTTGGTGACACAGAGGATGGGGAGCAGAACATTAGGGCACTTAGTAATACTGAATGCTCAGCCATGCAAGGGAAACTTTTTGTCCTGTACTCCATCTGGGGACAACTTAGAGGGACTTGAGATCAAGGAGAAAAGACGATCTGGCATACCTCTGGGTATTTAAGAAGAAATGCAGGGAGAAGACTTGGTTTATCTCTCTGGATGGGGAGGTGAACTGAGAGGCTGGGGATAGGGGTGGAAGGGAGACCTTTATTTATATACTTTTTTAAGTTCTTTGAATACTGAAACATGGAAATGCTTTATCTGGTTGATATTTTAAGTTGTTAGAACAAAAACATGCAAAACAACTGAAAAAACTCTTTCACACATTGTGACCACATTGCCTGAAATTCTGCCATAACAGATTCCTGAGAGTTCACAAGGCAACATCCCTGGAAGGGTTTTAATGAGTAAGACTCTCAGTCACTCACACTTTGGGGTGAATTAGCTCAATCAGAGAGCTTTTCTAACACCTAGCCATCAAAAACAAGGGTTTGCACTGAATCAGGGAAGGAGTGTGGCAGTTTGGAGCCATGGGCACTTCTGGTTAGGAAGTCTGGAATCAGGGTGCTGTCAGAGGGGACAACATCATCAGCCAGTGCCCAGAGGAGACAAAGGATTCTGCAATGTTGGAGAAGGACACAAAAAGGGATGTGGTAGGGTGCCAAGCCCAAGAGAAATGGCCCTTCTAAGTTTGGCTATAGTCTGCCATAGGCCAAGTATAGCTGTCACTTCACTCTTCCATCAATCCACACACACACACCCTTCTATCAATCTGTCCCCTGTCTGGCCTGGTCTGGAGTGAAGAGGTTGGGGACACAGAGGGTGGGGAGTAGAACACTAGGGCTACTTAGTAATGCTGAATTCTCAGCTGTGCAAGGGAAAGTTTTTCTCCTTTGTGTTCCATCTGGGAACAACTTAGAGGGAGTTGTGATCAAGGAGAAAGGAAGATCTGACATACTTCCCTGGTGGGCAGGGAGAAGATTTGGCTTACCTCTCTTTTATATTCCTCTTGCTCCTCCTTCAGGGTCAATTCTATGAACACCTGCTGCAGTTTCTCATTGCAGTAGTTGATCACAAATTGCTCAAAGCTATTATTCTGAGGGTTAAAGAAGGAGACAAACACACCTAAGACCCCCCACCCACACACACACACAGTCTCTCTTTCACATCCTCATGAGCCTGTCCCTGATAACTCCAGGGAAGCAGGCTGCTGAGGTTGGGTGAACCTCTCTCACCTCCAATATTTCAAAGCCGTAGATATCCAGGACCCCCATAACCTTCTTCTTCTCCCTGGTGTCCACCTAAAGAGGATGGAAGGACAAATCTGAGGAGAGACCCCACCCTGGGCATACCAGGCCAGGCCCTTGTGGGGAAGACAGGCTTGAAGGAGGGGCAAACAGAGCTAGAATGAGCTTGACAAAGCTGGAAAGGAGCAATGGTGTCTATTCTCCTTTTTCCATATACTGTAGGACAAGTAAAAAAGGAGGAAGGAGAAAAAGAAAGATGCAAATAGATTCCAGGATGGTGTTCCCATGGTATGAGGTAGAAAGACATTAAAATCCTCTCAGGATAATAACTGTCCCTTATATTTCCAAAGCATTTTGCAAAAAAATTTCCACATCATTTAATAAGCTTATCATAATCTTATAAGGTATGGTTATTCCTATTTTGAAGATGAAAAAAATCAAACTGCAGAAAGAAAAAGCATTTACCCCAGCCTAGATTCAAATCCCATCTTACTCTGGGGCCTTCCAGTAATACTCAAAATAAATGGCAATTTGATATAGACAGTTGTTTATTAATAGCTGATGAGGACTGGGGATGTAGCTCAGTGGCAGAACATGTGGTTAGCATGCATGAGTCCTTGGGTTGGATCCTCAACACCAAAAAAAGTAAATAAATAGCTTTATTATAGTTTATATACCATATATAATTCAGTGGGTTGTTTTTTTTTTTTTTTAGTTACTCAAAGGTTGTACAACCATTACCGGATCATTTTGATCACTCCAAGAAAGAAATCTTGTACCCATTAGTAGTTAGTCTTCTTTCCCCACCCCACCAGTCCCTGGCAATTATTGACCTACTTCCCAGCTCTATGGATTTGCCTACTCTTCACATTTCATATACATAGGATCATAAAAAAGGTGGTCTTTTGTGGCTGCCATAATGTTCTTAAGATTCATCAGTGTTGTAGCATATATAAGGACTTTTTCCTTTTTATGGCCAAATAGTACTCCGTTGCACAAATATACCACATTTTGTTTACCCAACATCTCGTAGACCCTTGGGTTGCTTCTACTTTTTTGCTATTATGAATAATGCTTCTATGAACGTTTCTGTGCAAATTTTTGTGACGATATCTGTTTTCAGTTCTCTTGGATATATGCCTAGGAATGGAATTGCCAGATCATATGGCAATCATGGACATAATTTTGTCTGATCTGCATTCAACCCTTTGAAGGAGGTAGACATTAATACTTTTTAGTGAGTATTTCCAAATCAGGAATCCAAGGTTCAGGATCTTTGTGAAATTGAAAGACTACATGTGGCTAAGTAAATGGATCAGACTGTCAAACTTAAATTCCAGGAGGAACTGTACCTCTCCCCCTCATCCCCCTCTCTCTGTTCATCTCAGAAACCAAGAAATGGAGCTGATGGCCAAAGCAGAAGGTGAAACAAGTAGAGGGTGTTGAGGGAAGAAAGCAATCACTCACCTTGATGCTCTCATTGATTCTATTCACTATCCAGTTGAAGAGGCGGCTGTAGATGTTCTTAGCCAAAGCATCGCGAGCATAATGAGCCTGTGGGGGCCGGGCATCCTAGTTAGTGTGGCAGCAACAGAACAGACAGAATCGGTTGCTACAGGAAGGCCCTTACCTGGATGACAGTCAGTTCTGTGACCACCTTTTCCTTGGCCGTCTCCATGGTCCTCGAGCACAAAGCTCTCTCTAGTTCCTCTGAATTCAAACCCACCAGCTCCCCAATTTCTTGAATGCCTAGAGTGATGAGGAAAAATGACATGGCTGGAGAGAGGGGCTCTCTCAGTGGCAGAGAGGAGATGTTAAGCAAAGTTGCCTGAGAGACTGGTGCCCTGAATCTTGCTGGAGAAGTCATTGCAGCCATCCCAGGACACAGTCCTAGAGGATGGGGGCTAGAGGAGAAGGCAAATCTGGACACTTTGTGTGTACTGTCTATTTTAATATCAGAATCTCCTGATAGGTGTGATTATCCCTATTGCAGTAGAATCAACTGAGACTCCGAGAAGTCCCAGACCTAGGTCTATCAAACTTTAATACTTCATTCTAAAGTACTTCACAAGGAGTGCTGGTATCTATTTGGGGACAACCTCAGGAGTGGGCTAAGTGGGCATGCATCAGGGTGAAGTTGATTACACTAGAGTTGGTATAAAAGCAGTACTCAAAGGAGACTAAAAGTGGGGTTCCAGCAGAGTGCCACAAACCTCTCCCATCACGGATGCCACTTGCTGGTATCCCATTGGCCTGGAACTCGCCCGTCAGCTCCACGTTCCCCAGCTTCAGCACCAGAGCTGTCACTTCTAGCACTTGTTGAATTTCCTCCTCTGAGAACCCAATCACTGACATTGCACTCTTGGGAAGAAAGCAAAAATCAAGCTGAACTGGTGCCAGTCCATTGCCTCCCTTCTCAAAGCCAGGGCCTGAGCCTAGGGGATGGCCTCAGGGTCCACGCCTGCTCCACACTGGGTACCCACCTGAACAGCCCTGAAGTTGGAGGCATCGTCCATTCCACCCACTCTGGACATCTCCTGGTTCAGATAGGTATAGTTGCTTATATCCTGCTCGAGCTTCAGGGTCTCTGGGAGAGCCAGCATAGACGGAGTGTTAGTACCCACTGTCTCTAGCCCCCCACCAGCCTTGATACCTCACCACCCTTACCCTGGATGGGTTCATTCTTTTATTCTAAGGAACACTTTTGGGTTTAGTTCTGCTCCTGTTTCCTTTATTTGAGGCTAATTTTTAAGTAGGATTTAGGATTTGGGGTTTTCCCCCAACTTTTATGAAAGAAAAGCCTCATTGGACTCTTATCCCCACCCTCAGGGTTTAAACAGTGAAAATGATCAAGCAAACCCTCCATCCTCCTCAGGCCTCTGGGAGGACAAAGGTGAGAGAAGAAAGGTAAATATGGATCTCCTACCCACTCCCAGTCTCAGCCTCAGCCTGGCCTGACTCATTCATTATTTGTTCAAGCACCAAAAAAGTAGCAGATAGTATGTTCCTTGGCCCTGACATCTCCTCTGGAAGGTTCTCTATCATGCTGAGGAACTGAACTAAATACAAGGCTCTCTTGTTCTCCCCTGTGATGAGTCCATCTCAACCCATATCACATGAGCTAGGTTTTGATATTTTCTGTCTCTCCCACAAATGATCAACATGTATGTTGGAACTGTGTTTCTCATCTCCATATTCATGTGCCTGACTGGCAAGCAGGAACTCTTTTCATCTTAATAAGTAATCAAGGAAATGTTCTAAGCATTTACCTGTGATGGGAAGGACACAGGTAAATGCTTAGAGGGGTGTCAATTATCTTTTATGCAAATAATCTGAGAATCAGGGAGTGTGCCTCAAACTAGAGTTTAATGCAGTTCTCTCTAGCACACATATCTTAAAACAGGAGACTGCTAAGGAAGGGCAGCTGGAAGAGAAATGAGTCAGAAATCCCAGAGATAATGACACCAGGGAGAACCTAACCAAACTCAGTTTAAAACCAATAGGTGATGGAACCAGCCAGAACAAGACACTAGTGCCTCTGACTCAGACATCACCTTGATCTGCCAAGATGGAGGATTAGACTGAGGGGACTTTTGAAATCTCTAGATTTCAAGGAGGGGGAAAGCATTTAGGGATAAGTCAGGCACAGAATAACAAGAAAACAAAGGGTCAGGTCTTTGGGGGCCAGAAACCCATGGTTCTCACAGCTAAAGGTGAGATTTGGAGGCAAACTCTGACAAGGTCTAAGTTCTATCTGACCCCATATGATGCTCACATAGAGCCACCTCTAGTTCAGCTTCCAGGCTGGCATGGGTTCTTCCTTAGAACAAGGCAAGGGGTTTTATGCCTTCTGCTCCTATTGCCATCTGCACATGCTGACTGGCACCAATCACACTACATTGCAATATATCTGTTCACACATCTGTTATCCCTAGAAGACTGAGTTCTTTGGGGACAGAGTCCATTGTTTTACTCTACTTTGTATCTCTATGGGCTAGAATAATGCTTGACTAGAGTAGGTATTCAAGAGATGTTTGATGAATGAGTGAATGAAAGAATGAAATTTCCATAGAGTTACCTAAGAAGAGAAAACCAGGGATAGGGCCCTAGGTAGGGCAGATGTAGGCCCAGGATAGCTTCAACTAGAGCTCCCTAGAAGTTCTTGAACACTTACATCTGCCTGCTTCTGTGCTGAACTGTCTATAAAGCCCCTTAAACTGGAAGTAGGAAGGAAGGTATATGGAAGTGAGAGTTCTGTTTTGAAACTAGCTTGGAGAAAGAGGCACCCAGGCAGGACAGGGGATAAGAGCAGTTAAGAAGCAAGAAAGGTAGATCAGCAAAGGACAAGTACAGAAAGGTCAGGAGATTTGTTCCCAACAATGGATGGCGAGATTTTTGGTGGGGATGCAGGCAAGGAGAAGTCTGGGGCTCAAGGGAAGGGGGAACATAGGCCCAGAGGGGCCCTGGGTTCTTGGGATGGAATGAATATTGGGATGCTTTGCTGTGTTCAGGGCAGGTACATACTCAGCAGCTGTGCATCTGCTCCAGCTAGTAGTTGATAGAAGATGTGGAAGTTCCTTTCCCCTTGGAGCTGCTTTACCACTCGGGACTTCTCAAGCAGATCTGGCAGAGAATTAGAAAATAACTTTTTGAGGGCCAGGGACATGATGCAGCATCCCTCTAATTCTGCCCTGAGCCCTGGCACTCCCAGTAGTTGGGAAGTTTCCTGAAGTCTAACAGTCCTCATTCCTCTAGAAGCAGATGAGCAGAAAAGGATTTCATAGGGCAGGTGGAAAAGAGAGTTGGTGAACCTTATGGGGGAGACACATACAGTTTGTGATGACGCCACCAAGAGGGGATCCCTTGAAGTCAAACTCAATATCCATGTATTTTCCCTTCAGAGAGAAAAAAAAAAAAAAAGACTTTGCTTCTTCTTCTCACGGCCCTGCTAGAGAGATCTGTGCTGCACCTCTCCCTCCCAGCCCCCACCTCTTCTCCCAGGCTGGGATGTGTACTCACAAATCTGGAAGAGTTGTTGTTGCGGATGGTCTTGGCATTGCCAAATGCTGCAGAGATGAGGAGAGGGGAGGGGAGGTGGCTGAGGGGAGGATGAGACTCTAGAAAAGGGAAGTCCTCCAGGAAGGACAACCTCCAGTCCTCACACCAACCTCACATTTTTCAGGCTGAATGGGAACAGTGGTTTTGGAAGAGGGTTTAGGGCTGAGGGACTCTGGGGACCAGGGACAGGTGGAAAAGAGAGGGCAGAGACCTGAATGCTCACCCTCTAGCACTGGGTTTGACTGAAGCAGCTGCTCTTTCACAGAGTTCACTTGTTCCCCTTTCCCACAGACAGCGGCCACATAGGACATCACCAGCTTGCTAGCCTCTGTGCATGAGAAACTCTCATGGGATTCCCACCCAGAGCTGACACCCCCCTCCCTCCTCCCTCCTCAACTCCTTGCACCCAAGCACCTCACATCACCCTCCAGAGTCAGAAATTCTGGGGAGGAAGTGCTAGGAGTTGGGACAGGGCTAGGCCTGGCTTGGATAGAGACAAGGAGTGGTTTTAGAGGTGACTCCATGCCTCTCCTAACCAAGTGCCTTACCAGTTTTGCCAGAGCCACTTTCGCCTGTGATGAGGATACACTGGTCTCGGTCCCGGTCCCTCAGTGATTGGTATGCCATATTTGCCACAGCATAGCTTGAAGAGAGGAAGTAGGTGATGACTAATGTGGGCCAGCCTTAGATGCCACTTTCTACTCAATCCTCAGTGCTAGAGTCACCCACGTTCCCCCACATGGACCACACTAGTCAAAAAGGGCTAGGCCTTAGAAGGGAGGCTTCCAGACGGCCAGGGGAGGAGGGGGTAACTGAGAACCCTCTTTAGGAGAAGGAATAAGCAAAATTAGGGTGCTTCGTCATCACAAAGCCAGGGTCTTCTCAGCCTTCCCTCAGTCCCTCTACTCACATATGAGGCTTCAACTCATAGAAGGTATAGTCCTGGTATTTGGCAATGAACTCTGGGCCATAGATGGGCAGCTGTTGGTAGGGATTCACTGAGATCACCACACTCCCAATGTAGGTCTGGAGTCAGAAAGAGGATGAAGAGAGCTGACAGAGTGGCTCAAGTGGCAGAGTACCTGTCTAGCAAGCACAAGGCCCTGAGTTTAAACGCCAGTATGGTTAAAAAAAAAAAAAAAAGGTAAGGAAGGAAGAGAGGGAAGGAAGGAGGTAGGGAGGGAGGGAGGGAGGGAGGAAGGAAGGAAGGAAGGAAGGAAGGAAGGAAGGAAGGAAGGAAGGAAGGGAGGGAGGGAGGAAGGAAGGAAGGAAGGAGCCTGGAGGGAGGGGGATGGGAATATGTGAACTTTCCAGACACACCCACAGCCGCACCCATATTGCACTCACATAAATCTCCTTGTTTTCATAGCGAAGCTGAAGGTTCTTGAGCAGAGACTTCTCCCCCAGGGGTTCCAAGAGGATGAGGTCCTCCACCCCCACAGAGCCTTCCAGGAGAGACATGTCCAGAGGGGCTGGAAATTCTAGGAGTAAAAGGGGTAATTTGCTGTAGTCTGCTCAGCTTAAGGGTCCAGTATGTGTAGAAGAGGGCAGAAGGATCTAGGAGAGCCCCCTACCTAGAAGAGCCTTTGGACCAGGCAGGTCAACTAGGGAGGTAGGGTAACCCTCTGCTTCCTGGTGGAGGGGGTAGGTTAGAACAGGACCACCTGCCTCCGCCCACCTGGGGAAGGACTGCACCAGTAGGCAATGGTGGGGCAACAGAGTTGTGCTGAAGGAGAGATCCCTGGGGAACAAAGTGTGAGCGAAGTTTTATGCCACAGCCAGGTACTGAAAGCTCCCTTCTTCCTGTTCTGAGGTCCTGACCAGCTTCCAGATTCCCTGGCTACTTGCCCCAGTGCTTCTGCTCAACTCCCTACCTTCACAGCCCCTATTTCAGTCACCCAAATCCCTCTCATTCCCATCTCAGTTCTTCCAGAGATCTCCCTATCATTATCACAGTGAGCTTTATTTCTAAATGGGGACTGGACAAGGTGGTGAATTTGAGAAGAGGCAGGAGTCCTCTATAAAAGATTGGAATTTCCCATAGAAAATGAAAGTAGGGTTTGCTTCCCCAACTAGCAAAGCCTCTAGATGTCTGCGATCTCTGCCCCTATTTTTCCATGTCCAGATCTTATACCTATTTCTGTAAACTACTGACACAGACTTTGCCCAGAGGGACACACCCAGCTTTTTAGTAGCTGGTGGGAGTGGGCAAGGAATACAGCTGCAAGAGAGGTTACGGGGTTGGGCCCCATGCAGTAGGCACATGGCAGGTGTTCCTGCAGGAGGAAGCCCAGCCTCCCTAGTCTTTCCAGTGGGACTGAGGAGGTAGGATGACCGGGCACAGGGCAGAATTAGTACAATGGTCAATGCCACTCCCAAGTAGGAATAAAAGAGACATATTCTCCCACTCTCCTGCACCTCTGAACGTGGGTGGGGGAAGGAAGGGAAAAGCAAGAATGGAAGATGGGACAAGAAGGGGGCACTGGCTTCTTCCCCCACCCCACTCTGCTTTCTCTAAGCTTCAGTTAACTTCCTGGCAGGACACAATTGGGGAAGCAATAAGAATACTAATAATAGCAGTCTCTGGAAATAATGCAGTGTTTACCACAGGCCAAGCAGAGCTCTAAACATGTGCAAATACTAATTCATTTGATGCTTGTATTATCTACATGAAATGGGTACTATTATTATCTCAGATTTCCCAGTTTTTTAAAAGGCCAAGTCTTTAATTTGGCAGGGAAGGGTGAGAAGCAAAAGGTGGGTTGGAAGAAGTCATTTCTTTGGGTTTAGGTTTGAGAGAAGTAGGACTGTGATTAAAGACCCCAGATGGGGCACCCTAAGGTGTGAAAGAGGAGCAGTGACAGGTCAAGGCAGTACTCACCAAACACTGGAACAAGGGTGTAACTTGAGTGTCCCTTGGAGAATGGGTGATGAAATCCCAATTTGACAGGAAGGGGACATAGGAGTCCCAGGTGCCAAGGCGAAGTGTCTTAGGTTAATGGGAGCTGTCCATGGTGTTGGGGAAGCCAAGAAAGAGGCTGCTCTCCTCTTGCCAGTGTCCACTCTTGTGACCTTCCTTTGTGCTGCCTCTTCCAGCCCAGGCTCCCTGTGCCACTCTGGCCAGGAGACCAGAGAGATGACTGCTCAGCACAAAGTCCGAAGCTGTTCCTACTGAGGGTGTGGCTCACTTAACCCTTCACAGGTCTGTGACGCTGTTTTCCTCTAGGTAGGAAAAGGGTATGTGGCTGGCTTTAGTTGAGGGGCTCAAGTAGAGAATTCATGCTTTGACCCCAAAATTTGGAAGTAAGAGGAGGAGGAATGGAATTTATAGCCAAGGAAAAGATTTTCCAAGGAGGTCAGGAATTATGCAAGCTGGAGTGTCTTTACTAGCAAAGAGATAGTACCTCTCTGAAACTGAACTTTCCTATCTTATTGATCTTATTGGGAGTCTGAGAATATTGAGATTACTTGGAGAGCTAAGCAGACAAAGTTCTCAAATCCCTCTCTCTCTGCTTCCCTTTCCCCTGTGAATCAGAGTTCATCACAGAAACGCAAACATTAAAGTTGATAGTAATAAATACTTCACAGTTAGATGGACCAGTTTCATTGAACTCCCACCTATATCATCTCACTGAGTAGCCCTACCCCGGGAGCAGACAATGCAGACACTCCATTCAAAGGGAAAATTAAGAGGCAAACTCTGGGTTCAGTTGCTCTACTGTGTGCCTTTAGTGCCATGGCTAGCATATGTGGGAACCAGAAACACAATGCAGTTTCCTGACCCTCAGTAGGCCATTTACAGCCCAAGTTCTGAGGTTTCTAATTTTAATCCTCCAGCACTGGGATACTGAATAAGACCCTGAGATGCTGTTTCCTGGGCATTAGCCCAGCAGAAAATAGCTCCCTCTGATTTAAAAAAAAAAAAAAGCTTAGCAAACCCAATTTCCCAAGTATCCCTTATCTACCCAGAAAAATTCCTGAACAGTAGCTGCTCCCCCGCCACCCCAGTGCCTACCATCCTCTTTCCCTGACATGCACAAAGAACAAATCAGGCAATTACATACACTTAACTACGATAGGAACTTGATTTTCCAACTCCCAGTCACGGCTGCTTGGTTCAAGGTCCAAGCTCTATGTAAGCACTCAAGCATTCTGTGTAAGCCTGGCCCATCAGCAGTTCCATTACCAACCTGCACTTACATAATTTATTGATCTATATCTATTTGAAGTGGGGGGAAGGGGATTGAAAACAAGGAAGAGAGAAAGAGTGGAAGTGACATCAAAACATAATTCCATGGGGGAGGGGGACAGGGGGAGAAATGACCCAAGCAATGTACGCACATGTGAATAAATAATGAAAAAATTTTTAAAAAACGTAATTCCATGTATAGGTGGAGTATTATCATAGTATTAGAGGCAGAGTGTCTACAGATCCCATTTTCCAGAATAAGAAAAATACTTTTTCAGGGTCACACCATGCAAACCAGGCACAGGGGGCACCAGAACTCAGATCTCTCATTCTCTTGGCCAGGAATTTGCAACCACTTGAGGTTTATCTGTGCCTACCTATTCATTCATGGGGTTGTCTACTATGTGCTCCCAGGTGCGAAGTTACTCTAAACCAACCTTAAACTGTAAAACAATGGCATGAACATCACAGCTCTGGCTACCTACCATGCTGGTCTGCCTGGGGTGCACAGTGGGTTCCTACCCAACTGGACGTGTGAATTTGAGGGCCAAATCTAGGGAAATCCTAGGCAAAATGGAATGAGTGGGTCACTCTAAATTAACAAGGTATGCAATATACATCCAAGTTAACTGGGGGGCTGGTGAAGTGGCTCAAGTGGTAAGAGTGCCTGCCTAGCTAGTGTGAGGCCCCGAGTTCAAATCCCAGTACAAAAAAAAAAGATTGTGGTGTGCAGAGACTAGGTATTTATTAAAGATAGAAATAAAGAAACAAATGCTACAAAGATCCATATATGCCTAGACCTTTGTCTATCTGTTAAAGACAGGGCCTAGCGTATGTAGTAGATGCTTAATATTTAATAAACCCTAAATTATCTTCCTGGATGATGATTATGGAGCTCTAATACAACATACATTTTTTTTGAGACAGAGTCTCACTCTGTCCAGGCTGACCTCAACTTCCCATCCTTCTGCCTCTGCCTCCTGAGTGTTACAGGCATGCACCACAATACCCTGATAGAATTATCAAGGTCTTTGTATGCTTTTAAGTAGCATGCTGAACTTCATATCATTTTGTTGTTGTGGAGATCATAGCATCTGGCCTTGTTTTGGAACTACAAAGCCGGTAGAGTGGCTTAAGTGGTAAGAGCACCTGCCTAAGCAGGCAAGAGGTCCTGAGTTCAAACCCTAGTGCTGCCAAAAAAATAAACAATAAATAAAAGCCAATGTTTCCTTGCACTTTGCTTCCAGTCTGACAACTACCTTGTCTTAAATAATTTATACTAATTCTCAATTTCTTCACATATAAAAATGAGCTAATTAGATAACTTCTGAGGTCTGCTATGATTTTAGTTACATGTGTTGTGATTATGTATTTGCTCAAAAGTTGAATTATTACTTTTGTAGTTTATTGTGGAAACTCTTGCTTCCTCACAAATAATGCTCATTGAAAAACAATACATTCTTCAAACAAATGAACAGGTATATAAAGTGTATGTGCGTAGTATGTGTATTTCTGTCCACAGAAGAGAAAAAATAAAAATGATATGAAAATATTCTTTATCATACTACAACAAAGTCTTTACAATTTTTAAATTTTCTAACCACTAGAAATTCTGAAGCTGTTTGAAAGTACCATTTTGTTAAACTCTTTTTGCCTTCCAAAATATTCACAGTATATTTCCATGCTTTTGTTAAGGGCAAAGTGGTTTGACAGAAAACCAAATTAAAGACCACTGATACAGATTTTAAAAAAAATTGTGCTGATGGTTATACAACTGAGTCTACTGGTCAAAAGTCAGCAAAACTGTACACTTAAAACTGCTGAACTGTGTTATATAAACTATACTTCAGTAAAGCTAATGGAAAAAGGCAACAATGATGATGGAGGAGCAATTCCAAATCCTTTGATACTGATTTCTGATAAAACTGAGAGGGTAGGAGTCTGATCAAACCAACTCACTCAATTCTCCCAGATGTAATCCCAGCAATCATGAGGCTGGGACAGGAGGATCTCCAGTTTAAGGCCAGCCTGGGCTATGTGTATGAGGCAACTAGCTAAGTATTTCACCTCCCTGCTATTCAAAATGAGGTCCACAGACCAGCAGTATCTAAATCACCTGGAAGCTGTTAGAAATGGAGTGCTAGGCATCACTGCAGATGTACTGAATCAGAATCTGCCATTTTAACAAGTTCCCCTCATTCCTATGCATGTTAAAATCTGCAAGCTGCTTTACAAATCCTAATTTTTCTACTCACTAAAACCCTGTAATCTAATAATTATGCTTTAAGTTCTTATTAACTCAGCCATTAATGATTGCCTATCATCACCTAGTAGTAGTTATAAAAAGGAGAAAAGATGTCATTCGTGTGAATTAATCTACATAAATTTACATATGGTATACATCCTGTTTCTTACTTTGCCAACTTTCTGTCTCTAAAAATTGGACAATGAATTTCCATGTAATCTAAATAACTAGGAAGACAGGTACAGAATTAACAAACCCTATAATAGATTCCCAGCACAAACAAAATAGCCAATACAGAAAAGAAAATGCAAGTACCAGAATCCTACCGCAGAAGCTGGCCCTAGACATAATTGAAGTTTTTATTCTATGCTCCCTAGCACTCTCTTCTACCCTACACAAAACTCTTGCCGGGAATCTCGTAACTGGACCCATAGGTTACCCCCCACCCTCACCTCCATCTCAATGGAGAAACAAGAGATACTTTAAGCTATTAAAAAAAAAAATGAAGCACAATCAGAGTAGCAACCTGGACCAGAAATATTCTATGTTTTTGTTTTTCCATGAGACAGCAAGGTAGTACAACCTGCTACTCCTGCGAGAATGTCCCTTTGAGCCAGGCATGGTGTAATCCCAGCTATTTAGGAGGCAGAGACAGGAGCAGTCCAAGGCCAGGTGGTATGTGGGGGGTAGGGAAGAGTAAGGGAGACCCCATCCGAAAAACAAAATAAAAGCAAGGCTATGGAAGTAGCTCAAATGGCAGAAAGCTTGCAGGAGATAGTGGGTTCAATCTCTACTATCAAAAACAAACAAACGAAAAAGCCCCTTTGAGATCTGGCATCCTGAGAAACCATCCAGTCCAAGGATAGAAGTAGACCTACAGATTTGAGATGGGGAGGGGTGGTTAAAGAAAAAATGGGAACTAACAGCATGAAACTGAGTTGTTGATTGCCTAAAAACATGGGATCCACCCAAGAGTGTATGTTCATTAAGAGACACCACTATATATGCTATAAAATTTTATTAAAGTTGGGGTTACTTACAAACTATATAATAAAAAAATGGAAAAATACCTAAGACATCATTTTTTTTTTACAGAAAGGTGGGAGAAAATGAAACCCATGGCAAAGAGCCATCCCTGATAATTTTGTTCCTTTCAAACAGTCAATATTTATTCTAAATATGACAAATCTTTCATCTAAATAACACTAAGGCATTACCCATAGGCTAAAACTTACCCAGTAATTTCTTAGTTCTATTATTTTAACATCAATTCCATAAACATGGAAAACTGTGACAATAGCAGGCTGTAATGGGTTCTAAAATTCACATTGTAAGTTGTCTGTTAGCATAAGAATGCTGTTCATGTTGTAGGCAAGTTCAAAGAAAGTAACTTCACCATTTTCAAGTTAGCATTCAAAATGTCAAAGAGGAAGACACTGGGCAGGATGTGTCGGGGTCCTCCAAAGCTCCCGGTTTTGGGAGTCTATGACCACTCCTGTCCCCACTAAAGCTGCAGGCTGACACTGGCATGAATCTGCTTTGTTATTCCCAGCAGACTCTGGTTCCCACCATGTAAGGCACCAAATACCCTTTTCTTTCTTTCATTATTTTGAGATGGGCATCTTGCTTTGTTGCCCAAGCTGGTTTCAAAGTCCCAGACTCAAGTGATCCTCCCATTTCAGCCTCCCAAGTGCTTGAATTACCCAGTAATGGTGTTTCCCAACACCATTCTCAAAATAGTAACCATCTATACTCCACTCAACAGCAACCTGAATTCATAAATTAAGTCATTAAGACACCACTGGGTTACTACAATTGTGTAGGTTCCCCTAAAAAATAATCATCAATTTCTGCTACATGGAAACTGAAGCAAATGGCTTGGGTGCATTTACCTTGTGCAGTGGCTATTTCATGTTTATTATTTGGTTCAGTGTGTATGTAATGTGAGGACACAATAAATCTGTCCAGCTGTCCTCTCCTTGGTTCAAATAAATTCTTAGCATTTCAATATAGGTTATTATCTCGTATGTCAGACCTGAGTCCAAAGGAATACTAGAAGGACATTTAATTTCCTTTCCTCCTACTTCAACTTTCACCACTCAATTCAGAAAAGAGTTACAAGTACAAAGCTAGGAACCATTTTTGCACAAGCATCCTTTTTTTCTGAAACAACAAAAAGATTGAGGACAATTACATAATCCATTCCCAAGCCTTTTATGGGTATCAGAGCCTGGAGGAACTATATGGCCTATCTGGGTCTTCTCATTCATCAAACCTCCATCATACATGCCAAGTGGGACTGGGCTGAAGGGAACAGTCAGTGAAGAGAGAACTGGACCCTAGAATGGGATATATTACCATAAAACGGAACAGTGGGATGCAAAGAGCTATCATCAGCAAAAGTCCCTTTGTAACAGACATAAAAACTATCATTTTGTGTGGTGTAATGGCCAATAGGACTTCTTATCACAAACTATCAAAGTTCCTAAGTTTCTGGTCATTGCATTCTGTTGCTCTCATGAAAACAGTCTGAGTGAGAAAGGAAAAGGAAAAAGTTTAAGGCAATTTGCCTCTTGTTACTCCCATTAATGGGAGTCATACTCTATACAACTTGGGTCAGACCAATTAGAGGTGACAGATTTCCAATGCTGATGAGACCCTGAGCCCTGGAGGCAATTTATGACTAGATATTTGCTGAACAAGTCGCTGACATGGCAGCAGACATGGCTCCGATGTCCAGCTCATCCTACAGTTATCCCCTCAATTCTTCTTGATGAGATCGGTCTGAGATGAGATTGTGCTGAAATTGCATGAGCTGTAACTGCCAGAGAAAATTAAATAGGGGCTTCAAGTAGGGACTGAGCCAGCAGACTAAGTGGCCATGAGGCAGACAAGAGCAGCTCCTAAAGAAGCTTTACGGAGTTAAGCAATCTCCAGGCACATGGAGCCTCTCAGGCATCTGGGCAGAGCCACACAGACAGACAGGGCAAGGACATGCAGCACACCAAAGGGACACCATCCTTTATTGTCAGAGAGCAACTCTCAACACTGACGGACTAACTGTCATCTCCACTCCTGCAACTCAGTTCTCCAACTACCAGACAGGGAGTAATAAAATGTTTTTCTCAACCCAAATTCAAACATTGTGAAGAAAATTGAGATGGAAACTATATTTCACAAATTTACCACACAGAAAAGGAAGAAAATCTTTCCCAACTTTAAAATGTCTTCTCACTGAAATAAAGACCTAAGTCACGAAAAGTCACTTTGAAGGCAAGCTATCACCTCTTTAAGGAGCCATGTGGGGAAGGACCTAGGGAACATGAGGCCCTGAATTCAAACCCCAGTCCCACCAAAAAATAAATAAATGAATGAATAAGTAATGTGGAGAAGGCACCATGGTCTCCAAAAAATCCTGAAACCACTATATAATTGAATTATTTATTCAAATTAACTTACACTCAAATATACTAGGTATCAATTTCTACAAATAAGGTAAAAAATAGTATATTTCAAGATTTTTGTTGTTATTGTTAGTGGTTTTTGTTTTTGTGGTTCTGGGTATTGAATCCAGAACCTTGTGCATGGCAGGTAAGCATTCTACCACTGAGCTATATCCCCAGCCCCTCCCAAGTTTTAACAGTTCTTTGCAGAAGGACAAAATTTTACCATGTACATAATTCACAAAGGCATACAGGTTTCCCAATAAAAGTCTTACACTTGTAACTTTAACCCTTAGCATCTGGCCAAATACTGCCTATTGTTCACTTTATATTATATATCTGGTTCCTGCCAATTGAGGTAGTTGTCGCTTTAGGACAGTTTAAGGCTGTGGAGAACACTGGTTAAAATAATCAACTGGCCACTGCAGGGGAGTCTCAGAGCTGACATTTTGGAAGTTAGCAATGGAGCCCAGGACCTTTCACAATTACATGCTAAATGGCTGGTCAGGAGACCTAACAGCTTTTTAAAAAAATAATCTTTCTTCTCTATGATCATAAGACAGTAATTCTGATACTATGCACTTGCCATCAGTGTCTACCTTCCTGGCTAAAGGAATTTCAGCTTTTTCCAAGGTATGAGGGTGAAGATCACAAAGAAAAAAATAAGCAAATGGCAGGTATTCGGGAATTTGCTCCCTCATAAACGACATTGATGGCTTATAGGTTGTTCCAATGGCAAGATGCTGAAACTAATGCCACTGTAATAAAGGCAGCATATCTCTGTTCAGAAATGAAATTGCAAATAAGTATAGTAAATTCAGGGAAAAATGTGTCTGGTCCTGATGGCTGAATGAGCATTCAGAGACATGATGATAACCTGGAGGTCTATTTCTGGAATTGCAATTGTGACAGCTACAACGCTATAAAATGCATTATCAAGAAACTTCAAGCTGGGCATGGATGGCACTGCCTGTAATCCTAACACTAGAGAGACTGAGGCAGGAGGATCTCAAGTTTGAGATCATCCTAGATTACATAGATACAAAGAAAGAAACTTCATAGACGGTTTCAGGGCTTACAAATTAGTCAGATTTGTGAAAATACAGGTAGTGAGGAAAGACTAAAGGAATAACCACACAAAAGGAGGAAAAGGAAAAGGAGATAGTTTCTTGAATCCATAGCAACTCAAAGATATGTGACCCAGCCAGGTGCCTGTAATTCTAGCTACTTGGGAGGCTAAGATCAGGAGGATGGTGGTTTGAGGTCAGCCTGAGAAGCAGTTCATGAGACTCCATCTCCAAAAATAACCAAAGCAAAATGGACTGGAGGTATGACTCAAGCAGCAGAGAAGAGCAAAGAGTCTGCTTTGCAAATGTGAAGCCCTGAGTTCGAACTCCAGTGCCCCCTCCACACACACACACACAAAAAGGTATGTGACCTAACTGCAGAAAAGAGAGGTTGTGTAAACAACATCATGTCTCCTTGCTACCGGGAATAATACTAGAAACTAAAAACTAAGAAGGGAGGTAAAAAAATGAGACAAGCTGAGCATGATGGCCCATGCCTGTAATCACAGCACTTCGAAGGCTGAGGCAAAAGGTGAGTTTGAAGCTACCCTAGGATACACAGCAAGACCCTGTCTCAAAAGAAAAAGAAGAAATGAGACAAACTCTAAATAAATTATACATACTCCACAGTTAAAGAACAGACCCTTCCCTTCCTGAATGGAAAAAGAGGGGCAAAGAGCAAAGGGAAGAGAAAAATGCAAATGTATTTTAAAATGGAATTAAATGTTGGATATAATAAAAAGCCCAAGAGATCCCACCTACAGAAGAGCCTTTTGGGCATGTTTCTAAAAGCAAGCAGGACTCGGAATATCATACGTATGAGAAACAATTTAAAGCTCAACACAGTATCTCCATACTTGTAAATATCTAGGGCCAATAGGGCTTGTCACTCTGGACCATTTGCTAGTTCTGGAACATGAGTTTGTTACATTTTTTAAAATATATTTGTTTAAAAAACAAGGCAGACAAAAATTCATTTCCTTTCAAAACAATTCAATCTAAGATTATCCTACAGCCACTGAAACAAAAGCAGAAGTGAAAGAGGCTCGTATTTGTACATTTCTCTCCAGCCGACACAGTCTATAGTCTGGAACCATGATTGCACTTGTAACAACTCTCACTTTGGAGGGCCAGCCACAGTGAAAGAAGTGCCATGACTGAATCAGCTTTCAGAGAGGAGCTAGAATGCTGTGTTGGCTGTGGCCATCTAATTTCTTTAGGAACAGAAAAGTGGGCTGATAGCTTAAAAAGAGGGAAGCAAACTACCACGGCAATCTCCTTATTTAGGGATCCCATGGAGAACACCAAGACCATTCCAAGAGGGAGACCTACTTCAGGCCTCTCATTTCAGTGGAAGAATTTCTGTGCAATCTTTAGCCTGCTCAAAAGCCTGGAAGAATTGCACAACACTTGCAACATGGACCACTGAGGCACTGAAAATACTGACCACCATCTAGGTCAGGAAGTTGTTTTGTGTGTTAGTGGAGCACTGAGAACCTGAGTCCTCCTCTTCCTCAGAGGACATTTCCTCATCTTGGGCAATAATGCTCCCTAATCCATACTCCTGCTCATGGACAGAAACTTCATTTGGTGTAAGGTGGAAAGAGCCTTCCATAAAGTCAGCAAATCTGGAAAAGAGAAGGAAATACTCATTAGGAATCTGCCTTCCATTCTTCTGGTTGTCTTTCAAAGTAAGAACAAACTGAAATGGTTCATTTCCTCAAAGCACAAATAATATTGAGTCTAGCTAAAATCCCTGTCCTCACTCTGACAGGTAAGTAGACTAAGAAAGAAACAGGAAGAAAAGGAAGACTGGGATCCTAGACCAATATCCCTTCATCTTGTTTGATAAGCATTAACCTATCCTTTTTGGCTATGGAAGAGATAAGGTTCCTTGAGTCACTGTATTCCTGATAAGAGAAGATTAGGGGCATTACACAGTTATCTGTGTTTATGGCCATATAAACTTTATGCTAACAGGATTCCAAATTGAAGCTTCACATACCCACTGATTCAATTGCTCCCAACTAAAAAGAAAAAAAAACAAGAAGAAGAAAAATCAACACAGAAAGAGGAAACTTAATATGGTACTAGAACCTTCCCATCTCAATGCTATAACCAAAGCTACAGTAGATAGTTCCTCGGGAAGCAGGAAACAAGCTACTACTTAATACAGGACAACACAGTACCTTTCTCTTGACTACTTCTAGGTTAACACTTATCAAAGGTCACAAATACAACATGGTTATTCACAAGTATGATCTCTATTAGAACTCAAGGTCACAATTATCCTAATAGACACTTGGCTTGTCTGGCCAAGAGTTTACCTTTTTGGAGACTGGATTCGAGAAACAGTCTTCCAAGGAGAACAGTCTGGACTGTTACAAAATTCTCGGAGCTCCGCTAAAGCCTTTCGGGTCTCCACCTCTCCTTGTATCCGATATTCTTCTTCTGTCAGGAGACGAGGGGGGACAGGCTTTTCTGTTGCCTTACACATCTTTCTGTGCTCACCAAAATAACATCATGAATCATTAATCAGTAATCTATACCTATCCTTACCTCTAGCTCTCTTCAGTGGACAAAGCATAGCGCAGACAGCCTGAACATTAAGAGCCCTCACTCCTATCATGGGGCATAGCTCATATGCTGCGCCTGTCTAACAAGGACAAAACCCTGAGTTCAAGCCCCAATACCACCAAAAAAAAAAAAAAAAAGTCATCATTCCTACCTTTCTTTCATAGACATCTTTCATTATAATGGACTCCTGACATATCAGACTATTAGTGAAAAATCAGAGTAGTCAGTATTATTCATTAATGTGAATAAATTCACTTATTTCCCAAAAAATGATGAAGTATTTATTTTCCAGTAAATGGAAAAGCAACAAGAAAATGATGTTATAATATTGCTGTCTGTTAACTTGGTTCCTCAAACTGAAGGTATCACTTTGATTATCTGCAACAGAATAACCATTGATAACCTCAGAATCTATGACCATTCCATATTCACTATGCAAGGCGAGAACATGTTATGAATTACATCTTAAAATAAGACTAGGATTTCCAGAGTAATCTGAGAGCAATTGTGAAATAATCTGAAACCAGGTGAACAGAAGCCTGTGGCATAAAAATGACATAATTTACACCACCTAGTGGTAACAGGAACACATGACACTTTACTGGATGCTTTTATATAAAATGACTAGAATAAAATTTTAAAAAGCCTAGAAGTAAAAAAATGGACTCAGTAAGGAACAAAGGCAGAAGTGTAACACAGTAACTTCTCATTAACATAGAGGTTCCCAGGGTGTCACCTCTGTACCCTTTTGCATCCCACATTGCAGGTGTCAATACAAAGTTACATTGTCTTTCAGTCACCTGCAGGTGATGTACAGCCACTGAATAGGGTACTCCAGGTTCTTAGTACACAGTGCAATGATGATAAGAGCAAGGGCAATGTGAGGTATCTGGATGCCAGAATACATGAAACCCAGGCCTATCAGCTGCAAGGTCCAGGTCAGCAGATTAATACTTCGTTCATTCTCCAAGGGCCCATACTTGTAACACACTGCAAAACTCATGAATCCAACTGTGAGGATGTAGCCTATGAGAAAAGTTATCAGAAAACATTCTTTTATCTACAAATGGTAAAAGTAATTTGTATGGGAACAGTAGTAAATTCACTATATAGCATTTATTGAGCCAGGAAATTGGATAAGAGCTTTACTCAATTATTCATACTTTCTTTTATTATATATACATATATCACTATCTTCACAAATTTAGTTCAAATGGAGTATTAAAGCTACATGTTGAACTGTAAAAGTTTATTTCATATTAAAAACTTCTCAAATGATCAAAGGTTTCTATCTATTCAACCAAAGGATTCTCACTTTATAAAAAAGATTCACTATAATCTTTTACTTCTCAAGGCCCTCAAGTGTATTTAAAATATTACTATACTACTGAAATTAATTTACAGTTTTTTAGAAGGCTGATTATTGTGTAAAGAAAAGTGCATTTATAAACATAAACAAGCTTATGTCTCTTAGCAACAGCATTTGAAAAGGTGGTAATGGTAGTGGTACTAGAAACACGATTTACAAGTTAGTCAAATGATATGAACTATTAACTCTCATAAGCAGACATCTTTTCATGATCAAATTAACTAAAACAACCTACACACATGCAAAAAGGAAAGCAAAACCAACACTTACTTAAAAGATATTGCCAGTAAAACCTCCAGATCTCTTGTAAATTCTTAAAAACTAGCTGAATGAGGTACAGAGAAAAGGACCAGCCTCCCACCAGGATGACGTAAATGGGACTTTTCTAAGACAGAGTAGAAGTGAAAGCAAAAAATTACAACAAACTTTCCATACACAAAAGAAGCAAAATGAAACTATGGGTTTTTTTTTCCTTAAAATTCAACCTACTCAGAATGCAAAAAAGAAAACACCTCTCTTAAAAAGATGTGCTTTATATCTAAAAAGGTAGTTTGAAAGGCACAATGGGAAGATGGGATGCTAAATAACTTAAAAGCCTGGCTATGTAATTAGAAAACAGAAAGGTGACTTTAATCCCCCACTGAGCACATGATTTTAAATAAAAAGAATTTATATGTAATCAGGCTCCAAGTCTCATTATGGAAAGTACTTTTTGGAATCAAGGAGAGTAGGATGGACATTGACTCATCAGCCATCAATGCAAATTTTCAGTGTTCTAAGATTGCCCAAGACTGCTTTTGTGAGTGCCTGCTTTGCAAGCATGAAACCCTGAGTTCAAACTCCAGTTCCAATTTAAAAAAAAAAAAAGGGAGTTATGCAAGAAAATAGTACTTCAGGTATTCAAGTTCACCCTGTGTATGGCGATTCTGGTACTTACCTTGGGCATAAACTTGGATAGTATAAAAATTATGATTAATAGAGAGGCCACAATTCCCACACTCATCCCAGTAGAATAGTAGAAAATTTGACTCCTGCAGAGAGAAAATGTATTTCATGACTATCGGTATACACTTCATATACAACATTGCTAAAATTAGGACAACTAATCCAGCAAAGAGTTTTTAAAAGGTACAAGATTAGAAAAGGAATTTGCCCAAGACTCAAGGCCAAAGAACTATAGAGAATGATACAATGTAATTGTTGCTAGATTATTAACATTATCATCGATGAGGGCTCCTCAAATATATCCCAATAATAAACCTCTGCTTAATCCTTCACTCCCATCTCCATCTCTCTCCTAACCCTATTTACCCATTTATTTATTTACTTATTTTTGGTGTACTGGGGCTTGAACTCAGAGCCTTCACCTGGAGCCACTCCACCAGCCCTATTTTTGTGAAGGGTTTTTCAATATAGGATCTCATGGAACTATTTGCCCGGGCTGGCTCTGAACCATGATCCTCCTGATCTCTGCCTCCTGAGTAGCTAGGATTACAGGTGTGAGCCACCGGCACCTGGCTTTGTTTGTTTGTTTGTTTGTTTACTGATTGATTGATTGATTGGTGGGACCGGGGTGGCACTCTACCACTTGAGTCACATCTCCAAGTCTAATTTTGCTCTGGTTATTTTGGATAAAGTGAAAACTGGAACTGAACTGATTGCTCAGAAGGGTAGGTAGATCCTTCATGGACCTAGCACAGAGAGGCCCTACTCCCATTGCAGGTTCTTTCTGCCAGTTATTTCTCCCTTACTGTGGATTTCTCTCAGGAGCCCAAAAATAACAAAACAACTTCTCCCAATCCCACTTCACCCCAACTTAAAATTCCAACTGTTAAACTTTCTTTTACTACCTATAAATACTCTTTGTACAAACTTAATATTGACTGTACCTTCATTTAATGTTTGCTTATTTACCTGTATGCTTTCTTTTTATTTGTATATCACTTTCACCTATTTTAGCTAGTAGGTCCCTAAAGGAAGGAAATGAATAAGTACTTGATGTTTGTTTCCTTACATCTGAGCAGCACGATACTCATCAACATATAATCTGGCAGCAACTGCATCATATCAGTCTCTACAGTAATACATTACTTCTAACAGTGTAAAGGGAAGTGATGGCTAACTTCCATCAACCTAATAGAGGGACTATCTGTTGGGATAATTTAATTAACATTATTAATCAAATTAAAAAAACAAAAATCATAACACATACTATATTTTAAATATTCAAGCAGGCAACATCCAAGCCACACAGATCCTAGAGGAAGGAATACCTACTGGTATGTACCTTGTCATGAGGCACACTAGCCTTGGAACTTACCTGCTCAGCAAGTCTCCACAAAAAAATAGCATAAGTCCAAGGAGGAAAACGAGGAAGAGTTTGGGGTCAAATCCTGAAATAAATAAAGATTTTTGCAAATAGTTTAAGACATTATAAAAGAAAATGCTGGTATTACTGATCAATTATAGTAAAATAAATGCAAACAGCCCCCACAAATGTCATTGTAATATCCTCACAAAGCCTGGACACTCCTCTAAAAAGAAAGTATAATTATGTCTCATCTAACCTTATTTTTATTTTGGCTACCTACACTGAGGCTAAAAGAAACTAGCTTCACTTTGGACCAAGCTAGGCATAGTGCCATCGGCACTTCATGCAATCACCCACAAGGGGTCTCTACCACTCAGGCTTTCAAGCCTTAAAGTCACTCAGGCATAGAATTCAGCAGATATACCTACTAGAAGTTTAGATCAGGGCCTCATGTTCTCCAACTGGCCAATTTTCTTGCCAAAAATATCACCTACTTTCCTTCACTACACAGCACTGTACTGGAAAAGCCTACCAACCAAACACATCTCACCCAGGACGACCAGGGGCCCAGGGACCCCTTTAGAGAAATACCAGAGCTCTGAGTCTAGGGAAGGCCCACAAACAGAATAAAAGGAATCACTAAATGTAGAAGCAACACCAAAAAAAAAAAAAAAAAAAAAACCCAGGCCAATTCTATGAAACTGTCAAACGCTAGGACAATTGAAAGGTATGACCTACTTTTGTAGCAGAATTTTAGAGACATGACTACTACTCACAACATTCCAGGATCTTAAGTGTAACCAAGGAGAAACCAAGTAAGAGAGAATTCAACACCTTCTCTAAAACTTTCTCAGAGACTTTCAGAGAAGGAAAAAGGAAGTCTTCTCCCAGTTACACTGAATTAAACCTTAAATTGCAGTGGTCTTCATTTTTACTTATGGTTCACACTATTCTTTTTGCTTGTGAATTCCTAATATTCAATTTAACTTTTCCTTTAGTTTTTATTGTTTAACCATTCATGTCTTCAAATGCAGGCCTGTACACAGCAGGATAGCTACCTTTGTTTTAGAAGTGTGCAGAAGCATGAACAAAATTATCTGATTTACTGTAACAGTACTACTCAGAGCCACTGGTAGTATCAGGAACCCAAGGCTTCACAATTCTAGGAAAAGAAGCACTCAGGATGGCCTGTGGTAGACTCTTGATTCTAGGCCTAAAGCTTCTGATGTGGGGTGGAGTCTCTCTGAGTTGTTTGGAGCTGCGGTACACTCAGGATTATAATCAGAACCGAAATGTAGCTGTCTTGAGCTGACTTCTCTGCCTCACTAATTATAACCTCCAAAGCTCAATCCCTTCTCACTATAGAATCCATCAGAAAAACAGAGGTAAGACTTACTCCGGGTCACAATGACACTGTACTTGGTGTCCTTCTCTATTATCTCAACTTTGAGGCAGGTTTTTGTGCTGTATAGACCCACGTTAACATACGTGTCATTCAATTTCTCTTTTAAAAAAGAGGAAAAAAAGTTCCAGATACTAAACTGCTCTAGTTCCTTTAGTTTTTCCTCATTGTCCACCTGGGTGACTCGAACCAATTTGGAACTATTTACCCGGATCTGTAACACAAGTAAAATCAGGATGAGAAAGCAGTAGGAATTTAAATTTTTCATAAATACAATTTTTAAAAACCCTCTGAATAGCTAAATCAGTAATGGTATCAGTTTTCCACAAGGTTTATGAGAAATATACAGATGCAGCAGCTAAAACATAACTGGGCAAATAACACTGCATATGTTGTGTTATGGAGTGGCAGCTATTAGAATATCTTCTTGCTAACTGATCAGAATCTATTACATCAGAACATTGGGAGTGGGGGGAAGAGACTCTCAAGCTGACAGAGTTATCAATACATCTACTTATGAGATCATACAAAGCAAGGGTCTAGAATATTAAGAAAATTGCCAGTCATAAACAGCCCCAGAAAACTGAAAATGTTTCCCCATAATAACAGGCTGAGAAGTTCAACCCATAGTCATAAATCACTGATTATGGATAAATGTTGGTTATCATGTGCCACAGATAGAGTATGATTTTCACATCAGACAATAAAAAAAAAGAAAATTAAAACAACCCACAAACCTACTCTTATGTTTTTGATGTGAACAACAAACAACCTTATCAGTAACTATATTTACAGCAGCAACATTTCCAAAAGGACTCATTTTGTTCAATCATATTACAACCAGATAGTCTTGCTTGCCAGGTGATTTAACAGTGTTATGAAATAAATGAGACCAGTCATCTACCAAGGGGAAACTTCAGCTCAGGGGGTTTATGAAATATTTTGGGTAGAATCAAAATAGAATAGGAAGAGCAAGACAAGAGAGTTTACATCCTGACAGGCATACCACAGTTTCCTGCCCAAAGAAGGTATAAAGCCTTTAAAAAGAAAAGATATGTGCATGCATACTGCAAAAGGAAAGAAGGGAAGAGAAGCAGTTCCTTTGGTAAAAGAAGGGAGGAAAAAAGGAAGTTTACCTCAGGGTCATAGTAGTATAAGGTCGTGAACTCAAAGAATCTAAGACCCCCCCCGGGGGGGGGGGCTTCTAAATTATTACCTGTATCCGTGTCCATATATCATGCCACATTGGGATAAGCACATTTTTATAACAGAATTGTTGGCTGGTCTTCATATCATAAGCTTGAGATTCCTGAAGCATGACCACATTTACATCAATTCCAGCTTTATGTAAAGAAAGAAAATAGCAATTAAGCATAATATAACAAAATAAGCTAGTAACTATAACTCATTTCATAAAAAGAATTAAATTGGCCACTTTCTAAAATGGGGTTAAAATATCAGACAGACTGAAAAACAAGAAAATAAAAACAGATGGGAGAATGAGGCAAGAGTCTTCTCTCTGTCCAATTTAACTTTTTGTGTGTACCTAGGATTAAACACAGGATTCAAACATGTTAACTATGAACTCTACACTGAGCTACACCCACAACCCCAAGTGTAATTATTTAAATATTAAAAGCAGTCATTAACTAAGAGTAGGTAACAGTAATGGCCACTATTAAGTATTTTTTAAATCTAGTTTATTTTATCAACTTTTCTTTTTATTTCTTTTTTTTTAAATGTTTGACTTGGCTGTAGACTGGGGTTTGAACTCAAGGTTGTGTGCTTGCAAAGCAGGTGCTCTACTACTTGAGCAACACCTCCAGTCCATTTTTGCTGGCTATTTTAGAGATGGGGTCTCTTTAACTATTTGCCAAGGCTAGCCTTGAACTATGATCTCCCAATCTCAGCCTCCCAAGTAGCTAGGATTACCAGCTCTATTAAGTGTTTACTAACACAGTACGTTGTCTCATTCAACCCTCCTCCCTGCTAAGAGGGAGGAGTCTTCATAATCCCTATTTTTCAAATGAGGAAATTAATGTCTAAGGAAGATTAAGTAATTTGCCCCAAATTACAGATTCACATTCAGGTCAAACCTCGGCCTTAACCATAAAACATCCTGCCTCTCAGGGGGTGGGGGCAGGGGGGAGAAATGAACCAAGCCTTGTATGCACATATGAACAATAAAAGAAAAATGAAAAAAAAAAAAAAAACATCCTGCCTCTCTTACATCAGGATACTTAGCTAAAGTACGCCTATTGTTGATTTTTTTTCTATCCCTTTTCTAAGTAGAACTGGTGATGGTATGGTTGTTTTTTTAATAGTACTTTAAGCTGAGCACCAGTGGCTCATGTCTGTAATGCTAACTACTCAGGAGGATCCTGGTTTGAAGCCAGCCCTGGGTAAACAGACCCTCTTTCAAAAAACCCTTCACAAAAAAGGGCTATCAGAGTGACTCAAGCAGTAAGAGCGCCTGTCTAGCCAGTGTGAGGCCCTGAGTTCAAACCCCAGTGCTGACCAAAAAAAAAAGTACTTTTAAGAGGATACTAAAAGATCACAAAGTTGCTGTTGCTGTTTCAGGAGTTTCATTTTAAGTTTTATGAGCAACCAACAATTATACACAGATCCTCTGATCTACAAAACCAGAAGATTCTCTCCCTCAGTTTGTGTTCATTCTTAGCTAATTCAAGACTTAAAAGAGTGACCACTCTCCTACATCTTCCCACCCAACTTTACCCATGCTATCTTCTTTAACACAAACATTTAAGTAACTTTTTTTTTTTGGTGGTGGTGGAGGTACTGGAAGATTGAACCCAGAACCTCATGAATGCTTGGCAAGCACTGTACCTTACTTTATAATGTCTTCCTTGAGTTCCATATTGTGCATACCAATTTATCAAATGCTACTAAGTGGAAATGTAGTTATATTTTGGTTCTTAATATAAAGGCAGATAGATTTAAGTAAGCTAAAACAAAAAATTCTCAACCAAACCTTAGGGAAAGGCAAAGGTACAAATACAAAATGTATTGATGCCCAACAGTCCAAAATGATAAAACCTAGAAGAAAATATAAGTATAAATCTTCATGACCTTGGATTAGGCAATGTTTTCTTAGATGTGACACTGAAGTACAAAAAGCTAAAGAAAAGCTGGGCACAATGGCTCAAGCCTGTAATCCCAGCAACTCAGAAAAACTGAAGTTTGTGGCCAGCCTGGACAAAAAGTTTGGGAGACCCCATCTAAACCAATGGCTGGATGTGATTGTGTACTCCTGTCATCCCAGCTACACAGGGAAGCACAAACAGGAGACTCAAGGTACAGGCTGGCCTGGGCATAAAGCAAAAGTCTACTTCAAAAATAACCAACACAAAAAGGGCTAGCAGAGTGGCTCCAGTGGTAGAGAGCCTGCCTAGCAAGTACAAGGCTCTGAGTTCAATCCCCAATACCACCACCAAATAAATAAATAAATAAAATTAAAAGCTAAAGAAAAAATATGTAAACTGAACTTTATAAAAATAAACTCTTGTGCTTCACAACAGCATCAGGAAAGAAAAAAAGAGCTGGGGTGTGGCTCAAGAGGTAGAGCTCCTGCCTGCAATGCAATCTCAAGGTCCTGAGTTCAAACACCAACACCACCAAAAAACAAAAGGAAAGGAAAAAAAAAAATTTTGTACTTGAGAGGATACTAGTATCCAGAATATATATATTTTTTAAAAACCCTATTACAACTCAACAATAACCCAATTTTTAAACGAGCAAAGAATGTGAATAGACATTTCTTCAAGCAAAATATACAAATGTCCAGTAAGCATATAGAGACTCAAAATTGTTAGGGAAATCCAAATTAAAACCACAATGAAACCAGGCGCCGGTGGCTCACACCTATAATCCTTGCTTCTCAGGAGGCAGAGATCAGGAGGATCCTGGTTTGAAGCCAGCCCAAAGAAATAGTTTTTGAGACCCTACACAAAATACCCAACACAAAAAAGGACTTGTGGAGTGGTTCAAGCAATAGAGTACCTACCTAGCAAGCATGAGGCCCTCAGCTCAAACCCCAGTACCACCAAATCATACACGCACACACACACACACATACACACACACAAAATGAAGTATTACTTTACACTCATTAGAATGGCTATACTCAAAAATAACTCAATAACAAGTGGTTGTTGAAGCTGGGCACTGGTGGCTCATGCCTGCAATCCTAGCTACTTAAAAGGCCAAGATTGAGAGGATCAAGGTTTGAGGCCAGCCCCAGCAAATGGTTCGAGAGAACCTATCTCCAAAATAACTACAGCAAAATGGACTGGAAGTGTGGCTCAAGCGGTGGAGTGCCTGCTTTTGCAAACAAGCAGTCCTGAGTTCAAACCCCAATCCAACCCCCCCCTGAAAAAAAAAAAAACAAGGATATGGAGAAATTGGAGCCCTCATACATTGCTGACAGAAATGTAAAATGGTGCAGCATCTTTGGAAAACACTTTAGCAGTTCCTCAAAAATTTAAAGAGTTACTATAGAATTCTACTTCTAGATATATACCCAAGAGAACTGAAAACATGCATTCACACAAAAATCTGTACATAAATGTTCACAGCAGCATTATTCATGACAACCAAAAAGTACAAACGACCCAAATTTCTATCAATGACTGAATAGATAAATAAAAAGTGGTATATCCATACAGTGGAATATTATTCAGCCATAAAAAGAAATGAAATACTGACACATGTTACAACATGAACTTTGAACATGCTACAATTGAGTCTAAGAAGTCAGATCAAAAAAAAACACCAAAGGTTAGAATATGCAAATACACAGTGACAAGAAGTAGATTATTGGTTGCCAGGGGCTGGAAGGGAAGGGGTATGGGGAGTGATTGATAAGATATATAGGGTTTCATTTTAGAGCTGGTGGTTCACGCCTGTAATCCTAGCTACTCAGGAGGCAGAGATAAGGAGAATCGGGGTTCGAAGCCAGTCTGGGGAAATAGTTCTGCGAGACCCTATCTAAAAAATCCTTCACAAAAACAGGGCTGGTGGAGTGGCTCAAGGTGAAGGACCTGAGTTCAAACCCCAGTACTTCCAAAAAAAAGTCTAGTTCTTTCTTTTCCTGAATTCCACACCATTCAAAGTAAAGAATATTAAGTAAATAAACTTCTTCAATAAGAACCTTCAACCAAAATCAGCATCTTGGCCAGTCACATCCTTGGCACTGCATGGAGGGGAAAAGTGCCAGTTCAACCTAAGGGGGATGATCCATGCAAATGATCAGGACTCCAGCTGTAGCCCGAATTTTTTAGAAATACAAACTAAACTAAGTGACCTTAAATATATATAAAGTTCTCAAGGTCTTCAAAGGTTAATAACTACGGACTGGAGTTATCACTTAGTGACAGAGTACATCTAGCATTTACCAAGAAAAAAAAAAAGGTAGCTGGGCATCAGTGGCTCACGCCTGTAATCCTAGCTACTCAGGAAGCAGAGATTAGGAGGATCGAAGTTCAAACCCAGCCAGGGCAAATAGTTCTTGAGACCCTATCTCAAACATACAACACAAGAAAGGGTTGGTGGAGTGGCTCAAAGTGTAGGCCCTGCGTTCAAAACCCAGCACTGCAAAAAAGAAAAAAAAAAAAAGTTAATAACTGCGTATTTACTTCTAATCAATATGAACTTTTCCTCTACTTTTCAAACAATAATAGTGATCAGGGCTAGCAGAATGGCTCAAGTGATAGAGCACCTGCGGCCATGAGTTCAAACCCACACTACCCCCCCCCAAAAAAAATCGACGATACTGATCAAAGGTAATGAAAATGATTCATAATATGTAAAGACTAAAAGGAACCCTAAGAAGTCATAAAAAACAACCTCTTTAAATTTTTTTTTGCAATGCTAGGAATGAACCCAGGGCCTCAAACCTAGAGTCTGTGCTCACTAGTCAAGTGCTCTCTAGTCTACCTACCTAACCCCAGCCTCCGTTTTTTTGGTGTGTGCGTGCGTGTGTAAGCCTGTGCATGTGCATGTGTAGGGAGAGGGTACTGGGATTTTAATTCAGCACAGTAGCAAAACCCCTTGAGCTACACCCCCATCCTTTTTACCCTTAGGGTCTCAGCAGGCCTGAACTAGATCCTTGTATTTATGGTTCCTGTACTGCTAGGATGACAAGCACACACCATGCCCAGATTTTATTGGTTGATATGGGTGAGGGGAGAGGTGTCCTCTCAAATTTATTTTTTTTGGCGGGATTGGGGCTTGAATTCAGGACTTCATGCTTGCAAAGAAGGCACTCTACTGCCTGAGCCACACTTCCAGTCAGTTTTGCTCTGGTTATTTTGGAGATGGGAATCTTGTGAACTATTTGTCTGGGCTGGCCTTGAACCTCGATCCTCCCACTCAGCTTCCTAAATAGCTAGAATTACAGGCATGAGCCATCCTGCCAACATGCATTATTTTTATAAGTTTCAAAAAACTTCCAGAGAAGAAAGTAGCTACCTTTTAAAGTAATACTCCATTCTGTCTTTAAGCACCTGACTTTTAGAGTTCTTTGTTACATGGCTACTCTTTGTAACTGCCACTCACATAATCTATCAGGCCATAGAGAACAAATATCCCATCTCCAAACTAAGAAGTTCCCATTCCTCTCCTTGTTAAAGAATTTTCAGGGTTCAATCCCCAGCAACCCATTCCAAAAGAAAAAATCAAAAAGGGTCTGCTGACTGAGTGTTTAATATTTTCTCTCATCTCCACAACCCATAACCCCATTTAAAATTTTCATTCAGATAACAAATAACCCTTTCAATGAAATTCTAAGACCTACATCTAGAAAAGTACCTTCCTGGACACCTACTCCCCTCTCCCTTTAAAAAAAAAATTTTTTTTTTCAGAAGCTCAGTTCCACTGCGCTTTGGAACTGGATCTCTGGATGCTGAGACAACCTTGAAGCTGCAAGCTAAAGATAATCCTCTAAGATAGCACGAGATAGGCAGGAACAGAAGGGAGAGTGAGAGTACATAACAGTGTGTGTTTACAAGATATGATTATCTTTACTCTCCTAAATTGCAACTCTCTCCAGTGGAAGTTTGGAAATCTTGCTTATTTTTCTGTCATGAATTTAACAAGGGGGTAGGGGGTGGTAAAAAGAGATTTCTAACAAACATAATTTATAATTTTAAGTTTTCTGGATTGGAACAGAAAACAGTCCAAAGCAGACTGTCTAGCAGCAGTTACCAAATAAATGTATTTGAATGAGTAAAATTTCCAAAGAAATCTGTAAGATACTGGATGACACTTGTACCGTTTTTTTTTTTTTTTTTTTGAAACTGGACTGTAATAATTACAGGTTCCTTCCATAGGACTGGAGGGGTCAGGGTCTTACAAGAACAGACAGAGTTAAAGATCACTGCATTACTTTGAACTCTAACGATTTAGCCAACCATTGTCCCACGTACTGACAGAGCGTATGTTGTGGCTTTGCTCATTTGCTGAATGAATGGGATACTGCCTTCACCATGGCAGCTCCGCCTAACCAGAACGGCCCCGGATTTCCCTCCTTTTACCCTAATAACTTGAGGGGACCCCAGAGCGCGACGCAGCTCCGAGGACCGCTTTTCACCTAGCCCAGGCCTCCCTTCCTGTGCCCGCCGAAAGACTCCACGCTCCACTCAACTCTGGGGAACAACCCCACACGGTCCGGGGGACCTGATCCTTCAGTCCCCTCATCCCGACACCCACTCGCCAGCGAAACTTCTTTCTCCTAACTCCAAGTCCCACCAGAGTAACGGACCGCGCCCCACTTTTCCAAAAATAACGCCATTGGCACTCGCCCCCTTGGTAGCTGCTTCCCAGATAGTACCTGAGCCACAGACCAAGCAGCCGGAGAGGACCAAGAGCAGTCGCACCGCCCTACAACTCCCGGTCTCCCAGCCCCAGGGCCAAGGACCAACTGCCGGCGAGACCGCCACTTTGATTCCTCCCGCCATGGTTGCCTCACACCACCTCCTCCTCACGTTCCCCTCCCCCGCAACTAGCACGAAACAGACGGCGCCAATAACCAATCAACTACAGGACCCGTCCCTACCGCCCAACTGAGTAGGCGGGGCTTTGAACGTTCATTCCTCCTAGACCCTAGAAGTTCCACCCCTTAGCAACTGATGTAGTAGGGCGGGAGAAGCAGCTTTCAGCCTATGAGGAAGCGGGTTCTCGCGGCACCATAGCAATGGCGACAGGAAGATTCCACCCCTTAACCAACATGCTTCCGTCTCAGGTTTATTTACAAGTGTGAGTGATAGTAAGATTGACCAATAGAAAATCAGAATGGGCGAAGCCTCCTGGACTAAACTTGACATTGCTGTCTAAACAGTGTCTTTTCTTGTTTTCTTTTTTACTACTGAAAGGCACCTGCCCCGCAGGATAAATAGGGCGCAACGACACCCTGTAACAGAACAGGGCCAAACAGGATCTCTGCTAACGGTCAAGGGCCAAACAGGATATCTTCGGTCTGCCACCTGGCAACAGGGAAGGGAAAAACAAAAACAGTTTGTACCCAAGTTCCGCCTCATTTAAATTGGCCAATCACCACCCTGTAACCATGCATCTCGCTTCTGTACCCGCGCTTTCGCTCCCCAACCCTATATAAGCCCTAGACCCCAGCCTAACGGCGCGCAAGTCCTCCGAGCGACTTTGCCGCCCCAGGTACCTGTGCATCTGAATAAACCTCTTGCTGTTTGCATCCGCACAAGTGGTCTCGCTGTTCCTTGGGAAGGGTCTCCCCAGACTGAAAGGCAATCAGGTCTTTCATTTGAAGGTTCCACCGAGATCAAGAGACCCCTACCCAGGGACCACCGACCCATTTTCGGGAGGTAAGCTGGCCAGCATCTGTTCTCTGTGAGTCTCGTCTCTGTACATTCTCAGGGTGCGCCTGCGTTAGTACGACCCGGCCGTGTCACTCTGTATTTGGCGGAATCGAGGAGGAGCTGACGAGCTCAGACTCCCGACCGCAGCCCTGGGAGACGTCCCAGGGGTGTCTGGAGCCAAATTTTCGGCTCATCTGTATTCTGTGAACCCTTATACCTGTATCGGACTGTTCGGGTCACCCCCACAGTCCGAGGAATACGTGGTTCTTCGGGGAGAGAGCTCCAGGCTCTTGCTCCCTCCAATTGAGACTTTACTTTCGGTTCTGCGCCGAAGCCGCGCGGCGAAACTGTGTTGTCTTTGTCTATGTTTATTGTTTGCTTGTTTGATATTTGGTATAAATCTATCTAGAGAAATGGGCCAATCTATTACCACCCCCCTGAGTCTTACTTTACAGCACTGGAGAGACGTCCAGGACACGGCTAACAACCGGTCCATGGACGTCCGCAAGAAAAGATGGATCACCCTTTGTTCCTCTGATTGGCCAACCTTCAATGTAGGCTGGCCACGAGATGGGACCTTTAACCTTGATATTATTTCACAGGTCAAGAATAAAGTGATGAATCCAGGGCCGCATGGCCACCCTGACCAGGTAGCTTATATTGTTACCTGGGAGGCCCTTGCTCATGACCCACCACCATGGGTCAAACCCTTTGTCACTCCCAAACACCCTCCCGCTCCCTCTGCCCCAACCCTACCCCCACCCCTACTTCCCACTCCTGCCCAACCCCCTACCAGATCCTCCCTTTATCCAGCCCTCACGAGGTCCCCACAGGCAGAGACCTCAACGGAGACGAGGAAGACAACTACCGAGAGGCCCCTGGTTCTGCCTCCCGGCGAGGACCTCCTGGTAGACCTGCTGACTGAGGAACCCCCCCCAATATCAGGACCCACAACCATTACCACCAACAGAAGCCGAGCCCCGACGGCCCCCGGCTGACCCCGCTCCCTCCCCTGTGGCGGGACGACTGAGAGGGCGCAGAGAACAGCCACCCGACTCCGCGTCCCAGGCATTCCCGCTGCGGGCGGGACCCAATGGCCAACTTCAATATTGGCCCTTTTCAGCGTCTGATCTCTATAACTGGTGCAATAATAACCCCTCTTTTTCCAAAGATCCCTCAAAACTAACAGCTTTAATTGAGTCTATTTTAGTAACTCATCAACCCACTTGGGATGATTGTCAGCAGTTGCTCCAGGCGCTCCTGACCACAGAAGAAAAACAGCGCGTTTTTTTAGAAGCCAGAAAAAATGTGCCTGGAGAAAATGGTCGACCCACCCAGCTGCCCAATGAGATCAAGGCAGCATTCCCCCTAGAACGTCCCAACTGGGACTTCACCACGGCTGAAGGTAGGAACCACCTACGCTTCTACCGCCAGTTGCTCATAGCGGGTCTCCATGGGGCAGCTAGACGTCCCACTAATTTGGCTCAGGTTAAACAGATAATACAGGGGCCTGAGGAGTCGCCATCAGCATTCCTCGAAAGGCTAAAAGAAGCTTATCGCATGTACACTCCATATGATCCAGAGGACCCAGGTCAGGCTACTAGCTATATGAGTCTAAAACAAACCGGGATCCTAGCAAGGATATTTATTGGTTAAAGGAATTCCCACAGGCATGGGCAGAATCAGGGGGCATAGGATTAGCTAAACAGCAGGCGCCACTGGTTATTCCATTAAGAGCCACGGCGACCCCCATTTCGGTCAAGCAATATCCCATGTCCCATGAGGCTTACCAGGGAATTCGACCTCACATCAAGAGATTACTGAATCATGGAATATTAGTTCCCTGCCAGTCGCCCTGGAACACTCCTCTCCTCCCAGTCAAGAAACCAGGGACGGGGGATTATCGTCCAGTACAGGACTTAAGGGAGGTCAATAAACGGGTAGAAGATATTCACCCCACAGTCCCTAACCCTTACAACTTGCTGAGTGGATTATCTCCCACGTACACCTGGTATACAGTACTGGACTTAAAAGATGCTTTTTTCTGCCTCCGGCTACACCCTCAAAGCCAGCCCATTTTTGCCTTCGAATGGAAGGACCCTGAAATAGGAATATCAGGACAATTGACTTGGACTAGGCTACCACAGGGGTTTAAAAATAGCCCCACACTTTTTGATGAAGCCCTACATAGGGATTTAACTGATTTCAGAATTCGATACCCGGCTATAACCTTGCTCCAGTATGTGGACGACCTCCTACTGGCAGCCACCTCTGAGGAGGATTGCACAGAAGGGACTAAAGCCCTCTTACAAACCCTAGGGAACTTAGGATACAGGGCATCTGCAAAAAAGGCTCAAATTTGCCAAAAACAAGTGACCTACCTAGGGTACCAGATAAAAAAATGGACAGAGATGGCTAACCGAAGCCCGTAAACAGACTATCATGAATATCCCAGTCCCTCAGGGCCCCCGCCAGCTGCGAGAATTCCTGGGGACCGCAGGGTTCTGCCGCCTCTGGATCCCTGGCTTTGCTGAAATGGCAGCACCCTTATACCCCCTAACAAAGCAAGGGACTCTCTTTACCTGGGGGGAAGAACAACAAAAGGCCTATAAAGAGATCAAAGAGGCCTTATTAGCCTCTCCAGCCCTGGGTCTCCCAGATCTGACCAAGCCCTTCGAATTATTCGTGGATGAAAAACGAGGCTATGCCAAAGGGGTCTTAACCCAGAAACTGGGACCCTGGAGGCGCCCTGTGGCTTACCTCTCAAAGAAACTGGACCCAGTGGCCTCTGGATGGCCACCCTGCCTCAGAATGGTGGCTGCAATAGCTGTTTTGACTAAGGACGCTAGCAAACTGACTCTGGGGCAACCATTGACTATTTTAGCGCCCCATGCGGTAGAGGCTCTAATCAAACAACCTCCAGACCGCTGGCTCTCTAATGCCCGTATGACTCATTACCAGGCCATGCTCCTAGACACCGACCGGATCCACTTTGGACCAGTGGTCGCTCTAAACCCGGCAACCTTGCTCCCTCTGCCGGAGGATGCAGAGGACCACAACTGCCTCCAGATCCTTGCAGAAATGCATGGGACTAGACCGGATCTGACGGATCAGCCCCTCCCGGATGCTGACTTCACTTGGTACACAGATGGAAGCAGCTTCCTGGACAACGGGGAAAGAAGAGCAGGAGCTGCAATAACCACAGAGACGAAGGTAATCTGGGCTGAAGCCCTACCACCAGGAACATCGGCACAGAGAGCTGAGCTCATCGCCCTAACCCAGGCGCTCAAGATGGCAAAAGGTAAAAAGCTTAATGTTTATACTGATAGCCGGTACGCCTTTGCCACTGCCCATATTCATGGAGAGATCTACCGCAGGCGAGGATTACTAACATCAGAGGGTAAAGAAATTAAAAACAAATCTGAGATTCTGGCCCTGCTTGAGGCCTTATTTTTACCCCAAAGACTGAGTATTATACACTGTCCAGGGCATCAAAAGGGTCATAGCCCAGAAGCAAGGGGTAACAGGCTGGCAGACGCCACTGCTCGAAAAATAGCCCTCGAAAAATCACTCTTCCAGGTTCTTTCCTTGACAACAGACAACGCCAAGCCTGTCCCACAACGCCTCCTCGCATATAGCAAGGAGGACATAGACCTCCTAAAAGACATGGGGGCTAAATATGACCCCGAAAAAGAACATTGGACATTTAAAAATAAATTAGTCATGTCCACCAAACAGACTTACGACTTAATTACCCATTTACATAAACTGACTCATCTTAGCCCCAAAAAGATGAAAACCCTCTTAGATAAAGAGGAAGACATTTACTATCTACCAGGAAGAGATGATATTCTACATTTGGTGGCAAGAGGATGCAAGGCCTGTGCACAAGTAAATGCGGGGAAGACCAAACTGGGGCCAGGAATCAGGGTACGAGGACATCGCCCCGGGACCCACTGGGAAATCGATTTTACCGAAGTAAAACCTGGACTATATGGATACAGATATTTGCTGGTGTTCGTGGACACCTTCTCAGGATGGACAGAAGCTTTCCCCACCAAACATGAGACAGCCAAGGTTGTAACTAAAAAGCTTCTAGAAGAGATTTTTCCCAGGTATGGCATGCCCCAGACAATAGGTACTGACAATGGGCCGGCCTTCGTCTCCCAAATAAGTCAGTTAGTGGCCAAGCTATTGGGGATTAATTGGAAATTACACTGTGCATACCGACCCCAAAGTTCAGGACAGGTAGAACGCATGAATAGAACCATTAAGGAGACTTTAACCAAATTAACGCTTGCGACTGGCTCTAGAGACTGGGTACTCCTCCTTCCCCTAGCCCTTTACCGGACCCGGAACACGCCGGGCCCTCATGGACTCACCCCATTCGAGATACTCTATGGAACACCCCCACCATCTGTTAACTTCTATAACTCCAATATTGCCAATTTTGCTAATAACCCTTCTCTACAAGCTCATTTGCAGGCCCTGCAGATTGTCCAGAGAGAGGTCTGGGAACCATTAGCGGCGGCCTATCGGGAACAGCTGGGCAAGCCGACGGTGCTACATCCCTTCCAGATAGGAGATACTGTCTGGGTCCGTAGACACCAGACCAAAAACCTCGAGCCTCGCTGGAAAGGACCATATACGGTGTTGCTGACCACCCCTACCGCTCTAAAGGTTGACGGCATCGCCGCTTGGGTCCACGCTTCCCACGTCAAGGCCACCCATCACCCCAAAGAGAAGGAGCCAACTGGGACATCAACATGGAGAGTCCAACGAACCCAAAACCCTTTAAAGATAAGACTTTCTTATGGGGCCCCTTAATCATACTTTGGACCATATTGGGAACAGCAATCACAGGTGGTCCACATCAAATCTATAATATCACCTGGGTAATTACTAACACCGAGACTGGAAAAACTGCAAACGCAACCTCTGTAATGGCCTCGCTAACAGATGGCTTTCCAGCCTTACCTTTTGACCTCTGTGATCTGGTGGGACCATCATGGAACCCCTCAGACCAAGAGCCATTCCCCGGGTATGGTTGCCACCATCCTATGGGTCGATATAGGACTAGAGATAAAGGTTTATATGTTTGCCCAGGACAGAACATCCGAGAAGGTTGCGGGGGGGCCAGAGATGGGTACTGCGCCAGCTGGGGTTGCGAGACAACGGGGGATGCCTATTGGAACCCCTCATCCTCATGGGACCTAATTACCCTCAAGCGAGACACCAGTAGTCAGGGGGGCATAGGACCCTGCTATAATGCAAATTCTACACAGGAAAAATCAATGCCCGGGGCCACTGTGGGGGGCAAATGCAACCCCTTAATCATTACTTTTACTAGCACTGGAAAAGCAGCCTCATGGGACGGTCCCAAGACCTGGGGAATACGCCTATACCGCACTGGATATGACCCTGTTGCGTTGTTCTCGTTGACCCGACAAATATCTAGCCCGGCACCCACACATTCCATGGGGCCCAATCAGGTTTTGACAGAACAGCGGCCCCCTTCCCAACCTATACCACCTGCTTTACCCCAAGGCACCCCAACGACCCCTCCAGCTAATACTAACACTATCTGAAGTGTCCGGCCAAGGGCTTTGCGCTGGAAAGGTCCCCACAACCCATCAGGACCTATGCAACCAGACCCTAACCACCGGGCCAGGCTCATACTATTTGACAGGCCCTAATGGGACTTATTGGGCTTGCAGTACGGGGTTGACCCCCTGCATATCCGCCCAGGTCTTAAATACCTCCTCAGACTATTGTGTCCTAATTGAATTATGGCCTAAAATTGTTTATCATGACCCTGAATACATTTATACCCACTTTGAAGGGATTACTCGGTTCCGCAGAGAGCCAGTAACCATGACCTTGGCCTTGCTACTGGGAGGACTAACAATTGGAGGAATAGCAGCTGGGGTTGGAACAGGAACTACAGCCTTAATGGAAACCTCACAATTCAGGCAATTACAAGCAGCAATGCATACTGATATTAAGGCATTAGAAGAATCAGTCACCGCTCTTGAAAAATCCTTAACTTCCCTCTCGGAAGTAGTCTTACAAAATAGGAGAGGATTAGATATCCTATTTTTACAAGAAGGAGGATTATGTGCAGCTTTAAAAGAAGAATGTTGTTTCTATGCAGATCATACTGGGGTAGTAAGAGACAACATGGCTAAACTCAGGGAAAGACTTAAACAAAGACAACAATTATTTGAATCAGGACAAGGTTTATTTGAAGGATGGTTCAATCGATCCCCATGGTTCACTACCCTACTTTCCTCCCTCCTGGGACCCCTACTCATCCTCCTTTTGATCTTATTATTTGGACCCTGCATTCTTAACCGGCTGGTCCAATTCATGAAGGGCAGACTGTCAGTCATACAGGCTCTGGTTCTGACCCAACAATACCACCAGCTAAGGCAAATAGATATAGAAGATCCATAACAACCCTCCTAAAAAAAAAAAAAAAAAAAAAAAAAAATGGGGGAATGAAAGGCACCTGCCCCGCAGGATAAATAGGGCGCAACGACACCCTGTAACAGAACAGGGCCAAACAGGATCTCTGCTAACGGTCAAGGGCCAAACAGGATATCTTCGGTATGCCACCTGGCAACAGGGAAGGGAAAAACAAAAACAGTTTGTACCCAAGTTCCGCCTCATTTAAATTGGCCAATCACCACCCTGTAACCATGCATCTCGCTTCTGTACCCGCGCTTTCGCCCCCAACCCTATATAAGCCCTAGACCCCAGCCTAACGGCGCGCAAGTCCTCCGAGCGACTTTGCCGCCCCAGGTACCTGTGCATCTGAATAAACCTCTTGCTGTTTGCATCCGCACAAGTGGTCTCGCTGTTCCTTGGGAAGGGTCTCCCCAGACTGAAAGGCAATCAGGTCTTTCAACTACCATATTTTTTGTTATAGGAATCCTATAATTGAGCTGTTTATGAATACAGTCCTGACGTGGCTTTTTTTTAAAGTAAAGCAGTTGGGTTGGCGGAGTGGCTCAGGCAGAGTGCCTGCCTAGCAAGCGCGACTCCGTGAGTCAAGCCCCAGTACCTCAAAAATTTAATTAAGTAAGGGGTTTGAGAAAGTGTAGTCCTTCAAAGTACTAAGTCACAGAAATATTGTGTGTTGTCGAGGTTTTATAAGCATAAACAGAGCTTAAAATTAGTCATGGGGCTGGAGTTACAGCTGAGTGGTAGAGCTCTTTCCTGGATTGATCCCCAGCACCAGAAAACAAAACAAAACAAAAAAAGTCATTACAGGTGTTTTTATTTTTAGAGGCAAAACGAATGTGAGAATTGGTCTTCATTATCTCCGTTTAAGAAGCAGCCAAGGCTAAGACAAAAGAACCTGCCCAAGATCGCTTAGTTCATCTGAGCTGTAGCTGCAACCCAAATTTTACTTGAGCCCAAAGCCTGAAAGATCTAAGCATCACGCTGCTTCTCATTAAAGGACAACATTGCGAAGGTCTAGCAGGGTGTTCTTAGCAGTACTAGTAAAAACTGAAGCACCTTTTTTTGTTTTTAACAAGTGCTGTGTAGGAATACTAGAAACCTAGAAGTACTGTAAATTGAAGAGAAATTCAGGGGTAACTTTTTTTTTGCGGTACTGGGGCTTGAACTCAGGGCCTTCACCTTAAGGCCCACAAGCCCTATTTTTTTTTGGTGGCACTAGGGTTTGAACTCAGGGCTTCATGCTTGCTAGGCAGGTACTCTACCGCTTGAGCCATTCCACCAGCCCCACCAGCCCTATTTTTGTGAACGGTTTTTCAAGAGAGGGTCTCGTGAACTACTTTGCCGGGGATGTCTTTGAACGCCGATCTTCCTGATCTCTGCCTCCGGAGTAGTTAGGATTACAGGCGTGAGCCACCGGTGCCAGCCAGGGGTAACTTCTGAGGAAGATTCAAAGTTTCAAAACAAAGAATTTTTTTTTAAATCAAAATGGTCTTAAAAAAACAAAACAAAACCTTGAAAAATGGGCTTCGGGTCATGGCTCAAGCGGTAGAGTGCTTTCCTGGCAAATGAGGCCCTGTTTTCAGTCCCCAGTGGAGAGGGGAGGTCTATGCCAGCCATGCTGCAGTCATTCTGTCTCACAGATACTCTCTCAGCTGACTTAAGAAAGATCAATACCAACAATAATAAATCACACTGAAACCACATGCACCCTTGATATCATGTAATGAAAATGCCATTTTACTTCTGTGGCTTTCTTCTGCCAGATCCGTAACACCAGTCTATTCATAAGAAAAATATTGCAACCGGGGGCTAGTGACTCACACATGTAATCCTAGCGACCCAGGAGGCAGAGATCAGGAAGATCAAGGTTTGAAACCAGCCCAGGCAAATAGTTCATGAGCCCCTATCTCAAAAACAGCCAACACATAAAGGGGAATGATAGAGGGGTGAATTCATCTATGATATATTGTAGGAACTTTTGTTAAGTGTCACAATATACCCCCAGTACAACAGTAATATGATAATAAAAAATTACCCAACACAAAAAAAGGACTTGCAGAGTGGCTCAAGGGGTAGAGTGCCTAGCAAGGGTGAGGCCCTGATTTAAAAACCCTAGTTTTGCCACACACCAAAAATTTATTGCACAAATTCCAACAGAAGTACATCCTACAAAATGTCTGACTGGTACTGCTCAAAACTGACAAGGTCAGTGGACACAGTGGTACATATCTATAATCCCAGTCTGTAATCTCAGCACTCTGACAGAAGGATGGCAAATTCAAAGTCAGTCTGTGCTACATAGCTAGACCCTGTCTCAAAACAAACAAAAACTAGTAGCATTATCAAAAACAAGGCAATAGCAAGTATAAGGCCCCAAGTTCAAAACTCCAGTCCAAAAAAAAAAGAAAAAAAAGCAAGGGGGAGAAATGGTCCAAACAATGCATGCACATATGAATAAATGAATAATAAAAAAAGAAGCTGAGAATGTCCCAGATCATAGGAGTCTAAGAAGACATGACAAATACACATGATGTGGTATTATGGATCCTGGAACAGAAAAAAATCCTAAAGAAATATGAACAAATTATAGAGCTTGGTTGATAGTGGTTTATTAATAATGGTTCATTAATGTAAGAAACACATATTAATGTAATATAGGGTAAATTGGATGTGAGGTATACAGGAAATACATACTATCTTTTCAATGTTTCTGTAAATCTAAAACTTAAAAAAAACTAGTAATATGTATGTGCATATATAAATGTATGTATGCATGTGTATTATTATAAATGTATGTATATAAATGTATTCATTTATGTAATATACATACACACATATAAACATATATACACTACATATTTTTTCTTGCAGGCCCCATTCTCACCATTCAGAACTTACTCTTTGCGGTTGTCTTATGTTTGTTTGTGTGGGTTTTTTTTATGGTACTGGGGTTTAAACTCAGGGCCTCATGCTTGCTAGACAGGTGCTCTACCACTTGAGCCCCACCCCCAGCCCTCTTTGGTTTTGACTAAAGGCAAAAACACACAAACTGATTCCAAAATATCACTATTAAATGTGTAAATGAGGTGCACAGTATTGAGACTAGTTATCCATAAACCTGTCATACCTTATCAACCAACAGAATGCTGTCACTTCAAGATAGTAATTCAAGAAGCTTGTTACCTTATTTTAATAATGAGGACACTGCTCAAAACACTTTGACAATCACCTTCACAGACTATATAACACACACTGCAATGAATATTCATTATCTGCAGGTGGATCTGATTTATGCAAATAGCCAAAAGAACTCAGGCCAAAGATGATGAGCAAAAAGGTGGGAAATCTGGATGGTAAATGTGTTTCAGAATTTTTAAGGGTTGAGAAAGATAAATGGTGTCTTCATACTACATAAGGCAATAATCCCAATAGCATCTAAGACCACACCTGGTAACCAAACGAATTACTA